AGGTCATATTACTATGACCAGAACACTTCTAAACCATGATAATGCCCATGGAAGAAGAGATGCACGAACGCATCAAGAGCACCATCTGGGATCCACACAAGTGGGATCAAAGAATTGCCCCATCACTCAATCATGAGCATGGGCTAAAAAAAGAAGGGGGATTGATCTATTATGATGGACAGATCTATATCCCAAGAGATCAAAAACTTTGTGGTGATATCATTGCCACATGTCATGATCATGCAACCATGAGACATCCCAGGATTGCAAAAACCAAAGAACTGGTACTAAGAGAATACTGGTGGCCAAAAATGAATCATGATATCACCCAATATGTCAAAGCCTGTGAAACATGTCAAAGAGGCAAGGCGTCTACACATGCGAAAGCAGCACCACTTCATCCAAATGAGGTCCCTTCATCACTATGGACCCACATCTCAGTGGATATGATAACTGGACTTCCCGAAAGTGACAGCTATGATGCAATCATCATCATAGTCGATCGCTTCTCAAAGGCGATCATACCAATTGCCTGCTTGACAGAATTAACATCTGAAGGGTGGGCAAAAATACTACGAGACAAGGTTTATGCAAAATACGGCATGCCTCAAGTAGTAATTTCAAATAGAGGACCACAGTTCGTCTCTAAATTCTTGGACGACCTGTACTGACTGCTTAACATCAAGAAAAATGCCTCAACAGCATATCATCCACAAACCGATGGCCAGACAGAGCGAGCCAACCAAGAAATTGAAAAGTACTTATGACTTTTCATCAACTATCGACAGGACGACTGGACCGAATGGCTAGCCCTAGCAGCATTCCAACATAATAACAGGATCCACTCAGCAATGGGAAAAACACCATTTTTTGTGAATTACAGATGAAACCCACCAGTTGCGCAAATAGGCCGACTTCATATGACAACACCTGCTTCAACAGATTTTACCACAATGATGACAAAAATCCATGAAGAAACGAAGACAGCCCTTGATAAAGCTGCCCTTACAATGAAAAAGCAATATGATAAACACAAACATATGGCACATGAATATTTAACAAACAATAAGGTCTGGTTGGACACCAGGAACCTGCACCTGCCAAGACCAAAACAAAAACTGGCAGACAAACGAATGGGCCCTTTCAAAATACTCACAAAAATCGGCAAATCCACATACAGGTTGCAGCTACCCGCAACCTGGAAAATTCATAACATTTTCAACAAGACACTATTGACACCATATGTCACACCAGCCTTCTCAAACCAAGAACGGCCACCTCCACCACCTGCAGAACTCATCAACGACAAAGAACACTATGAAATCGATGAAGTCCTAAACCATAAAACCCAAAGAGTTAAAGCACGTGGCAGAGGCATGAAAACAACTGTTGACTACCTAGTCAGCTGGAAAGGCTATGATCCAGAATCAAACCAATGGGTCAATGAAAAATACATGAACGCGGAGGACACCATATGTGATTACAAGCACAGAATCAACAAATTGGACATGAAGGAGGTCATATTCAATATTATATGTCTAAAACCAAGTGCAGCAACAACAGGAAGGGAAACAATATCTAGTCAGATACACATCAACCGACCTGCCGATGACAGAGGACACGTTACAGAGGACAATGAAGATGACTCTGTCCAACACTTAACCCGACCTGGCATGACCGGAAGAGAAGAAGAAGAGAACGATAAAGATGGCGGTCAGATGAAGCCTGACAATGACATGATGAAGAGTCCAGCAGATCAGCCATCTCCTGCCAAAGGGAGAGGACTACCCTAACTTGACCATTGGGATGATGGTCTTAAGGAGAGGGTAATGTTACGATTTTTTTCTATTTTTTCCTCTTTTCTTTTCTTTTTCTCAGAAATGACCCCTATCTTGCTTAGTCAGGGTGCTTAGCTAGCACTTAGGACTGTGGGAACGCTTAGCTCAGCAACCCAGTTGGTCACTCTCCTATCACATTGCTGTGTGCTGTGAAGAGAGAGACAATACCCCTTTCGTTCTCAGCTTACAGTGCCACGTCCACAGCACAACAGCAAGACAACAGCTTTTGTGGAGAGCCTGGCAACAGTAGGGGAAACAGCTCTACAGCAGACAATATCTTTTGTGAACAGTTATTTATAGCAAGATAACAGAACAGTATTTAAGTAGCTTAGTTCTTGCTGTAACACCCCAGTCTCGAACTAAAGTTTTACTTCACTATCTCATCTCAAGCGAACTGCAACTGCCTTGACTACACAACACTAGTAACACACAAGTGAACTCTGATAGTATAACCCGAAGTGCAAGGTTCTATCAGTTTATCACATGTCACTGGTCACATGGAATTTGGGCTTAACAACTGCATCACCTATCTCATTAATGTTACTGGGTGCAGCAGAGCTATGGCCATTATATAGACCAAGAATATGAATCTTTTCAGCCATATATCTTGCAAATGCTATGGCTGACTCGTTTTTGTGAGGTTTGCAAGGCAGATTAGACCAAAGGTTATTTGCAGCTATAGTGACCTGTATCACATTTGCCTTGAGTCCAACTATAAGAGGAGCAGTCAAGTCTTTATCATCTTCCATAGATGAATGATCTTTATCATGAATAGGAAATTCTGATGCTGTACATACAGTACCAACACTATCATTAGAGTACAAGTGGAATAATGCATCACTCAATGTTTTCAACTCCAGGCACATAGACTATTTCAAAATCATAGTCAGAGATGAGCTCCATCCAGTGAGCCTGTTGGCCAGACAGATTCTTCTGATACAAGAGGTGGATGAGACTCTTGTGGTCCATATACCACTTGAAGTGGCATCCCAACAGAATATCTCAGTAGCATCTCATAGTTTCTATACCTGCAAATATTTCCAGCTCATATACAGAGTAGTTGTGCTATACCAGCTTTAACTTCACTGAGAAAAAGGCAGCCATGCTTGCTATTCATCAGTTATCTCCTTGGCTTACAACACTTGCAATGCCAGTAGCACTTGCATCTGTTATCAGATTGATGGTAGAAGCATCCTTATTGTAGTTGAGTGGTATCTGATGATGATCACAAAAAACCTGTACATATTTCTTGACTTTATCAAATGCATGCTGATAGATCACAGTCTAGTGAAAAGGCATTGTATTCTCAGTTAGCTCATGTAATACTCCCAGAGGCATTCACACATTCATTACATCATCAGCAAGGTATTCTACAGACCCTAAGAAGGCATGCAAGAGGTCCCAATTAGTTGGAATCTTCCATGTGGCTACAGAATTGACTTTTGCAGAATCCATTTGAATTCTCTTGTGATCTATGATATGTTCAAGGATGGTGATTTCAGCAGCCAGAGCATGACATTTTTTCTCAGATAGATACAGCCATTGGTGATGAAGAATATGAAAGACAATTTTGCAATAGTCTATATGAGCCTTCAAGGAGTTAGAGTATATCATGATATTATCTAAATAGACATCAACAAATACTCCTAGGTGGGCTGAGAACAGGTGATTCATCAGGGCCTGGCATATAGCTGGTGCATTGCAGTCTTTCTGCTGCATTACTAAGCTGACCATATTTTCATCCAGTGTTGTTACAGCTGTATGAGGTATGTGCTCTAATATAATGTGAATCTGCTCATACACTGCCTGTAGATCAAAGATAGAGTACCACCAATGACTTGCCACCTGGCATAGTATACCATCTATTGCAAAAAGTGGAGCTACCATTTTGAATATGTTCACATCTCATTCATAAAGATCAAACACAGTATGAAGCTCAGGTTCATTTCTCTATTTGTGGGGCTTATAGATACACAACATGGGAATAGTGTTTTGTGATGTAGTGATCTGCCATCAGCCTGTTCTCAGGTAATCAGTTTTCTTCTGTATCCATTGTTGTAGAAGAGGTTCAGGGCACCATGATAGGTGCTAATAGTATGTCTTATCCTCATCCTTTAGAGGTATAGAGTGATTAACAGCCCAAAAGGGTGGTAGTGGCAACTTAGCAGCATCTTCAAATAGTCTAGCATTTCTAGCATAGTCCATTATCCAATAGCAGACCTTAGCTATATGTCCTTTGGCAATTTTCATTGTCTGGGAAGACAACTCACCAATGTTTTTCCCTTCAACAGGTAGTGGTATCAAACTGCCAATGTATAGGTGTGCCAGATTCAACTCAAATGAAATCTGATGTTGAAACAGAAAAGGAGTACCCAGAATAATATTATACTGGGACAGATTACAAATGTCAAAGTATCATTGTTCATCATGGATATCTTGAACAGTCAGTGTCACTTTTGCTCTAAAATTTATGTGAGACCTTGAGCTCTGTACAGCCAGATGCAAGATAACAGGTTTTTCCAGCACTATCTTCTTGATTTTGAGCTGATCAGCTAGTGTTGTTGACATGAAATCCCTTAATAATCCATTATCAAGAAGTGCTCATCCTTCTTGCCTATTCACTTTGACCTTGACTATCATTGGGAGAGGAACAAGGCAAGTGAAGTCTTGAGGTGCTCCTGCATTTCATTCCAGACCATTCAAAGTTTCCAGGCTGGCAGCACTCAAGGACAGAGCTGGAGATACTATCTCTTCATATCTCATTGATGTATTGTCTCCTGATGTCATTCTAGGTAGCTCAGGTTCATTATGTTTCCAGTCAGTCTCCATCTCATGGATTCCAATCTGAGGGTCATCCCATATGCTCCAGTGAGATCTATACATCTCATGCTGATGAACATGACTCAGATACCAATTAAATAACTGGAAGCATTGATGCTCTGCAGTTTTGCAGGTGAGCTTGAACTCATGATCTAACAATTCATCTCATATCAGAAGCATGTCACTGGATTGATGGTGCACCATGAAGTGCTCTGAGAAATCCTCACTGCTTAATCCAACATTCAAGGATTCTTTAATGAAAGTGCATAATATATCTCCATCATGATCAGCATAGTATTCAATGCCAGAAAGATTCAGTGCTTGCAAACAATATTTATGATATCAGATTGCAATCCTTCCAGACTTTACCACTGATGCTGATACAATGATGTTTTTCTATTCATCATGATTATTATCCAGTATCAGAAACTGATCTCCTGTAATCTCATAGACCACAAAACAATCAAGACAACTATTAATCCAAGTATGATTGTCTCCAGGGTATGGCACATTATATGCAAGATAATGTTCAGACACTGATCCATAAATATCACCCACTGGAGTTTGCAAAAACTTTGAGGCCTGTGCTTCTGACCAATCACAATGTTCTCCTGGACTAAGTTTTGGATAATCTGCATCCTTCCATGGAGGCTGACATGAGCACCACTTGTCAGGATTGAAAGATATGGAATCTCCACTCTTCTCCTCAATATTCTCTAGCATGGGGGGACTGTCAATAGTATCCAAGGTAAGATCATCATCACCCTCACATCCACAGGCAGAGCTGCAAGCTGAGTCACAAGCATTATCAGCACAAAACTCTGTGAACTGAGCAGGCACAAGATTCAAAAGACCATGCATATCAATGCTATTCAATTGTAAGTCAAATTGTGTGCTAGAGGCACTTGCTAACTGTGTTACTCTATCAGCCTCCTTCAGAGCTACACAAATACTGGCTGAAGAGAGCCCAGATGGACCAGAGTGTTTTCCAGAGGCAAGGTGACCATCTGGACAGTCTCTTGATTTATGACCAGCTTTTTCACAGCAGAAACAATGGCCATCAGCAAGATACTCTGCCTGCTCTTTTTTTGAGAGCTCTTTTTCATCCCAAGGCTTCTTTTTCTAATAGAATCTGTCCCAGTTCCATGAACTTGAGCCAGGAACTGCACCAGAATGAATTTTACAAGCTTTCTGAGTTGGAGTTGATCATGCTGGCTTCAGAGAGTTATCATGTTTGAAGTGTGATATATTATTGTACTTGTTGACTTCTATGGCAGCATTGGTGCACATATTATTAGCATGACAATTGTGATCATAGTTATGATGATGAGCATTTTCCATACTGAATTGAGCAATCTCAATGATTTCAGCCATGCTGGAGATGTCATCTCAAGAATTAATCTCCTGATAATACTCATGCATCAGTAATTCAGATTGAATGCTCTGACAGAGTCCACACCATAGTTTGATCACTTGAGTGCATTCAGATTCATCTCTCAGCATCCTGAACTGACTCCATAGTTCAAAGACATAATCTCAAATGCATCTAGGACCTTGGAAGCATTTTATAATCTTCCTATGAATCTCCATATGATAGTCCCTTAGAAAACACCAGTTGAAAAGCTCATCATAGAATTGAGTGAGTGTCCAGTCTGTGTAGTCAGAGCTGATATTTTGGACAAAGAATCACCAGGCCTCCCCTTTCAGAAATCAAGCAACACAGAATACTTCATCATGATGAAATACTCCAGCAGCCTTCAAGTATTGGGCAGCCTCCTGTATGAATATTGTCAATGCTTCTGGGTCAGGACTGCTATCATAGGGTGTGAGGGGTATTAGATGATTATTTTTAGCCTGTTTACAATGTCTCTTCTTTTTACAAGACTTCATTAAGTTGGCTTCAACATTGTCAGTGTCATTCCTTGTGCTATCAGATGATGAAGAGTCTGAAGGCTCACTGTCTGAAGGCTCCAGATTGCTAGCAATAGATTTATCAAGAGCATGCCTTAAGAAGCTTGTGGATGCCACTTGGTCTAGTGCATAAGCTGGACCCAGTCAGCTGCTCTCAACCATTGGAGTGGTCACCAAAGGGCTGGCATGAACCAGGTGCAAAGCAGTATAGACTATATACCCAGTCTGAGCCTGTGGTAGAGTTAGAGCGATACTAGCTGCTGTGCCCAAAGGCTGGTTCAAGTGTGCCAATTGTTCTAATACTACTGAAGGACTTGGCAAGATAGTGTGAAAGGCATTAACACCTTCTGATATCTCCACTGAGTGAGCCCTATGCTGTTTCAGTGTCTTTTGAGCTGTAGTCAGTTGACTTGGGATCTTTTCCATACTAGGTTCATTGATTGCAGTGCCATTACTAGTCACCACAGTTGTGTTGCCTGACTACAAGGATTGTTGTAATCAAGTAGCAGCTTTTTTAAGCAATAAGTATTGTACCTCAGTTGATTCATTCTGAAGTGCTTCCCAGAAACTAAGAGCTTGATGTTGGCTGTTAACATCAAAGTCATTACTAGTGAATCCTGGAAGCATAGCAAGCTTATTGCAGTAGTTGACTATTTTGCCTTTATCCTGAGGTCTAGCATCTGGAGAAGAGGAAGGCACTGGTTGATTGGCTGATTCTATAGCCTCCCTATATCTATCCATGACTTCCTTAGTCCCATTAGGTATCAAGGCTTCAGCCTGTTGAATGGTACTTAATTGTGCAGATGTCAGCTCAGGCTGTTTATGCAGATGTTCCTCATCAAGAACAGCAAATCTATTGTATGAAGGTGTGAGTAAGTTATCAGTACTACTAGTAGCTGAGGATGTGCTAGTCCTATGACAAGATGATCTTCCAGTGACTATCATCTAATCACCCTCTCTTTGAGGATCACCCCTGGTCAGAACTGGATTGTTATACTCTGGTAGTATTATAGGATCACCCTCCTGTGGATTTGTATCGGAAATGACCTCAGAAGATGGCTCTATCACTGGAATCTCTGGCATATAGGATCCAGTCTCTGCATCTTGACTCATATCCACTTTGGGATGATCAGCACTCCTATCTCCAGTCAACAGCTCATCAGCAGGATTCAGATTCACAACAGTGTGCTTGTCAGCACCACTGTCAGCACACCCTCTGTCAAGGGTCATGCTGTCTAGAGGCAGAGAAGGAAGGTCAGACAAAGATTCAAAAACAGAAGACTCACTCTAGGTATTTTTCTGAGCACAATGAGCAGCCCAAGTTGGGCTCATGGATCAGTCACCTGATATGGTGATGTTTCCTATGCTGCAGAGCTGATAGGTTGAGCCAGACATGGTATTAAGAAAAGTAAGCAGAGAAGAGAGAAGGTGAAAGAAAAGTGAGGAGATTCTATTTGATGGGTGTTGTCAAGGTTGTTCTGGTTGATTAGGCTGAAGAGTTCCTAGTGACAGCATCCACCAAGGCTCATTGTTGTTGTTGGCTTGTCACAGTAGTAGTCAAGTGGTTTGAGGTATTGAAGAGATCAAAAATATGTAATGAAAGCAAGACATGTCACAGTTTCATGTGAGAACCCTTAGTCAAGCAAAGCAAAGACCAGATAAGTGATACTTCAATTCAAGAAAAAGTCATCTAATCTAACACAAGGAGGGTTTATATACTCATAGAGAAATCAAATATAGAGAGAACCAGAAAGGATAGGGTAAGTAAAATAAGATATCAAGTAATTTGCTGAGTGTAATGTCAAAAAGGGGGTATAGCAAGATAATGGGTGAATTAGAAGTGGTAAGAGGGTCAACATCATTTGATGTGTTACAAAAACCAAAGAAATCAAATTCCCATTGATTCTTTATGTAAGCCCCTTCCTTCAATATTCAGGCCACAATGAGAGTTTAGAGTTTAGAGGTTGGAGGTTAGAGAAACCAACTGGTATATCATTGGGACACTGATGTTTTGTGCTGCCACTAAGAGTGTCAGACCATAACAATACTGTGCCACTATGATATCCACCAGATGCCAACTGGTGACAGCTCATGGGTTTGATACTATCACAGGGACCATAGAATAACAAGGTGGGTGAAGGATTACACATGTAGGCCAGTGACCAGAGGGACAAGTGTACCATTAGTAATTTGAGTACCAAAGACTGCAAGGGAATATAAACTTGGGCAGCTCTGAATATTTCCAATCCATGATATGGCACTCAACTTTGCTCCAGTAACCCAGAAGCAATAGTACAGGCATGAACGGCATCCTCTAGCAACATGCAACAACCCTTTTTCTGTCATTTTCTGGTCTTGGAATTGGCAGAAGGCTGCAGCATTGTCAACCGAAGAGTCTGCACACATGACGCCCGTGGGAAAGCCATGTCGCATTCGGACCGATAACCTCACGTTGCTCTCAGGTAGGCTCGAAGATTACAATCAGGTCTGTTGCTCTACTGTGCGCTATTTTGTCGCCTTAGCTGATATTCTATTTGATAAGTGTTAAATTCCAGTGTGCTTTATGTATTCAAATAATCTTCGATGTTTCTCGATACGCAATCGGCAATCACTGGCAGCGCCAAACTGGACTCTGACCCAACTTTACTTGCAGCGTTCCACTACCGTTGGCGCAAACTTTTTGTGTCTATACCTGTGTCAATTATTCAGCAGCACAAGATGTACACACGCAGGTGCACTTTATTCATCGCAACGCGTAAGTCGCCTCAGCCGACTACTATTTTTATATATAGCCAAAAGACTATACTGAATACAGCTGCAGATTACTGCACATATTCATCTTGACTAGTATTACTAGCCAACTGAGATGAATTATCTCGCTCCTCCGCGAATAATATGATGGCAAGGCAGCTCTTCGCTTCGATCAATTCTGTCCTCCAACGCTATGACCACAATTGTGTACCCATAGCGACCCCTGAATTGCTATGGCCACTCGAGCCACTCGATGCACCTAGCACCGCCTCATAAATCGCTAATCAGGTTATTCCTTCGGATTGCCTATGCCCTATAGCCATAACAGACATTTGCTTGCCTCAGCCAGACGGGCTTGTCCCGCTACATTCCTCCGTTGGGCAACTCTCTCTATACAAGGTAAATCCCGCCAACCAATTCACCCAACTCGCGAAATCCGTTATAAGGAGGGGGATCCGCCATGGTTTTCATCATCCCCCGGGCTTCCTCCCAGGTTTTCCCGTCCTCTCAGTCTATCTCCCTCCTCCCCCCCTCTGTCGTACTATGAGTTCCTCATCCATGAACTTGGACATTGTGTGTTTTCCTCATATGGCCCACCTATTGTCTCCTCGCTGATGTAATCCCTCGTTGGTCTTTTTCCAGCGGCCAGACTTGTTCCGCTGCACTTTCGGGAACTGCAATCAGCTGTTCGTGCATAAGAGCGATCTGAATCGTCATCTTAAAGCTCACTACACAAAGTGGGTACTCTATCGCTACCGGAGTACGTGACGACTAACGATCTAATTCGCAGGGGTAGGTATCAGTGCCCACGTTGCGGCCGCTTCTTCAACCAGGCTGCCAATCTGGAGAGTCATATGAACAGCCAGCAGTGAGTGCATATGAACAGCCTAGTCCCTAACGGCATCCTGACATTTTATCCTCCCAAGTCTTGGCCTTAAACCATACCGCTGTCCGAACTGTGTTGTCACGACTGCTAACAAAGGCTCACTTCTCCGCCATCGCAAGAGACATCATAATTACGTGCCCAAGAAGTACCGCAAACCTCAGGATGTTATCAAGGAGGCGAAGGAGAAGCGGACTGGTCCTCTGTACGTCAAAAAGATCTCAACATTGGCCGCCACTCGACGCACCATTCGAGCCACTACCATCACCTCCCCTTCCACCGTCTCCCCTTCTCCTTCCCCTTCGAAATATCCTGCTACTCCTTCTTCGTCTAAAGTCATGGATGATTCCTGTTCGTTGGACTGGAACATGGAGATGCCGACACTCCCACAAGCCAAAGAAGTTTACCCCGCAGCCAGGGCCGGCTTCCCTCTTGAAGGACTGTCCCCAACAACTATCGAGGCATCGTTGTCGCTCTTCTCCCTCCTCGATCGTCCCTATCAACCCCTTCCGGCTCAACAGACGGCTATGACAACGAGCGGCGTATTCAACGAGCAGGGGTCCGAAGTCTCTACATCCGCCTTGGCCAACTACTTTGCCGCCACCGACGCTGATATCGCAGATATCTGCAAGGATCTCTTTGGAACACCAGTTCCGTCCGCCGACTCAGAATCATTCAAGTTCGCGTCTTTCAAATTCGAAGAGGCGCTTCCAGAGTGGATGGGGCCCTTCGACTTCGCCTTTGACGAAGAATCGATCGGAGTAGCATCGAGGACGCGAAAATGACTACAGAGATATTTTATTTCTCCTCCAATCACATTTATATTTCAACTATTCCCAATTGTATCACCTTATATGCTATTTATTGTCTCTCTCAGTTTTTTGTTTTTGTTTTTGTTTCTGATTTTGTTCTTTCAATCAATCGTATTGTTCCTCATCCTACATCATGTGCGCCTGGATAATCCTCATTTCGCTTCCGTCTACCTGAGATGGTGGGCCTTACTATTGGTAGCGATTCAAAAGGAGCTTATTTTCATCAAACTCTAAACGGTCAAGACACCAAAACAAGACGTCAGTCGAGTATGTACACAGAAGGCGCAATGGCAAAAAAATGATAATTGACATCTGCCTTTGATACCTGAAGAAAATGCGAAGCGTTTCGATACCGCAATCCTGGGAAATTTCCTCCCCTCGCTACGCCATGCAAAGGGAAAAGAAGTTTCTGGACTACAGTTTACTTGTTTCTTATGTCGTAGGGCGACCATGCACCTTCACAGACTTATTCGTCTCAAAGCCCTATCCTGGACATCCCTAACGTGCGGGGAGTATGTCATCCACGACTCTATTGCCCAACGCCGAGGTTCTCTTCTTCAATCTTGACTTCCGTCTGCATAAAGTCAAATTGAATATGAGCCACGAATCATAATCATCGCATACAACGGGGAAATCACAAACCGCATTCTTGGAAACTACTCCCAAATCTATCTCGACGCAAATGTTATATGTTGCATCATCCGGAACCCTATCGCCTTCACTTTCTGCTTCATAACCAAAAAAGATCATTCGATTACCGACTGCAGCGAAGGAATGCAGATTCAGATCCATGGACCAGATCGTTGAGCGGACATTGAAACACTGAATTTTCTCTTCCGGTGGAAGGAAGTACTGCCACAGCTCTGGCATGATATGATCTTCTTTTCCATAGTCCACCCACCCGGCAATCATGACATGCGCCGGATAGACTACGTGTTCTCGCGGCGGGGAAGACAATCGTTTCCGTTTTCGGAGCAACGGTGAGGTCGTTGGCAAAGTTGGAACGGAAGGTTGAGAACCTTCACTCGAGTACGACCCATACCAGCGCAAGTTTCCAGGGAAGGTGCCGATCGTGTCCGCAGCTGCACGAAATGTGAAGTTAGTGGTGTGGAAGAAGATCGAGTTTGATTCCTGCATGTTCACAGGCTGTAGATGTCTGTCTGAGAACACAGGAAAATAAATAACAGCTATCAACTCACTGCCTTGTTAGTCAGGCGCCCAGGTGTCAACAAAATCTTCTTTCCCCCATGCACAGAGAGAGCCCGTCCACCAAACCCTAACGGCGGAACATGGGCATCGTAAGCCCGATCCCGCCTTCCCGACATCCACTTCCATCGATAGTCTGTGTATTCTGCGATAGAGTAAGATGCTATACCGAGAGAATTCTTGTCGTACGAGGCCCGCCCACCAAAGATGAACAGCTTGTTGTCTATCCCAATCATAGACGCGTTCATCCGCCCACAAACGTTGCCTCCCTCAATTTCGACGTACCACCATTGCGGATCATCAAGATCAATAGCTATGAGACGAGAAGACACGGCCTCATCGTCGACATCAAAGCCACCAAACATGAAGATATAATTTGTCTCTTTGAAATGAAAGAAGGAGCATGCTGGTTTGAACAACGACGGCAAGGGTTCCAGTTTCCCTATTGGTTCGAATGGTTGATGAGCATTAGACCAGAATTTTGGCTGCATTATGGACTCAGGAAATGATGAAACTTATGAATAAAGGGAATGCGCACTGTGAGCTTCTTCCACTGCATAGTGTCGACATCCAGAACATGGAAATCGTTCGTAGGGATGTATTTTTTGTCATTGGGACGGCTCCCGCCATACATGTAGATTTTTTTGCCCATGTCATCCACAATAATTGTGCACCAGTCATTGAAATGGGGCAGCGATCCGGTGTTCCTTATCTTCTTGTATCCTTCGGGACCAGCCTCATATCGAGCCGGTTCCACCTAGCAGCGGCGGTCAGATCCCATCCAAAAGGACTATTATGAGCATGCCTGTCCTCCATTGCTGCTCTTTCTTCCCTTCACTTCGTGACCTTTCCCCTTTTTCTTGACGTTTTTCCTGTCATGGGCCTTAGCATCAGTTTCTAACTCGGCTGAGCCGCTCCGTTCTCGATAACTTGGTCTGGCATCCCTCACTGGCCAACGTTCAGGCCCGCTGGAGGTAGAAGCCATCAAAGAGACAGTATTGGTATTGGTAACCGGCGTGGTATCGTGATCATCCTGCGACCATCCATTATCCCTCTTTGAGTTCAATGTTGCCGATGAACTCCCTTGTTCCTGGATATGGACATCCTCTGTCGTGTTGGTCCTGTCAAAGCAGCTCCAGAACCAGCTTCCATGCCAACTTGCTCCAGAATGTTTTAAAAATGCGGAATTCGGCAACAGAGAAGCAAGAAAAGAAACGCCGTCGCCACCGAACAATATGCGTTCCTTGATGACTTGATATGACTTCGTAAGATGCTCGTTTCTTTACAATCATCAGCCGTTGTCCTGGAAAGTTACCGTAAGTTTTTGTTCTGAATGCATATTCGCGACCTGAACGATCTTAGACGTTGCAGATGCTAATTTTACCATCTCCTTCGACCTTGCAATGACGAGAGCGCGTAGCATTCAAGAGTACCGAACAACTGTCGCGTACCCCGCTCCCTAAAGAGTGTGGACGTCGTAAGGGTAGTGTAAACAGTAGAACTGAAAAAGGCGACAAAAAGACTTTCGCAAACGGCTTGCAGTGGATGCCAATGACAGGGTCGCTTCCTTACTTCAACGACTATGGCTGTGTTGCGATCGACGACCTCGGCGGCAAGATATACATGTTCGGCGGCAAACGCCCTGGAACCGATGCTCTTTGCTGTGATTTCAATGTCTGCGATGCAAGGACCATGAATTGGGAAGACTGGACTGTGCGTTTCCTTCTTCAGTGTATATTTCCCGGATAAATATCACATAGAATTCTCTTAGTCGTGAATTTGCACCCTCCAGTCCTCTTTCTCCTCTTCAAAATGCCTCGTCTACTTTTTTGAACATCCATGGCTGGAAATACGTCTTCTTGTTCGGCGGCTATGATGGCATAGACATCAACTCTCAGCTCATCGCAATCAATATCAATACCAAAATTTGGTCAGTAGTGCCCATTGAAGGTACAGTGGCTCCTCGCATGGATACAGCCATGGTCGACATAGGAAATCGTTTGTATATCTTCACATTGCCGACCCAGAGGAACGAGTAATCGAGTTCCCGTCTTCCTGATCAATCAGTCTGCAATCAATTTACGCGCACTGGTTCCTGTTTCTCGCAGTACGGATATAGAAACAAGTCTGTAGCATCATCTTGTGGTTGGATCCTCAAGACGGAGTTCCATGCCGTGGTCGAAACCTAATGGAGATAGCTTGATGTGGCCTTTAAATACAGCTTCGTGGCTACCCTTGACTATACGCTCACTGCGTTCTGATCCCCTCATTTCCAACATCCAGGAGATCAAGGCTTTTTTGCAACATAACAGAACGGCGGCGTGAATGACATGCCTCTTCACGCCAGAGACTCCTGGGAAGGGTGAGCTTTGTAGAGCAACTACGATATTTGAGAGGGATTTTTACCTCCCATGCATACGTTCCGTCAGATCTAGGGACAATAGGCTGCTTTTCAACTTCTCTAAAGATGACGCCCACTTTAATGAGCGTCCTTCCTGCATTCGCCAAGCGTCGAAGAGGGGATTGCAACCACGCCTCGCTTAGCGCTCGAGCTATTACAATAAAATCGCTCTTCCTCATGTTGTACTGGTTGCTCATGATTATCCTCACCCCTTCTACCGTCGGCATCGGATGCACAATGAGAAGAACCTCTAATGCATCCCATGCGGCCTGAAATTGTCGTCTTCGAAAGTCGGCCTGTACAGGATCATGGCTACAAATGCATCGCTTAGCAAAATTAGCAACAGGTCAGGACAAAGACACATACTTCATCTCGTCGTGCCATTCTTCTGTGACTGTCAGAACGAAATTGATCTCAGTGGTACAGACTTTATCCAAGGGTCGAGAGGAAAAGTGATAGATCAACCACTGTATTGCTCCAGGTCCGTCGGCGACTGCGACTTCGAGGGTGAGGGTGGAGATCTTCGTAAGATCCAAGGTTGGGACATCTGCGCCGCCGACTGCAGGAATATTAGACAAACTTAAAGTAGGGTAAGGCTTTTACTCACATAGAATGGACGGCTCAGAAAGATACAATTCCTTCAGCGGCTGATGCACGACATTCAGCACCCGTTGAAGATCGTTAAGGTTGTCCATAGTATCCCTCAAGAACAAGCGTCGAATATTGGCTAAGATGAACGGAATCCCATGGTCTGTGCGCTTTACAGCTTTGGTGAAGAAATCTGTCTGAGATAGAGACAAGGATTCCAAAGAGCGCAGGCCCGTTTCAGCTGCATTTGGTGCAACCTGTTCTTCCTCACTCAAGCTGACATCGTAAGCCCTAAACCATCGTAAATTCGGATATGGCTTGACGAAGGTTTGCAGGTCCGCATAATCAAATTCCATTTCCTGCAGAGTCAAGGTGGAAAGATTGTATGACATGAACACACCGCGGAGGCCCGGCGGTATGCATTCATATTCCCCAGAGATGGTCAGATCCCGCACCTCTGTGAGATCTTCGAGTATATGGTGGAATTCGGTATAATCGACTACAGTCCAAGTCTCGATATAGATAGATCGAACGCAAGACTTGATCTGATTATTCGTGGCGCAAAGATGGAAGAACTGCATCGCCCTACTGGGTTCTCTGAGATCTATGGCGCGGTAGAGATAGATACGGGCCCTAGCGCAGCACCGAGAGGCATTGTTCAAAGAGATCAGCGTTGAAAAGTCGTACTGCACCTCATCAATAATGGCGTCGAGGAGCTCCTGGGGTAACGGCGAGGGGACAGGTATGGGCGCTTTACTCTCAAATGAGTCGTCAACAAACACTGAATAACGATAACGCACCAGACATGACTCGTGAGCGCAGGCAAGAGGGATTGTGCTTTTTAGTTGAAGAGGCAGTATCTTCGGCCACCTGAGAATTCGAATACAATGCACCCAGAAGAGGAAGTCTTTTAAGGAAGAGCAAAACGGAAGGTAAATCCTTCGCGGAGGGCTCGTTGCGGTCTTCCGGGTTTCTAAATTTGAGCTAGGCTCTTGAAGAAACAATAATATGGAGATATCTGCTCCGTTTGCCGATGAATATGCTGTTCTACCCCATTAACAATGAAACGAATGTCCAGAAAGGAACAAGGGCACCCTCGCCTCATGTCTTTGGGGGGGGGGGGGGGGCACAAACCAGAGTAAGATGTAAGAATGGTGCCTGTTATACCCTGATCTCCCATCACTCATGGGAAACATTCAACGCTCTCCACCGAATTGCGCGCTTTCCATTATGTCAACAAAAGCTGTTACTGCGTAATAGAAGAACTTACAGGGAGATTCACTTTCACGACCACTAGACTAATGAACCGCATCTCTACAATATCCAAATATAAAGTTGAATAGACGCCATGATCTTCTGGTGCTCCTCTATGTTACAGTGTTCAATGATATTCTGGTGAGCCATAAAAACATTCTAAGAGAGCATCTTGAACACAGAGGTCTCCCGCTATTAAAGATCCGAGTTATCACGAACATGTACCTGCTTGTCCGTATGGGGCCTCGACCTTGGTCCATCCACATTTTTCTGGACCAATGAAATTGTCTGATCCGTCAAATAGGTGGTATGATGGACACCCCTAGCGCAATTATTCTGTAATCGCCTTGTAGCGGAATACTTATGATTAATGAACATTTGGATATCCGAGTCAGAGGTCTTCCTGTAAGCGCCGTTCCCCGATCCCAATGACCTGGAACCTTTTGTATATTTATTCAGGTTTTCCAGAGCTCGGCCCGCAACGCCAAGTGAAGCAAAAGAAAGCGTTCGGCGCTTTGCTTCAGTCAATACATAGGAGGAGAGCACGCCGATGAGACGTATACCGAGTACAGGTGCATTAAAAAGCCCTAGAGCAGTAGTGATAGCATAAGCTTTGTCCGGCACCAGACAGAGAGGAAGAACTTCAAAACGACGCCGCAGGAAAAGCTGTGTATATGTGGCTGTGTCGGACAGCGGAGCTCCGGGCCAATCATTCCGATCATGGTCCATCATTCAATCTTGTTACGTCCTCTCACGACGTGCTCGACACCTATTAGTCCACTATCCAGCTGTTCCAGTCATTCGTCAACTGTGGCAAAATATAGCTCCTAATACAAACGTTCTTTCCCTTTTGGCGCTGTTTATTAGCGTCGTTACACATTGATTCCCAGAATCCAAGGTGCCAACGTTATATCGATTCTTAGGCTTCGAACTGATCCCAGAACTGCTAGATACCTTTTTTTTTTTCTGTGAAAAATGCGGCATGTTCATTCCTTAATATCTTTGCATCGTCAGCTTCTCTCTCGGATGCATCATGTCCGATTTCAGTCATCTGCTCAAGTTCTTATAAATAAGGCCGATCTCCACATCCCCTCACTAGGCACAACTTTTTCATTTCTCTGGCTCCGTGATTCATGCCAATCACATGCATGCGTACATCTGTCTAATCAACAAAAGCTTCATCGAAGTTCTGACATTCCTCTCGACATACGACCCGATCAAGTCGAGTCTTTCGCCGATGGGCTTCAGATACGTTGGTCTGATAACCACGAATCGGAATATACATGGGAATTCCTTAGTCGACATGCATCCCCCCAGAATCTCTCTCGATTCCATGGAGATGTGTTCAAACAAGCATGGAACAACGCGTCCATCACTAAGACCTCCGATCTTTATATATCTTACGAATCTATTAAAACACCGTTGGGGTTATTGGCTGCAATCGATCACATCTGCCGTTACGGACTTATATTCATTGTAAGTGACAGCTGTTCCGAATTTCCTCCCGTCAGATTAACTTTTGGTACCTAGCGTGGAATCCCGAACGGAGAAACAAGCAATGCGACATGTGAGCTACGCAATCTGGCACAGATGTTCAGTGAAATACGAGAAACATTCTACGGCCCATTGTGGGATGTAGTCAATATCGCGAATAGTCACAATATTGCGTATACAAATCTTGATCTCGGCCTCCATATGGATCTCCTGTATGTATCCTCCATCTACATATTGTCTCAACTAATGTCCCCCAGATACTTCCAAAATCCACCTCAATACCAGATACTCCATTGCCTACGAAATCAGGTTGAGGGGGGTGCCTCCTACTTCGTCGATGCGCTCTTTGCGGCAGAGAAACTGAAAGAACAAAATCCATTTCACTTCGACGTGCTCACCTCAACGCTTGTCCCATTCCATTATATCAACGACGGACATCACCTTCACTTTGAGCACCCCACCATCGAGCTATCCAAAGATGGAAAGACCATCGCACAGCTTAACTATTCCCCTCCGTTCCAAGCGCCTCTGCTGCTTTCTACGCCGCCGGCGTTTTTCTCCGCTCTGAGGGAATTCACGCGCTTGCTGAACGATACCAATAATACTTATACATACACCCTTCAAGAGGGAGACGCTGTTCTCTTTGATAATCGCAGGGTACTTCATGCCAGAACTGCATTTCAGGACAAGCCTGGGTTTACGCCGAAGGAAGGGGAACCCAACCGATGGCTAAAGGGCTGCTATATTGAAGCCGATGCAATGTGGGATCGCGGGAGAATATTGCGAAGCCAGGAAGGCGCGACCACACAGTAAAAGCCTTTTAAAGCTGTATCATGCTTAGGGAATGGGAAAGGTACAGTAGATATGAAGAGAAGTCAGACGTATTGCCAAAAGCCGCTGTACCAATTTTTAAACAACAACGATAGTGCTGGATTTTGAACTCGATGAATAACAAATGATACTTGAGGAATGTATACGTTGAGTAAACCTGAATTAATCAAAGTAATTGGGAAGTATTTTTTTGATATGCGAAAGCTAACATGTGATGTGAACACAATTAGCGTACAGTACAAAGGTGGGAATCTGAAGGACGAGCATACGATACAATTTTGATGCTTCTACCTACAGCTTGCTTTTCTCCGATTTCTTGATGTACGCAATACCAGAGCCAAGAGAGATCTGGTAAGCCAGACTTCAGCATCAAATGTAAGTAGAAGGACAGCGATCATTACCTTTCCAGTGGTGACATTCTTGGTTATAAAAGAAATTTCCGTCGTCCCGTGAGGCCCAGGCCCGATCTCCCAAGCATGAGTCTCCAACGCGTCACCCGGCTTCACCGGCGACGTGAACCTCACCCCAAACAGGGTCAACGCATCAGGGTCATTATTAGCTATTGCCTTAATGAGCCCCCCAGCAGCAAATCCATATGTCGACAATCCGTGGAGGATTACTCCTCCGAACCCTGCCGCGTGTCCAATTGAGGGGTCTACACCACGATATGTGAGTACAGGAGAATACGGCGATGGATGCGTCTCACCGACGTGTAGCGGGTTATAGTCCCCACTAAGCCTGAACAAGATGGCCTGTTCCGGTGACGTCTGATCTGTAATTATCCAATCAGGTTTGCGATTTTTTGGGGCGGCCTTTGCTACAGGGGCACTGGCGATGACTTTAGTAAAGCTCGTTCCGTTTGCTTTAGCTCCGAGATTGAACGTGGAACTCTGTTGTTCGTATTGAGTGAGAAGACCTATTGGATCGTGAAATGCAGAGAACGAACATAAAGTCTCGCGTAAGGTACACCATTTGGATCAACGAGCATATTTTCCATAGTTATGACAATGCCACTCTCTACGAACTTTGAGCAGTCATATACCATTCGCAATGTGAAAACTCACTATTTTCCGAGATACCGGTGTATCTCGACGTCCATTTCCAGCCCGGTCCACTCACCAAAGGAAGCTTTTTTAAAACTTCTATGGATTGGCTCCCGTGAAGCTTAAAAAGTTCTCAGAATTTGCATATATGGGATACAAAGACAGTATGATACTGACCATCTTATTTGGATCCATTGGAGGTATACCCGGCGCATGGACACTGCCTTTCGCTCTTGAGGCAAACAAATTGACATCTTGTTCCGCGCCTTTCAAAGCCAAGACGACAGGATATGTTGGTAGGGCAGAGAATTTCGGGTCTGTTATTAGTAATTATCTGAGTTTGTGGTTGTAAGTGCGAACTTTGGGACACGGACCGAGTTCTGTGATACCAACAACAGTCTATAAGGATGCCTCAAGGTAAAATATGCCGCACCATAGATGTAAGAGAAATCATCACTTTTCGCCCCTACACCCACTGCATACGTCAGTAGGTCCCGCTTGTTCCATGCAACCTAATAAGATTGAGTTGGAAAATTTCACACATGCCTCGCAAATATCGCACCTCTCGATCAGGTAGTGAGAATCCTACAGCCTTTGCTAAATCGTAGGGCATTTCGAAGACCAAGCGGAAACGAAGGTGGTGTGCTGAGGTCAATTGCCCATGGCCTATATATAGTCAACCGGTTATGTTTCCGGGATAGCCGGTGTAGCGCGATCGGGCGGGTATTCAGTCAGCTTGAATCACAAGACCAGTGGCCACAGGGGTACTGACCGTTAGAATCGCAAGGTTGGACTCATGAGGGCAAAAAAAAAGGATTATCTGTGATAAATGCGAAATGGGGGTTAACTGTCACTAACAACGAAATGTATAGGCTTTTATACAACGAAATTCCGTCAGAAATCAACGAACACGGAAGTAAATCTATACTCCAACCAAAGCGACCGACTGTCAGTGCCATATAAAGCTCTAAATCTCACTAGCTCGTGATAATGTATATAGAGAGAAAATTTCCCATTTCTGGAGGCTCACAGCATTTATTGAGCACCCCCTGTAGTATTTTGATCAGATATTCACAGAAGTGTAACACCCCGTGGAAGATCTGGTAGAAGTACTACAGTACACCGACTAAAATTACCACCATCAACCGACGGCTGGATTGCACGGGTCAAGCTATGAATAAGCGCATTTGCACGTGAACGATCTGCAACGAGGTCATGGTTTAGATTCGCAGACTTACGCTCTCCTCCAGTCTTCAATTCTGTTTGTAATAGCTTGGGAAGCGGAACCCAGTGTTAATATGAAATAAGAAGCGGCCTAACAGACTTCTGAAAAAGCGATGTAGGGCGTGGTGTATAAACATTCCCAGACTCGCATCCATCAATCATGATGTCGTGCGCGGCAAGTCAGCGTCGCTTGGTGGGATAATTGACGATTGAGCCAGTGAACCTACGTGAAAAGTCAATCTGTATGAATTTTTCAGTGTTGAAAAGATCCAAGTAGACACAGTTATGCCAGAAAGCTTAGGAACGAGGAAAGCCGGCAAAAAATTTGGGACATAGGAAGAAGGCGCAGAAGATGCGGACTTGAAAGAAATAAATATTGTAACTTCCTTCGAAGTTGTTGTCGCGTCGATGTCTAGAAGGGCCTGGTATTAGAAAGCTGATGATTCAGGAGCCTGATGATCGCAGATTCGGTAAGAAGAAAACGGTAAACGCAAGTCACCTCGGCCTCGGCTTCACAACCCTCTGAAAGACCACGTCCCATTTAATGCATGCCAAGATTTCTCATTAAAGCGCTCATCGTCAAGGCTTCCAATTAGGGGATAACGGTATGGAGAAGATTCAAGCGGTCTTATGAGGGATTTTTACCGCGAAGATCCGGAGTGTTATCCAGCTACTTCTTAGTAGAGAACCAACAGACTTGCACTAGTCTGATGCCCGCGGATGAATCATCTAAATAGACCGTGTGTGTTCTCGGCGTCCGACGGGGTTTTTAGAAAGGCAACGACGGTGTTTGAAGTGATGTTTGGAGAGCGGGCTTAGTGAAAAAGTAGGGGTCATTTAGGATGGTACGACACCTTTAGGAAGACCATTCAGTTTCGGCCAGCACATTGAAAGGAAGCGGTAGGTGTCAAAGCGGTCGAGGCAATATAAATGAAGTCCTCCATCCTATATCCAAGAGAACGGAAACACTGGTAGTAGACCAGAAACTTGACGAGAAAAACGAGTTTTGGACACAGGCCATTATGAGGAAAGTTCAGAGCTCATCTAACAAAGTCAAGGGCATACTTTACTCGAGGAATCTTTCAAAGCACATCTTCACGAAAGTTTCCGGAAACAAATGACCGCGGGAGTTCAGAATCAAAGATCTCACGAGTCAGCGATCGCAGCGACCTCAGGAAGGCTCAAGATTAATGAATGTGGCACCGTCCTACTAGAAGTCAGAACTAGCAGCACGAGCTTTTCGGTACTTCTGTTCTTCACAATCTTCCTTGAGCCTGTTTGGAATTTACAAGTTTGACGCGTTACCCAGTCGCGGTGGTCGCAGGAATTGAGTTCAAGACTCCGCCTGATCGGTCCGACTGACCGATGTGGCAATGGCAGTGCCGCCGAGTTCGACTTCGCCGCCAACACATCACAAGGTGAAGTTGAATTCCGCATTGCAGGCAGGACCCTCTACTGCGACTACTGGCGAGGATTATCCTTACTCTCAGAAAGACGGCGAAGTCTCGGTCCTTCTTTTGCTGAACAGGGTTACTATACCGACAGTTTTCATGTGTTTCACTCAGACCCACGAAAAACGCCACGAGTCTTTTATTTTCATGCTGTGGGAAGCCGACGGTCTCTCACTGAAATCATCTGCGTTCTAGCCACATCTTTTATTTGCTCTAAGCGCTTTGTAACCCACTGCTGTGTTTAACCGCGTTTTCGGACGCCGGCCCACAATTGCAGTATTCAATGCAATGAGTCCGGAGACCAAGTTGCGCCTTAAAACTGTGAATTTTTTAGTCGCACTCTTTCATGCGGATTCTTTTCCTTCTTGACCTACCCATTGATTATCCAAGGCCATCATACCACCGCACGAAATTGAACTTTACGTTCCTATTGATCAAAGATGCTCTCTGGGTCCATAACGCATATGGTCATTACAGCTTTTTGCAACCGGCCTGTTCACAGAAGTACTATTCTCCTTCCCTTGCTCGTACTGGAGACCCGGAGCCGAAAGCGAAGCCGAGGAAAGCCAGGGGCGTAGGTGTCATTAACCGATGCTAATGGAATCTGATACACTACCCAACTACAGATTGTAGCCTAGGACAGCTCAGGGATCTTCCCGGAATTCTAATGAAAGAAGGCGTGGTCGGGGGGGAGGGGGGGGGGGGGGGGGGGGGGCTGTCTTCGTTCTTCCTCACAAGCATGAAGACTGTATGGAGCAAAGTCACAGTTGCCGTCATCTAGATTATCTCCAGGGACTTATCTCCAAGCACCCTCTCGCGGCCTCCTGAGTCGCTGTGGTGTTTCTGGTATGTTTTCTTCTTCCATCACTCTATAGGTCGGAGATTGCCTCAGCGAAGAAACGCAGCATACATCCCCCCTTTGTTCATCGTCATCTGACCTTGATGTACTTTTTTCTGACGTCTATACCTCAGATAGTCGCACTCAATCAGACCGAATCTCCTCTTTGTAATAATGCTGCCAAATTATACGAGACCACCTGATGACCGAGTGCCATCTTCCCTATCCAGCTTCACTATATCTGTTTGATCCGCTTGAGGCGGCGTTCTGTATGCGTAGTTCCAACTCTGTGTACATAGTTGCGTCGTAGCGAAGCGGCTTTCAGGCCCAGAATCCACTAGCTGAGGATCCCACGTTCAAAACCAATTTCCCAGTCCGGAGATGAAGATGACAATAGCGAAAGGTACCATCTGTCATCATGAAAGAAAAGATTTACTTCGTAAATGGATCGCTGCGTCTTATTCAGTAAGGCTCCAAACCTGGAAACTAGCTCTGGAACCTTTCCTTACGACGTATCTCCTCCCGCATGCTCAGTAATAAATTTCCGGATCCCTCGCTCTTTACTGTTTGCTTGCATCGCGACAGGACTTCGAGCATTTTTCAACGATTTGGAATAACTTGGTTGCAATATTGCACATAGTATAGTATGCCATTAAAATATCTAACCGCTTTGACGTAGACGAGAATGGCGGAACCCTCTGAATTTTACCGAAGTCTCAGGGAGAACGATGTGCGACCAAGTTGGTGGTACCTTCCTCTTCGTTTTGACCCCGTGGCAATGAGTAAAAATTTCCTCCACCCTCCGGACGCCAACCCAATGGACCAGCATGTCCCGGGAGTTTGGGATTTCTAATTTCAGGCGACAGGTTTTCGATGTATCGTTAGGCCACCGAATTCATTGCCCTGATAGGCTAGGCTACGACATACGATTCGCTATCGTACAGGGGCATAATTTGAACAAATTGCGGAGAGGAATCGCTGGCAGCATGCATGATGGAAGGCCAGGCATCATCCGTATGCATGGTGCAGTTGTGTATTCAATTCAAATAATAACTCAACGGGCGTGCTTTTCCAGACAGACGTAATCCTGATACCGCGACACTCTGAGAAACATCCACAGGGTGACCGAGCTTCCCGCGACTGGACGATTCCAGTGTTCGACACAGCAGTCTGCAGGGTAATTCAGGGGGGGACTCCTTTTTGTGATAAGTAAATCAAAGGCGGGGCCGCTGGTTGCTCACCTAAGTAACACCTAACGACGCTCGAGTTGACCTGATGAAGCCGTCGGAAATAGTTTCAAGGACTAGAAATGACGATTGTGTCGTGGGAGTGGTAGAATACTCCTTACGTCAATCAGCACCTCGTCGCCTTCAATGGTCAACAGAATAGATGCTGGACTTGCCGCCGAGAGGAAAAGCCGCCGAGAACAACGAGATCACATTGAGTCGCGTTCTGGACCGAGAGAAACTGCATCAAAATGACGTCGTAAATGCATATGAGCATGCGGAAAGAGATTGAGAAGGAATGGTAATATCAAGACAGCGTTGGTAACCCGTCATGGTATATGATATCCAGTGGGTACCTGAATTGACCCGTATGGTAATTTTGGGCGGCTACAGTCAGACTACACGTCGTCAGTGAGAATATCGGAGGTATTTTTGAGGGCATCTCCAGCATGGGCGCGGAACGTTTCTACTCAGGATCACCGTAGACCAAAAAAGCACTTTCCTTCTAGGAGACTGCGGTCTGATCTTTATGACCTGCTACACTGCTGATGGCACGAACACGTATTCACTCAGGCGATTGTCCTGCGATAAACAGTGCTAAACTCCAAAATAGACTAGCGGAGGACAAAAACCAGCACGGTAATCACCAGAACATAAAGCTTCCGGTGACTTTGTAAGGACAACTGAATACCGGATCTCCTCAGATCCCGGTGGTCCTGAAGAGACCGGGTTCAATGCTGATCAATAATAAGGGGGGATCGAATGATGGAGAAAAACGTTCTCTGCGTCTATGAAAAGCAGGGCCTTGAGGAAGTGACCGGCTCGAAAGAAAGAACCGACTATTGCCTGTCAAACGCATGCCGTCAGGATTCATAAAATCCAAAATAGACAGCTGTGATTTCCTTTTCTGCCACAGGGTCCCGGCCGTGGCATCGCAGCAAAGTGTTTGAGCGGTAATCTCCAGCTTAATGCCTTGCGCGTGTGCCAAGGACCTTGGTAAGGCCGCAAATGCATCAACTGCGCTGAATGACGGAGTTGACGGAAAACATAAAACAAGAGCTCCATATAGCGTTGCCTGGCTACGACCACACTACGACCTTCAGTCCTTCGGGGAATTTTAATATCCCGATCCGGTCTTCACCGGTGAATTTGCGGTAATTACTACAAATCCTATTTCTGTGTTGTAGAATCGACGAGTATTGGACCTTTTACACGCTCCTTTCTCATGTTTGAAAACACTCACAAATGTACTTTCGGATCCATGCAGTTGCCGTTGAAATCCACCGCTGTCTGATTCAAATTTTCCCGTCAAAAGTCCTCTCATGTGCCCAACGGAGGAAACGGACATTCCCCCTAAGATCTTTGACAAAGCCGTTGATAACAAATTTATGATTCACGCTCAATAGTCGTGATGACCGTTTTCGTCTTGCGGAATATTTTCGCTATCAATTCATTGAAGCGGGACTCACGGCCATTATTGCCGTTTTGCAAATTTATAGGTAGCTCCTCGCATACGTACAACGCCGAGTAGATCTTTTATTGGAATTTGATTTGGCGCCGGCTACTATAGCGATCTGTTAAAATGAGATCATATTTAGTGAGTTACGATAAAATGGACCCGCAGAAAATCCTTCAAAACTGTCATCGAGTTCACCTACCATGCCTTTTATCATGCCAGCCGCAGTTATAGGCACCGGCAATCTCTCAAGGCGTGTCACCGAGGTTTGTCGTCATGTTTCAACCTAGGTACTGAATGGTTTATTGACAACACACCAAAAATGTAGCAACTTCTTGTACGCGGGGCGTACGTCGTTGTTATCGCATCTTCACGGAAAGACTCTTCCTCGACCCAGGAAGAGATACCCAGAGGCTCCATCGTCACCCGCCTGGACTATAGGGACAAGCGCAGTCTAATTTCAGCATTCACCACCTACGGCGTGGAAATCGTAGTCAGTTGTCTTCATGGTGGCGCTCTTGACCTCCAACCCGGGATCGGGGATGCTGCAAAGCAGGCCGGAGTAAAGCTTTTTATTCCTAACGATTTCGGCTTTCCGCTCCCAGGGTACACGCAAAGCACATCTGTGGTCCGAGAAGGTTACGCCCGTGAGTTCTCTCCCCACGCCGGTGTGACCGTGGGTCAAAGACAGTTTACTTTTCATTCATCGTGCAGAACATTTGGCCAGAATAGGCCTGCCGACGACACGAGTATTGGTGCTTAATTTTCTTTATGGCGTTATCGATATCCGCTGATGCCGATGAAACAATCGCAGATTGGAATATGTGCTGAGGGTCTTCCCTGGCTTGTGGCATCCTCCTCTGCACCGGGAAAAGTTTCAATTGTGGGATCGGGAAATGCCCAGGTGTCCTTCACGTCAATCATTGACATTGCAGGTGTGTGGACATCCCCCTTTCTTTCCGTGAAGCGCCGACACACTTTCATGTAGGCTTCATCGGGCATGTGCTAACGTCGTATTCGATCCCGCAACTAACGAATCAGGTGTTCCGATTGGAGGGACAATCGGCCACACTTCGTGAAATCGCCGCAACGTATGGGAAAGAAGCAGTACAGGTCGATTCAGTTGACGATCCGTATGCGACATATATGCAAAAGCAGATAGATCTTGGGCACGGTCGTTGCGGACATGAAGCGCGCAACTCAAGGATGTCACCAGAAGAAGCTGACTTGATAATAGGTTCTTCCAAGGCGTGGTGGGCAGGACATGTATGGAGGAATGTCAGAGGTGCCTTACCCGGATTCTGACAGTATTTTCAAGGACCACGAGGTACTTATGACGATTATTTATTACACACCTAATCATTCCTGTAAACGAAGCAATGTTTATTTAGCAACCGTTATCGGGACTCGTAGAGGACATACAACAGAGTAGTTTTAATACACGGTCCGACTATCCGGAAATCAACCGCCACATATGATCGTTCGCCACACCATTCGGACGCGGACGCCCCCAGAACCAGTGGAAGCGAAGTTGATTAAAGTCATTTTTTCTACCTGCCGGTTCCCGGAGCTATCATGAGGCGCTACGTGATATGAATGCACGCTAACCAGTAATGAACTTACATGGATAGGTAAGGCAAGCACTACATGAATAGCCTTCGTGTACAAACACGAGACTCAATATAAAACGGCCATCTCGGCGGAGACAATCCCCAATCCTACCGCCGTCATGACTAAGATAGGGAGCAGATTCCAAAAGGCAAACTCTCTCTGCTTGATATGAATATCCTTTTGCCCTAATATCGTCGTCCACAACAGACCAGCCAAACTGGCCGAAAAAGTGAAGCTAACTGCACCGATGTTGCTGGCAACTGCTAGCGCGATTCCCGCTGCGCGGGTACTGTCTGGAGGGAGGTCCGCAGCACGAACGACCTTTGTTAGAAGTATGGTTGCCCCAATGTTCGTTCCTGAGCAATTGCATAGTATAACTCCCAGGACACCAACGAGCCAGATGGAGGAATGGATGGAACGGTGAGAGGCACGAACAAGCCAGTTTGCAAAAACTTCTATCCAGCCTTGATGTTGAAGAGCTTCAATAAGGATGAATTGGGAAAAGGCGAAAGGTACAAGCCCGAAAGGCAAACGCGGTAGGGCTGTGAAGAAGGTTGGGAAATGGGCCGCGAGTCTTCGATGGGTGGCGTGGAAGCGGGGTCGCTGACTTGCGAATTGCTCCAACCGGGGCTCCTCAAGCTTGGGGCTATGGGTATTTTGGGTCTCGATGTATGACTCGGACGATGGAACGGTATCTTCCCTGCGGCTACCATCCAAGTTTGGGCTATTTATCAGAGTAGGATCCCCGGAAGTGAATGTGTTATTACGTTCGACATTTCCGGTTTCGCTAGACTTTGACATAGCGCGCCTAAGTTCCGACAGCATCGGGTCAGCATCAACATCCTCCACTGGCTGTGCACCTGATAATCCTGATTTCTGTGTGTCTCCGGAAAGCCTGCACTTTCTAACGGACCGGATATGATCCCATACAAAGTCGAATATAAGTTTGACGCCTGCGAACGGGAGACTAATTTTCCATACATCAATGTGGAAGAAACTGACGACAATGATGATGATAAGGCATGATCCCAGAATCAAACTCCCCGCGAGCGCCCCAAAGGGGTCACGTAAAACTCCGCGAACGTTAAGGTGGCCAATAGTTGGTAATTTTCGGGGAACGTGCCTAGCGTTCCTGAACTGGAATGCCAAGGCAATGAAGCAGAAGACACTGCAGCCCAAGAACGGCAGTATAGTATATACTGTGAAGGCTGCGTTGATGATGTTGAAGCCCTCGCAAATAACGACGTTGGTTGGGTTACCGACGAATAAGACCATGCTCGCTGTATTGGCTGCAGCGAACTCGGATATGAGCCATGGCATAGGTTCCAACCCGGTAGCTGTTGTATAATACACCAAGAAGACGGTGCCGGAAAGAATGACGGGGTCGTTGCCCACGATAACACTCGTGAGCGTGAGCATTATGTAAAAGTAAAAGAAAAGCTTCCAGCCACTGGATCCGCCTTTGTTACTGACCCAAAACGCAGCGGCTTGAAGAAGTCCTGATATGTCGAGCGTAATGGCCATGTAGGCAAGGGAGAAGAACAGAATAAGGATGTTGTACGGCTTGACGCCATCTGGAGATTATATCAAGAAAAATCTGAAAGACAAGAGAACAAGCAAGCTCTTCTTACCAGTTCCAACGATTCCATCGCGAATCTGAGAAACGTCAACATTACAATGCATATTCCGCGAATTGCGTGCACACACACACACCTGTGTTGCCCCCAGACACTGAGATGCCCATAGGATTGCGATAGCAAGGATGGGCGCAGTGGCGAGATTTATGGGAATTTTTCTGCGACCAAGATAAGGTATACGAAGGGTGAACGAGACGGGGTATATCACAAAGGTGATAGAAAGGATAAAGAATATCAAGGTGACGATGGAGAATCGAGTAATCATGATCGATGTAGCCGACGATTCTTGCTAAGAACCATCAACGTCTTCAATGTTTTAACGTCAACAACCGACGAATATATAGTACTGTCAAGAAAGCTTCAAGAGGGAGACTTTTGCCTATGCAGTGGTCCAGGTAAGAGTTGCTGAAATTTGTATCGCCTTGACAAGGCACCCACCTGGCTCCACGGGGGCAGTAGCTTCGTTCTCACCTCGATCCTTACAGCAATTCGCGTAAGACAATCTTGCACGGTGATCGTCAAGGTCAAGGATGCAATGCTTGAGGTAATGCGCACTGTTGGACCGATAAATACGACAGCCGGGGGACGGAGACTTTCTGAGACATGTTAGTAAAAGATCCACGGCAATTGGTCATATCTTACTTTTCTGACTGGTACATGGGCCTTCTACAGCGTCGACATCACCCCCGAGCACCTGCAGCGACGACGAGATAAAGATCAGACCATTTTCAAAGTCAGGGACTCATGGTTGATGCCGGCTGTCCGCCGCCGCAACAGGGCGCTTATCACTCACCATCTCCATGAAAAGATGGCAGGTGGGCTCGTACCATCCTGAACCGTAACAGTCATTGACGTTGAGGTAGTGTCTAGCTGACTGAGGCTACTCTTACATCAATGTCGTCTCTTCGCCGGCGTATACGGCCAGCTAGCCATGATTTTGTGCTAAGAAGGCCCCCACCTTCCCACCGGCACTCAGGGCCCTCTGCTCCTTGGTGGGTAACATCCATTTTTCATGCTCTACGCTTCAAACTGACCCTGTGAAGGCCTTGGATCAATCTCAATGATGGTATGTTATTGTTACCGAGAATTTGTTGCAATGATTGAGAAACTCAGACTTGTTTACAGAGGTCGACGACGAACAGCTCAAATCAGAAGCACCCCCCATTCCGGAGCTGTGCAACCATGTCGACTGCAACGGCTGTTGGAAAGGCTATCCTCAGTCACGTTTCCCGAACTGGACACCTTCTCAAGTCAGACGCAGTCGGATACTTTATGCCATTAAAGAATACGACCGGACCATCCCATGCACGATTCATCATGTCGACGTTGACGACCGCGGCTTTTTTATGGACTCAGGGAAGAAAGAGGCTACAGAGCAAACGAAGGATGACTTCTGGGAGCATCTTATTCACCACCACGTACGTGCCCTACTCTCGAGCGTATGTTTCATCTGACGCTCACTCAGAGGCCGACGAACACGCGTGTCCGGGCGCTCTTTGTTGAAAACATGTCAGGGCCAGTGCTACAAATGCTTGGCGCAAAGTTCGCTCGGGTCCTGTCCATTCAATCGCTTGACTAACCGGCGCATATTTTTAGATACAACATAGAACCGTTCTTCTTCTCATCATCACTATCATGGATACCATCGCGCTTCCAGGAAGAAGTGAGACCGGGAAGGGGAGACCGTAAGCTCAGCTACCATCCATGCAATCCCACAGTTGCTCAGCAACTATGGGCAGATATTACTATTACATTAACGTTTCTCAAAACCATGGATGCAATCGTCGCGAGCGATTCTACTTCGTCAGCAGCTAGTGAAGACACTCTCGCTCGTGAGCATTGCTCCCGCGATTCGATTCATTGATTGAATGACACTTTTGAGCAGGTGAGCAAGTAATCAACACCCAAGCCCCTTTGGTCCTGCGGTCCGGTAAGTATTGTATAGCAACATGTCGGTCTTAGTTTATTTGTCCTTCTCAGGCGATGGCTGCTCCCTGGTACTCGATCTACTTGCAGTTCATCTCATTCGAAACGTAGAAGGCAATACCCTCATATCATACCATAATTCTGACCGCGAGGCAACATCTGCCCCATATCTTCACGAACGTATACGCTTTGCAGGTAACTCCCCGGACATCGAGTTTGTCGCTCTTCGGCTCACAATTCCCTAGGCCAAAGTGTCTATTGGCAAAATATATTTCAACGGTCTTCGGACCCTACATTCGTCCTCCTGACGTTCATATGGCACGCCGTGTATGCTTGGGACGAAGCGCTTGAGGCTTTGTATGCGCACATATGTTGGCTAGTGCGTTGTCTTCCCATTGATATCCGACGCCGGTTTCTCACCTTCCACCAGGAAATTAGTGTCTTAGAACCCTCAAATATCTTTCTCACACGTGAACTACACATTATACGTGCGCATCATTTGCACTATTCTTCTTTATTGGAAGATATGAAGAAGGCCGTTACATTCACACGCGATACCCCGAATCCGGCTATGGACAATGTACCCGAAGAGGAAAAACAGTTTAGTCGGACACTGTTGGAGAAGGAATGTCGAAACCTGCTTTCGGAAATCGGCCGACTAGAAATGAGTCGACGGATGCAGGATAAGCGACTTAAAAATGTCATGAATCTAGTAAGTAGTGGGGCGTCTATCGGTTGCAGTTGCCCTAGTTGATCGGACTTGCTACTAGGTGTTCAGCAGTGTCAATATTAACGATAGCAAACGTATGAAGGAGTTAACGGAGGCTGCTGTAAGGGACAGTGCGGCGGTATGTCTTTTCCTTTGGTCGGCTAGTGTCGATGACTTATTCCATGAAGATGAAACAAATAGCATATCTCACTATGATCTTCCTCCCCTCTTCGTTCGTCGCTGTATGTGTTCTGGACCGTGCTTGCGCAGATACTAATGACTATCATTCTAGGGCATTTTTGGAATGAATGTCCGAGAGATCACCGGCACCCCCCAAATGAATGGGAGTCTACCATACTACTTTATAACGGCTGCTCCCCTCACGTTCTTGACGATATGGATCGTGATGGCTTTCCAGAGCAAATATCTCATTGACTCTTCAGCCACATTTTGGATGCGCCTTGTGTGGCCGTGGCTGCTGTACAAGAAGGTGTTTATGACCCAGAAGAAGAAGGAGAAGGAGGATGTATCGTTGGATACATTTAGGGACCTTGGGGCGAAATGACTGTCAGTTAGGTAGTGAAGCGTGCGTGTTCATCAAAAGTATATCGTACGACATCCCATGTATACCATATTTTGGTACTATTACCTTCTTGTTTACGGACACCACTGTTTATATATACCTACAGTCGTATCGCTTTAGAATCACAAACGTGAAGAAAAACGGGGTCATTCACAAGGGTATAACAAGATGGCAAAAAACAATTGGTATGAGGTACAATTAGGAGAGTAGAATGGAGAGGGGCATAAATCAAGTAGTCATCGATTATTTTCGCGCCCAACGCATATTCTTCATTGCCGACGGTAGGTATGGTTTTCCTGTTAATACATCCTACAGGTGCAAACTAGATTGACAAGATTTTGGCGCAAGTGAGCTCAACTTTACTCGTAGGCAACGAGACTCGGAGATTTATAATTGGCACAATGAGGGAACAATATGATTGATTGAAGGAACAAAACCAGAAACAAAAACAAAAAACTGAGAGAGACAATAAATAGCATATAAGGTGATACAATTGGGAATAGTTGAAATATAAATGTGATTGGAGGAGAAATAAAATGTCTCTGTAGTCATTTTCGCGTCCTCGATGCTACTCCGATCGATTCTTCGTCAAAGGCAAAGTCGAAGGGCCCCATCCACTCTGGAAGCGCCTCTTCGAATTTGAAAGACGCGAACTTGAATGATTCTGAGTCGGGGGATGGAACTCGTGTTCCAAAGAGATCCTTGCAGATGTCTGCGATATCAGCGTCGGTGGCGGCAGAGTAGTTGGCCAAGGCGGATGTAGAGGCTTCGGACCCCTGCTCGTTGAATACGCCGCTCGTTGTCATAGCCGTCTGTCGAGCCGGAAGGGGTTGATAGGGACGATCGAGGAGGGAGAAGAGCGACAACGATGCCTCGATAGTTGTTGGGGACAGTCCTTCAAGAGGGAAGCCGGCCCTGGCTGCGGGGTAAACTTCTTTGGCTTGTGGGAGTGTCGGCATCTCCATGTTCCAGTCCAACGAACAGGAATCATCCATGACTTTAGACGAAGAAGGAGTAGCAGGATATTTCGAAGGGGAAGGAGAAGGGGAGACGGTGGAAGGGGAGGTGATGGTAGTGGCTCGAATGGTGCGTCGAGTGGCGGCCAATGTTGAGATCTTTTTGACGTACAGAGGACCAGTCCGCTTCTCCTTCGCCTCCTTGATAACATCCTGAGGTTTGCGGTACTTCTTGGGCACGTAATTATGATGTCTCTTGCGATGGCGGAGAAGTGAGCCTTTGTTAGCAGTCGTGACAACACAGTTCGGACAGCGGTATGGTTTAAGGCCAAGACTTGGGAGGATAAAATGTCAGGATGCCGTTAGGGACTAGGCTGTTCATATGCACTCACTGCTGGCTGTTCATATGACTCTCCAGATTGGCAGCCTGGTTGAAGAAGCGGCTGCAACGTGGGCACTGATACCTACCCCTGCGAATTAGATCGTTAGTCGTCACGTACTCCGGTAGCGATAGAGTACCCACTTTGTGTAGTGAGCTTTAAGATGACGATTCAGATCGCTCTTATGCACGAACAGCTGATTGCAGTTCCCGAAGGTGCAGCGGAACAAGTCTGGCCGCTGGAAAAAGACCAACGAGGGATTACATCAGCGAGGAGACAATAGGTGGGCCATATGAGGAAAACACACAATGTCCAAGTTCATGGATGAGGAACTCATAGTACGACAGAGGGGGGGAGGAGGGAGATAGACTGAGAGGACGGGAAAACCTGGGAGGAAGCCCGGGGGATGATGAAAACCATGGCGGATTCCCCTCCTTATAACGGATTTCGCGAGTTGGGTGAATTGGTTGGCGGGATTTACCTTGTATAGAGAGAGTTGCCCAACGGAGGAATGTAGCGGGACAAGCCCGTCTGGCTGAGGCAAGCAAATGTCTGTTATGGCTATAGGGCATAGGCAATCCGAAGGAATAACCTGATTAGCGATTTATGAGGCGGTGCTATGTGCATCGAGTGGCTCGAGTGGCCATAGCAATTCAGGGGTCGCTATGGGTACACAATTGTGGTCATAGCGTTGGAGGACAGAATTGATGGAAGCGAAGAGCTGCCTTGCCATCATATTATTCGTGGAGGAGCGAGATAATTCATCTCAGTTGGCTAGTAATACTAGTCAAGATGAATATGTGCAGTAATCTGCAACTGTAATCAGTATAGTCTTTTGGCTATATATAAAAATAGTAGTCTGCTGAGACGACTTACGCATTGCGATGAATAAAGTGCACCTGCGTGTGTACATCTTGTGCTGCTAAATAATTGACACAGATATAGACACAAAAAGTTTGCGCCAACGGTACTGGAACGTTGCAAGTAAAGTTGGGTCAGAGTCCAGTTTGGCGCTGCCAGTGATTGCCGATTGCGTATCGAGAAACATTGAAGATTATTTGAATACATAAAGCACACTGGAATTTAACACTTATCAAATAGAATATCAGCTAAGGCGACAAAATAGCGCACAGTAGAACAACAGACCTGATTGTAATCTTCGAGCCTACCTGAGAGCAACGCGAGGCTATCGGTCCGAATGCGACATGGCTTTCCCACGGGCGTCATGTGCGCATACTCTTCGGTTGACAATGCTGCAGCCTTCTGCCAATTCCAAGACCAAAAAATGACAGGAAAAGGGTTGTTGCATGTTGCTAGAGGATGCCCTCCATGCCTGCACTATTGCTTCTGGGTTACCGGAGCAAAATTGAGTGCCATATCATGGATTGGAAATATTCAGAGCTGCCCGAGTTTATATTCCCTCGCAATTACACTTGTCCCTCTGGTCACTGGCCTACATGTGTAATCCTTCACTCACCTTGTTATTCTATGGTCCCTGTGACAGTATCAAACCCATGAGCTGTCGCCAGTTGGCACCTGGTGGATATCACAGCGGCACGGTATTGTTATGGTCTGACACTCTTAGTGGCAGCACAAAACATCAGTGTCCCAATGATATACCAGTTGGTTTCTCTAACCTCCAACCTCTAAACTCTAAACTCTCGTTGCGGCCCGAATATCGAAGGAAGGGGCTTACATAAAGAATCAATGGGAATTTGATTTCTTCGGTTTTCGCGCTTGATCTCCTTTCACGCCGTACATCAGATCCTGATGAATACCGAATACCATTACATGCGATTCTCCGTGTCTCCAAAGATATCCGATGCACTCTCTGTGCGCCAGGCCATACAGGGCGCTCTCGTACAAGCATTCGGCGTCGCTGGCGGGTCGATATACCTAGATATCCTATGGGTGGCCGAGGAGGGCAATGAGATGGTCGTACGAACGACGAAAGGGTGAGTACAATTTTCTTTGACATTCTTCCGCCGCTAATGTCCGTTCAAAAGAGATTCAATGATGATTGTTGCCGCTGTCACTTCAGCCTCAACACCGAGGATATCGCTGCAAAAGGAATCGTCGTTCCTGCCTGCGCTCAGTAGCACATCGGCAACGCTCGATGAAGAACACTTATGAGTGCTGAACATCAACGGTGCCACGATTTGTTCGACCAGGATATATGTGGTCGGACAATTCCTAGTCCATCCAGAATGTGACCTACGGATCTCCCTGTTCGAAATGATGAAGCCTTTCTGTCTCAGCCTCTAGACATCCATCCTACAACCGCAATTTCCGTTCATGATTAACCGCAGTCCTCATCCGAGGACAAATGTCCGGTGATTACAGCGTACGAAACGGAATGCCCTCGGATCTGACTCTTCTGGCTCTTGAAACAGAGAGAAGACGCGTGGTTACAGCTCTAAAACACAGTTGACCAGACTTCGGCCAAGTAAGCAATTTTTTTTACTTCGCCAAGTTGTCATGTCTTCAGGCTTTCCCTCCCTGTCACATTCTCGAACCATCTTTTACCACCAATCACTTAAAACGAACCCACGGCTACTCTTATTCATGTGAGCTATTACGCAGCATGCCTCCACCGATGCAGTTTCGACGGTATCCCGTCTTGGCAATACGCTCACCATACTGGAAGAAGTAACGCGACATTAGATTGGGAACAGTTTGGCAGGCGGACAAATGGATGGGACATTCCAACGTTCCACATTCAGGACCAAGTTTGAATTGATATCAGTGTTTATGAACCAGTTGGGCTGCGACCATAATGTCATCATGGCCCGGTCATACAAGTGTTCCGGGAGCCGTCTGAGTCAGTGTTCTAGACTGCAGAATCGCTTTCTTAAGATATAAGAACTTTGAAACCAGAACTTCTCTGAAAGGGGGGTTAATATATTATAGTCTACTATTGTCGAACTAATCATTTCTTCCTAAGAATGCCAGAAAAGATATGAGATAACATTTGTTGATGGTCATTCCCAAAGTGGATCTCATTAGTGCTGTATGATGTTTAAAAAGGCTCAGAAATCCACCTAGTAACAGGAGCAAGGGTCTGCGGTCGATCGCTGAGACAGTTTTTTGATCATCAATGCCTGAATCACCCAAATGTGGAGCACCATCAGGTATAAAACGCAGGGGCAACAATGCCTTCAATCACACAAATCCCCACACAACTCAGCTGAACACATCATCTCTACAATTGCTGTTGAACAATGACAGACATACTGTCTGCCAAAATACTTACCATGATCATTAAGGAAGCATGGGCCCTTCCTCTCACACCCTTTGAATGACTCACAATGGTGACCTCATCCCTTCTCATGAGCAAGTCATTCTCCTGGAAATTCACTCACATGTTCTGTACTGACATACACATCCTCACATCTTTCCACCTTAACCATGTCATTGACTGTATCCTACAATGAGACACTGTAGCCTTCCAGTGTGCCTACTCTTCATTTTTGCCATCAAAGTTCTGCTGGTCTCTATCCTTCACCTTTGAACTTGATATTCATTGATATAATTCTATAGTGTACCTGGCATGGAAAGATATCCACCATGTCATGCCATTACTTAGACACATCTTCTCCAACATCTCATGGATATCATTGAACTACCACAACTGGTGGTACAATGACACTGAACTCACATGGCTCCACTTACCAGAACAGGTAACCGAGCTAGACATTGTGCACACACACAGCATGGCATTGACAAAGAAGCGTCTGGAGAGGATTAAAAAGTTGGAGGTTATGTTCTGACATGACTTACCTGGAGTCAAAAAGTTGACATTCCAGGGGGGGAATACCTTGGTTTACATCCACATCATGCGAGCATGTTACAATGCAATAATTACTGGACTTGGGAAGAAGACCGATGGACAAAGACTTTTTCAATAAATTATTGTTTTAATGTTTCTTTTTGTTCTGTCGTATCACCTGGTATATCTTCATTAACTATTTTGCACCTTGTTATGTCTTCGGACCTTTCTGAATTTTATCCTCAGTGCATATTCAGATTCAGTTATAATCTACGAACAAATTCGCTTAACGTGCTGATTCAAACGCTTTGGAAATGCATGCTCAGCCGTTTATGCCTACTCGAAGGAAGAGAAAACGTTGCTCGATAAATGTAAGCCATAATTGCCATGTTGATGGTGTCAAATGCCAACGGCTGTCACTTTCTTCCAAACCTCCATGACCGCTAGAAGCGTCTCACCCCTCCGCGACGGACATCGACAAGTGCTGAGAGTCGTAATAACAATCTACTCATCTCTCTGTCAAATGTTATGTGTACTAGTTTCGTTATATAGCGTTTCAAATACAGTGATCTAAAGTAAACCCACGAATCCCATAACATAAAACCTAGCGCATGCTACCACTGTATCCACTCGCCATACATATTCGGTCGTTCGCCTCGTATGTAAGACTCAAACGTCCTTTTGAGCACAGCTGACCAGTCCAGATCGCGCTTGTCGTCCACTACTCTGTCCGGTATTCTCTCCTCGTCAGTAGCGTTTCGGGCAATCTGTTCACCGGCTGCGAAACGCTGGCCAAGGTCCGGAAAATTTCGCGATAGATCAAATGGCTTCCACCTAGACGAGATGAGGATGAAGGAGTGCAAAAAGACTAGGAAGACATACCAGAAATTGTGGAAATGATATGAGTACGCGCCTTTAAAGAAGCCATTAAAACCTAAGGCTTGTGGCGCAGCACTGTTTTGTATTGGGGTATCAAAGAAATCCGCGAATCTAAAAAACAGACCTAAATCAATGAAAGGAAGGAGAAACAAAGTTTTGCGCCCTCACTCTGTGAAATATGGCTGCGGAGGTCGATCTCGTTGATAGTATTCGGTATTTAGCCATGCCGAATCGAAGAGGGCATCCGGCAATCGCAATAATAACCCTTCCAGGTACGCATCCGCCGTATACCTGGATATACTCATGGGATGGAAGTCCAGCCCGTTCTTCATCGCCGTCCGAAAGAGGAACGTACCCAGGGCAGATCCCTTAGTCATTCTAAGCACCGCCGTGTTGTACTTCTCCAGTCTGGACCACCGATACGCAAACGCTCCTTTCCAACCCCAGAGCTCCTCCCAATCGCGAAGAAAGATGGTATCAGCGTCAAGATAGATTCCACCAAACCGGTGGCACAGGACAAACCGTGCCATATCCGAAAGGATGACAGACAATCGGTCATACGAGCTTGATGACTTGGACCCAGCGCGATTGACCATATCTTCTTCTTCCGTGGCCGCTGTGGACGTCCCATTCGATGATGACGCCTCCGCAGGGACATTAATAACATAACCTCCAGAGTTGAACAGTGCATCTTTGAGCACACGCCAATCATCTTTCAGCTCTGGTACTCCATCCAGCTGCTCCGTGGTATTCCACAGTTTGAACTTAATGACATCTTTGAAACGGGGATGAAGGAAAGGTGAGGCCCACGGGTTGAGCTTTAGTCCTTCGAACATATCCCTCACGGCGTTGGGGTTGGGTATGGATGCAGCGGGGCCAGGGTTAATCCACAGCCAGAACTGAGGGCGACAGACGTTCTCGTCCGACTGTGTGTCGCGTAGATGTATGCCAGTATTCTGTGTAAACAAGAAGGAGAGAAGCGCGAGGTAGGGTTTGTCGGTAAAGGGACCAGTCCAGAACATATGGAAAAGTCGGGGATTTTCAGGGTCGCATTTAGCAGAGGAAGCTTGGTGAGTGAGCGGTTCGGAGAGGGTTACCTGCGGTTCCCATTCAGCATCCGGTTTCTTTTGAAGGCCAGCGTTGAGGTCCTCTTTTGATAACGCGACGGGGGGTGGTCGGAATATTGGGTGTGGGGTAATACCGTCCTCGTCATCGTACGTCTGGTTCTCAGTGTCATTGCCGTCGAGTTCGATGTATATGTACTTCCAGTCATCCATCTCTCCTCGCCTGACCCGTTCCCCGTTATCTAGACCAGCTCCCAGACGTAACACTTCTAGACAATCACGTACGTACTGAACGAGTGATCGTTAGAAAGGGTTTACATACGGGATATGTCTCCGCACCTTTCCTGTTGAAAAGTCGCAGTGCTTCATAAGTATATCTAGATCTGCGACGCTGCCTGGAACAGGACGTGGCGGGTAGGCGACATCTGGAAGCGAACTCTGTATGTCAAGGTATATTCGTTTCGGACCAACACCAATGGTATCGGTGTCCGCCCTTGTCGTGACCACCGTTGGTGGCGGCCTATATCGTGAAGGACGTATCGTTCGTTGCTGGGCAGGCAGAGCAGGATTTTGTGGGGACGACTTGAATCCTATTTGCTTGGGTACTGCAAAAGCATAAGTCAACAACAAGAATTCTACCAAGAGGCCACGTACTACTCCGCCGTGAAGGGTAATGACCACTATCAATCTCCCAGCTCCATATCCTCTTCAAATCATCTCTCTGGAAGACCAACGTCGGCGGGTCCGACTGCGGCCGGTACGGTTCCACCCAAGGGTCCGTCCTCCCAAATGTCTTCTTCAACGACATCACGGTCACGACCATCGCCGCACACGCAACACATATGAGCAGAAATCCCCGCCTGCGGCTCAGCCGCGAGGCGCCGAATTGTTGCAGACGAGCAAAGTCGGGGACATATATGCGTAGACGACGACCTGGAATGCCTGGTATTGGAATGAAAACCTTTTTCGTCCACGAGGCTTGGATATGATGTCGTTTTTGTGAATATGTAGGTAGGCCGACGCTGGGCATAACGCCAAGACCCGTTGAGAAGAGCGGTAAATCGTCGAAGACGTGGACGGAAGCAGAAAATGGTAAAGTTATTCCTGTGTGGACACATATGGATGCTGACAAATCATCCGCCTCACCCAAAAAGGACTTGGGCGCCGCAGTCACTCAAAAGGTGCGAAGCTAACAGAGCCACGGACATTCGTTACCTCACTACGCCCTTGCTTAAATGGTGCAAAAAAATAATCTGTCGCCTTGCATTGTATGCACATTAATACTGCTATCGTCGATGTAGCACCTTGGAACGCGCAGTAGAGTTCCACGTCGCCATGGGAAAAAACTTTGGTATATATACAATCTGGGATAAAATCTTCTATTCTATGCTTGTTTTCGCTGCAATCCTTTAGGTAGCTCTTTGACAAATGGCAGGAAATCACGGCCCTGCATATAAGGTCGCAAGACTTCTGGAATGACAAGGCCCTATTGTGAAAAATTAGACAATTAAAAAGTAAGAATGATCCAAGACGTACCTCAGGAGTCTGGTAGTTCTCGACGAGACAGCAAAGAGCTCGTTCTGTTGCGCAAAGTGTACCGTTTAACATGTGTACATACACCTTCCGCGTCTGTTCCTTCGTCTTGAGTCCACAACGAACCTCTAGTCTCCGACTCTCTGAAAGAAAAAGATCACTAGGTTTTCAAGAATGCGAGGTGACCACGTACGATAATCAGTACAATTCGAGCACGAAACGAGCTCCTTATACGCTCTCTGGAAGGGGAACCACGCTTCTAAATCATACTTCTGCGCAGCCGCGAGGTTCAACGCGCCCGAAACAATGGCCACAACCCTGTACCTCAACCCCAAGCTCTGGTAAAATTCCTCACTGTTCGCGATCATATGGTCGAACATCTCCCAACTCTTCGTCGGATCAGTGATAACAAACTGTTCCACCTTTTCGAATTGATGTACACGGAAGATGCCCCACATATCGCGACCGGCCGATCCTGCTTCTTTTCGGAAACAAGTCGAGTAGCCAGCGTACTTGATGGGAAGCTGCGTATCAGGGCTCTCGAACCATTCCTCTGAGTGATATGCTGAGATAGGTTGTTCTGAGGTCGCAATAAGGTATTTCTCGTCATCTGAAGCAATAACCTATGCATAATGGTGAGATCTTGAGCCTTCTCGACGGTTCACCGTCACGTACCTTGTACAGCTCCTCGTCGAATTGATCCAGCTGTGCAGTTTTGGCCATTTGTTCTTTGTTCATCATGAAAGGAGGCTGAATTTTCTTGTATTGTTTCTTCCGTAGAAAATCAAGGCCATAGGCTATGAGCGCGTGGTTCAGGTCGATGCCATCGTTTGTTAGGAAGTAGCCACGATGACCGGCAATTTTTGCACCTAGACTTGAAAAATGGTGGTACGTGTCCGCAAGAGAAGAGCGTACACGTACCACGATCAAGGTCCATAGCATCTAGTCGAAGCAAAACTTCATGATGGGGCATGATATCGGTTCTTACAGGCGGCTCGTCATCTTCATCGGTGCGATGCCATGTTCGTAGTGTAACATTGTCGTCCTAATATGAGGAATCAGGGAAGATCGGAGCGATCAGCTAGTGTACGCACTTCCGTTTGGCTGACGGGAACATTCTTCCCGACAATGTTCCCTACCGTGCTCGCCTTCTGTCGCATCTTGATCTCAAATTCCTTAGTCTCTGCCTTTTTCGCAGCGACCTGACCATCTAGCTCTTTCTTCCGAGCAACAAGCTCATCTGCTGGCTCTTTTGCCTGAATAAGAATGTAAGATATCGTCAAGAAATTATCGCACGAGACCGACCTTTTTCTTTGCTGAAATTTCTTTCTGTACTGCATTGACCTGCTTGCTGAGACCGTTCGCCTCAAAGTCCACTACAATAACGAGTCAATTATACTTCGTGTAATAGACTAAAAACAACGCACTCTTCACCCATTCCGTGTACATCTGAATTACCTCGTCTACCAGCTCTACCGACTCCCCTCGTTTCCGCTGTGACTCCCTGATCTCCTCTGAATTTCCTCCCTTGTTATCGATAAAATTAAGCAAGTCGAGTGTCATGGTGTTGTTTCTTGTCCGTTCGGATAAAATGAAAACAGAGAAGGTCACTGCAATAGGTCAAAAAAGTTTTATTTTCTCGATTTGGACTCGATCGACGAGCCATCGATGCCGCTTAGATAAGCAAGATAAGATCGCAATATAAACCACACGTGTAGCACAAACAAAGTCGAGTTCGGACTTTGTCGCGACCCTTTCTTGCTCCTCTATCACGTTTCATCGGCAGCCAGTCCCTGTTAATTATGTTTGGTCTTATACGGAGAATATCACAGTCAGTGATTCCCCGGCCAGATAGGCCCTGGGATGACGATGGTGAGTTTTCAACTGCCACAGCATTGGCGCGTATTAACCCTCGACGCGTCTACAGCTACGTCGAATGCCCCAAAAACTGGCCGGAAGCGACGATTTAGTACTACGGAGGACCTTGACGACGATCCAACCAATAACAAAAAGATCAGGGGTGATTCGCCTGCCACTCCGGTCGAGACGCCTCTTATCGAGAAAGAGGTCAAGGCCGTGACCAAAGGTGTAAAGGAGGTTGACCTGGGGGATAAAGAAGCTGCGCCAGAGAATATCCCTTTGCCTGAAGAGGAACCTGGCGAGCTTGATGAAGGAGCGAGCACAGATTCTATCGCGTCCACCCCACCTGCGGAGGAGTCAGATGCGGCGCCTGAAGATCTGTCGGCCGTGGCGGATGACACCCCTGTTGGCGATGACAAGGTTGCGGAGAAGGCCATCGAGATCGTGAAGGTAGCTGCGGAGAAGATGAAGGCAAATGTTCCTGGTGACGACGTGAAGGCAGGAACAGTAGCAGGAGAAAAAACAGCTGTCGATACAAGTTCCTCAAGAGACATTCCAGAGCTGCCAAGGCAAGCCGATGCTTAAGCACCCCAGTCTGTGACACATGGCTTTCGTCAATGCCACTCTTTGGATTAACATTATTTTAACCCATATACCTCCGTATATATTCCCATTGTATCTTTTACGTGTATACCTGTGTCATGCCTCTTTTTCTATATCTTTTCGCCTTGCTTTCTATATCTTGTTTTCTGTTTTATGCCATTTTTTTTTTGCTAAACATGTGTTATTCATGTAGAGTTTAACGTGTATCACGATGACACCGGCAGGATGAATTCGCGACATGGAACAGGGAGAAAGAAGAAGGGAGCAAGCCGTATATAACTCGCCGAAAGAGCCGCTGGGTACAGTTGATCATTCTACCATGAGGTTTCCATGCCCAGTGCTAATGTGTTTCAATCACAGCTTGAATCAGACCATAATGCACTGCCTGAAGATTATCAGTTCGCCAACTTTGTTCTGCATATCGGGCCGTCTTGCTACGATTTCGCACCAGGCTCCTTTGTCCCTGTGTGCGAGGATATATGACACACTCTGCGGTAGCGCTATACCGTGAGTCGGGACCGCGGTTTACCTTGGACCTACAACAACCTCGTGTTCTCCATCATGCCCACCCTTACTCCTTCCGCCTGACACCCGATCACCAGTGCGTTCAACAATGGTCCTGCTCCGAAGCAATGAACTCGAGACTGGATCCTGCTGGACCCATCGTTCAGCTCCATAGTCCTACCAGCAAGGTCAATGGAGCTTAATCTAAAGCTTGAAGTAAAGGGACTTGGGAAACAGCCTAACATCACCTTGCCGGCCTCCTGATTATGTCCTTCATGTGTTGCGGACTCGCTTCTGGGGTCACCTTGCAGCAACCTGAACTTGCTTTGCAGTTTGTGTCCGATTATTGTGCTGGTTTGGTCCCAGGATTATTTAAACCCGCTTCTGACGCATCCACGCAGCATATAATCTTTTGCACGTCCCTTTCGCTCGCGCTGGCCTCGAAGGTGGACCATGTCATCTCTCTTCTCTCGCGTCTGGTCGTCCTCCTCGAAAGATGACCATGACAATGACCACTCGGGAGCCTTGAGCTCGAGCGCACATCATGCCTCTAATCGTCTGTATTGGAGTAACAGTAGTACGCTGCACCTAAATACTGCTATGGTCAGCGCACCGATACAGAAGCCATCACCGGTGTCCCTCACCGGTTTTGACGACCACTGGCAGCCTCGAAAGAACCATCCCTCCACCGTTGCTTGGTTGAGTACAACAGACCTTAATGGCAAACAGGTAGTCACCGATCTCCCTATTATACCACCTCCAGCCGCACAGAAATCCCGGCTAGGAGGCGCACACCTTCATCCTATTAGCCGGGCCGTATCGTCTCCTGCTACATCCCCGTCTTATTCGTCCCCGTCCCCATCCACCCTGTCCTCCTCCTCCTCCAATACCAAATTGGTTCCCCCGAGATTACAGATGAACCGAGCCTTGACTCGCAGCACTCAGTCTCTGCGGCTCGACTCCACTACGCACGATAGATTCGGCAAGAAGCAATTGTCACCTATCGCTGAGCAAGACTACTTCTCTCCCGACTCGCTGCGAAGGAGCATTCCCCTGCCCTCCATCTCCGCTGAACTAACACCGGTGACCCCATCTACAAACCAGAGTCACAACACCAGCGGTTCGGACATTACCCGTGAGGACATTTCGCTGGCTTTTAATTTCCAAGTACTGATACAATCTCCAAGGCCCTTCGCCTGTGTACTCGAATCCATTCATCCTGCGTCCCCTGAACAGGACCGGATCTCAGTCATCTTCTCGCACCCATATTTCCAATTTAACAACGCAGTCCGAGACGCCGCCAAGCATTCCCCCCTTGGACCTGCGTCCACCATTTCCGGGACCTCACCCCAGTCATGACGGAGACGGACCAGCGCTACGTCCGAAGAAGTCATTGCCTTTCATGCACATGCCTACGATTGGCAGCGAGGAGGAAGGACCGTCAGGGAGTGAGTATGGTAACGAAAGTGATATGGCCTCGCTCCACGCGGACAGTTTCGTCACAGCTAGCGATTCATTACACGAGCGCAGCTCCGATAGTTATGGTGCGGGGCCCGTTCCCTTCGCGGATCGTGACTCCAAACCGGAGCTCCCAAGTCCTACGGCACCGGGACATATCGTTTTTCCTCCCGCCGAAAGTGTCGACCGGCCTCGGTCGCGCTCTCCTCCATCCGCTTCGGAATCCTTCATCGCCCGTCGGTGGGACCGCTTTGCCTCCTTATACACCGGCCAAGTTTCATTTGAAACCAAACCCAGCCGTCTGTCCCTCACACCCGCTTGTTGGGCGTTCTGGTTAGGCTTCATCTGCCCCTTCCTCTGGCTCGTGGGTGGGTGGCATTTTACTAATTTTGGTGAGCAGCCCCCCAGGTTCACGTTTTGCGAATTTTACTTCAACGTTGGGTATTGGAAGGTCGTGTACTTTTGCCGAGGAAGGAGACGGGACAAGAAGGGCAAGGAGTGTGTGCTGCCGCAGTGGGAGGAGAAGTGCGAGCAGTCGAATCAGGTGGCGAGGATGAATGATGCGAGGAGGTCGACAAGAAGGGGGTTTCTGTTTGGGTATCCGTTCGTTCCGAGGCCTGCGGTGCAGAGTGGACGACGGCAAGGTGTACTTCGCTGGTGTAGGGATATGGGGGTCAAGATGTTTGCGAAGCCTAATTGGTTCTTTGATCACTTTTATGGCACTAGGTTGATTGAGGTCAAGGGGAGGAGAGAGACCGGACGGAGGATGATTGATCCATGGATTCAGCGGTGCCGGTATGCTTTTTGCTATGCTGTGATTTTATTCTTCGCTGGAGTACTTGTTGGCGCTATTTACCTCCTCGTCGTAAACACTAAGGTACTTCGGTAGCATTTTGTGTAACAAGAATATGCATTCGGTATGGTGCGTATGCAAATAATATACATATAGAACAATAAAAATCGTATGGCATGTAGGAGCCCACTATCCTCATTAGCGAGACTTCCATTGGGAGGCCTTCTATAGAGGTTCGCCTCAGACAAGAGGAATATGTTTCGATATACCGTTTATCACCGCGATGGCTTGCAAGCCGAGTAGAAGCGAGTAATGAGTGGGGGCTTCTAGGGTATTTCGTAGGTCATCTTGAGGAATTACAATTACTAGGTCGTCGTAGAGGATAAATACTGAGAAACAGAGATAGGAAAATCCACTCGAACTCGAAACTTTGAGCTTGAGATTGAGCACCAAAATGTCGAGTAGATTAGATCCCTCCTCGCAATCCATTTTCACGCACTCCGACCTTGTACCTCGTAACAACGGCGAAATTAGTGCCATACTAGACTGGGAACAGTCAGGTTGATGGCATTATTAGTGGGAACATTCCAATTCGCTTTATGCCGTGGGATCTGTAACCGAAGAAGATCGAAAGTTGTGGTCATCATTTGTCAGCGAAACAATCCCAGTATATAAGAAGGAGCCTGACCTCGACGTCGGTATATATGAAATAGTTGGACCGCAACTATAACGTTGTATAAATGATAACTTGCTGCATTTAGTAGATCGCGATGAATACGAGAAGTGACGGGTTCGTTGAGTTCTCGGTGGTTGATAGTAGATGCTTGTAGAAAGACTACAGGCTAGGGAAAGGCCCATATGCCTGGGAGGCACCCAGTTCGTAATCCCAGCAGGGATGAGTTCCTACAAGGCTGACGTATCCGTCAGGATATCCATCTAACAGAAAGAGGACGTCACTTAAATAGAACTCCCCCGAGAAGAGCCTTGTCTGGTAGTTGTGCATCTGCTCTTGGATCCTGTTCCTCTGTTTCGAAATAAGACTCGGCCAGGCATTATCATAAGTGCGACCCGGCATGTACTCCATTATCACCCAGCAAATTTGTCGACCATCAGGCTGAACGTTATGATCAACACAAATATGATGCAAGCGAGGGACTAGGAGTGAAGTCAAGCGAGAAACTGAGGCCATGGCCTTTATTTCAACGATGGACGTTTGCTTGAGAAGAGACCTAGCTCCTATACGAACAGCCCTGGATCCGTAGCGCCTGCCTTTGTATCGTGGCTGGTCGTAGAGGATGATAAGACCTGCGAAAATACGAAACTTGACATAGCACGTAGATGTCCATATTCGAGGGTGCTAATTATCCATAGTATAAATAGACCAAACTCAGGCGGATGTAGCTGTGCAGCACTTGATGGGTTTTAAAGCTAATACCGCGACTCTGATTTTGCGGTTTTATTTCTGTGATCAGACTTTATTTTGACAATCCCCCGAGACCGACAAGTAGGAGGTGCTTAGAAACCAAGGATGTATGTTGCACTCGATATAATTTTGACGAGATTAATGAGAGGAGAGGGGAATAGCGGCGGGGTAAACGGCGGTGGGCGGCGGCGGCGAATGCCAAAAGGGGACTCCCGTGAATTGTCCGGCAACTATGATAATTTTGCCGGGTTCCTTTCCCTACTTCAAACGGCCATGCCTGTACTCATCATCTTCTGGACTTAGTCCGTGACTGCCAGTGCTAGCTAAAATTGGTTCGAAGAAGATTGCCTTTACACAGACCTTGTGACGCAGCTGGAAATTAAAGTGACATTTAGACGGGAGAACACTTAACAGTCGCCATGGTATGCGCGCACAAAGACAGGAAATTTTGTTGACACAGACTTCAGTGCAGTCGAGGATCGGTCCATCATCAATTTCGTTTCAGCTTTTCGTCGTACTTGGCAAGGCGCTGTCGACATGGACGTTAGAAGGGGTAGGAATTCCGGTGGAAAGAATTTCTGAGGCGAGGTCCAAGCTCGACAGAATCAGAGGATGTTCTACTGTGGCCCATGTGCGTACATGGCATCATATTTCTCCGTATTTCACTAATTATCTCACAAAAGTAGGAGCAGCATCTGCGTGTTAGTATGCCTGGTGACCTGTCGTGACTCTTTGTCGGACCGGATTTCAACTCGAAAGCGTTCCGTGGACCGCGCCATCGTAGCAGACATATAAAGAAAATCATAAGCAGCAAGTAGGCGTGACCCATGCTCTTCTCAACAACTTCTACCCTTTTCTTTGCGGTTGTCTCTGTACAGGCCTTGCAATATGTGGAGCCCTTTACTGCTACCATATTTGCCCCGCCGTCCGACTACATAGTTCCACGCACACTTTACGCACGAACTCTTCGTCTTGCGAATGATGACAATGTAATCCTGGCTACTTGGGAGAACTATTCGCCAGAGCCTCCCCTGGTTTACTTTCCCATATACCGCTCCACAGATCTTGGACAAACATGGACGCACGTATCCAACATCACAGATCAAGTGAATGGTTGGGGGTTGCGGTATCAGCCGTTTTTGTATGAAGTGGTCGAGGATATTGGGGCGTTCCAGGCAAGAGATTCCATCTTAACACAGAAGCATTATAACTAACTTCTTTGATAGGCTGGCACTATTCTCTGTGCTGGTAACTCGATCCCGACAAACCTGAGCAACACTCAGATTGACCTCTACGCGAGCACTGACAAGGGATATACTTGGACATTCATTGTGCGTCTCTGGTATTTCTGTCTTCAACCTATCTCATCCCGATCATTTCGTAGAGCCACATCGCTGCCGGCGGTGAAGCGCTGCCTGACAATGGTCTCACGCCAGTTTGGGAGCCCTTCATTCTCACATACGACCATCAAATCGTTGTATATTATTCCGATCAAAGGGATCCTGACCATGGTCAGAAGCTTGTGTATGTGTTGCCTCTCATCCCCCCAAGGTCAAGCTAACCTCGATGGATAATCAGGCATCAGGTGTCCTCTGACTTGATAAACTGGGGAGAGGTGGTAGACGATGCCACGTACGACACGTACGACTGGCGCCCGGGCATGCCGACGATAGCTGAACTTCCGAATGGCCAATACATCTTCACTTACGAGTTCTACGGAGCCACCGAAGCTAACTTTGCTGTGTATTACCGGCTTTCGGACTCTCCTCTCACGTTCGACTCGGCCCAGGGATACGTGGTGGAGGCGGTCACGGGCGAGCTGCCGACGAGTAGTCCATACGTCAACTGGACACCATACGGGGGAGTAAATGGAACAATCGTTGTTTCTGCCAACAGCCACAGCGGGGTGTTTCTGAACACAGAGCTCGCAGCGCCGGGAAGCGCCTGGACGTATGTAGATACTACATCCTCCAGATCGTATACCAGGGAGGTGAAGGTGATGCCAAGCGACAACCAGATCATGCTTACCGGAGGCGGGGTTCTGAACGGTGCATCGAACACTGTTACGGCGACAGTTATCAACCTTTGATAATGGTGTTAGTCGTTGGTCAAATGAAAGTCTTGGTTCATTTCTACATGAAGCATTTTCATACCCCGATTACCTTGGCAACCTCTTCGACCTAATTGTTGAGCAGCGCGACGGTTGCTGTGCAGAAACGACGGGAAACAGTTTAAATTACCATTCCTTTCGCCCATCGCCGTGATTGATTCTGGCATTCTAGCTTTCGATGCTGGACCATCTGTTCCTAGACTTTTTGCAACGTTGCGGGGTGCATGGTCTTTTTTCGGCTTTTCTCCCTCTGTACTTGCAAAATACGTTCGAGCGGCTACTACATGCAGTCAGAATATTTCTCCATCAACGTCGACTGTGGGGACCAGCAACTTCGGATAAGCGCTGTGGGTGTGTTCTATCTAGGTCAGCATACGCCTTTGGTGATCATTTACCTAACGGTCGGTGATATGACAACGTCCATTGGATATCCCATACGTATCTGCAGACCGGAAAGTGAGATGAAGCGAAGAAGTCCGACAATATTGCGACCAGCACTGTGGACGACACTTGTTACAGAGGTGGATGTGTGTATGATTATATATATGCACTGTATTATGAAGGGCTGATGAATCAACAGTACTCATTATAAGCATGCTATTTTAGAGTGCTCATGCACATGCTCAGGAACCGAGTTGACTATTTTTTTCTTGTAGACGAATGAGTTGTACATGACCTCCTCTGGTTGCTTGTACGGGGATGAGCAGTACTTGACCAACCTCAAACAGAGTGTGTTTATCATATCTCAATTTTCTCCCTTTCGAGACTGATATTTTGAAGCGTATGAATGGCTGAACTCGATAAAGATGAGAGGTGCAAATAGACGTGAGTATGCTGCGCTTTGATGAGACCGCAGGTCTAAATGCATCTTTTAATTAAAATTCCCCATGATGGATGAAGCCATGCGAGAATAAGTCCAACCACTGACGAAGGTCTACGAGAATCCTGCGAATCGCGCACCCAAACCTCTTTTAACGCCGATCAGACCACATTCAAAGGTGTTACCGTGTACTACATGTACGCCCTTACATCTTCCTGCACATGTGCTCAATGTATTAGCTGTGCTAGGTCATTGTTCCTGAAATTGACAGGCAAAGACTCCGAGGTTCATGTACACAGAGTTCATCAAACTGCGGGCTGACAAGGTTCTGGAGAAGGCAGTGGTGCCGGAGGGGCGATATAGCAAACTGTGGTATGGGAAGGACCAGGGCGGGGCTCCGTTCTTCGCGTCGAGCCAGGTTGCTTTGGGTGCATTCGTGACGGATGGTTAGCAGAAACATCCCTGATCAAGGCTCTGCTGATCATTTACGTTTTTCTGTCTAATCAGAACTGGATGAAGCGGGATTGGACCGCCGATACTTTGGTGCATTGGTTTGAGAATGTGGTCTCTGCCAGAAACCCTTGGATATAATATCCCGGACATAACACTACTATACAAATCATAGTACCAGTACACACTTGTACGCACATAGCTCTGCCTGTGTTTTCGCATCTATTACCCATGACGGAGTCCTGGGTTCATGTGGGCACTTCGGAATTGGCCGACGGCAATGTTATTCCCGTTTCTTCTGTGGAACCTGCACCAGGGGTCGGTATTCGCACCGACGCGGATCTTGCATCGGCTATAGCCTCAGCGAAACTGGGCGGTGGCAATCCATCTTGAGGCGGTGGCGTGGAGGGGGGCACATCTGCGTAGTTTAGCATCGTTTCTGTCTCGGGGTGATTGTGCGGTTCAGTCGTGCCGTCGCTATGCACGGAGGATGTCGAGGAGGGGGAGTAGGGTGGGGGAAACGTTCCGGGGAAATAACGTGGAATGAACGGCGCTGGGCCTATCATCATAGGTGGCGATGCCGCACGCTCTCTGCGGTCGCGTCGAGCTGCAAATTTACGTCTGGCGTAGATACTTAGGAAAATGCAGATACCGAGCGTCGTAAGAACGCCTACACTGCCTCCGACGGCGCCTCCGAATGTGGCAACATGGTCTTTCGCTCTTGTGGTAATGTGTTAAACAGGCCAATGCAAACAAGTATGAAAAGATACACATACACCGCTTCGCTTGTCTGGTTACCAGATTGAACTTGATATACAGTATCGTTCTTCGTGTATATCATATAGTCAATGAGAAAAACGGAGTTGACGCCAAGCGACGCCTGCAAGACGTGCGCAGATAGCGTCAGATTTTCTTTGGAGAAGACGTTGAAGTGGGGAATAGGCTTCGCCGTAGTATTCGAGGTCTCGTGGATGTACGTGCCGACGAGTTGATTATCGAGAGTGAAAGTAAGATTCATAGTTGTCGGTGATATCGACGAGGAGCCTACCGGCTCTATGCAGTAGATGTATATTGCGGAACCTGCCAAGGCGTAAATTAAATCATGTTGAGATATAAGCCTAGTCCCAGCTGACCGTTGAACGCAAATTGTGCAGTGACAGGCGTGTCATCGAGGTCCCGAGCTTCGGGATGGAGGATAGAGACGTTTCGACCTCGCCTGAGGGCTCGTTTCTTTGAGCCACCGGCGTTCCCTTTTTTTCCCTTGTGACCGCCCGAATCGCTGTCTTCATCCTGACCTTCCTTGTCGTCCTGATCTTCCGCAGGTAAAACGTTCGCAGCTCCGTGATATGTGTTCTCAAATACGTCGACCTGCCCAACGTCTACCTTCAGACACGAAGAGCAGTCCGTGTCCGCCGTGTACCAGGCTGCCGCAGGAGAATACGTTATCAAAAAGTCGGTGTCGTCAACGGTCACATTGACCTCCTTGCCGTTTGTATGCTGACTCCCGAGGGAAACAATGAGGAAAAAGGCAAAGTACAATGAGCGTGGACATGGTGATCTGTAAAACAATGGTCATGGAATTTGAGCCTATTGAAAGCGGCGAAGAACTCACCTCATCGTGACCGGTGAGCGCCGTCGCGACTCAGACGGAGGGGAAAGCGTGAGTAGCCTGAAAGTCTAACGACGATTGCAGCAGGAGCCATAGCAGCCAGTTTCCCCAGATAAGTATATGCATCGCAACAGCCTCGGAACACCATGACAGCGTAACCGGTCAACTGGGAAACTTGATCTTTTTCGCACACGTCGACCGGACCGCACTTTCGGAATACAGTATAAATATGGGACCGTGGGAGCACCCACCTTTTGCGAACAATGGACTGGAGACTTTTCAGAGCCAATGACAGTGCCGCCGGGATGTAAAACCCGAGACCAGAGGGCTGACAGGGATGCAAGGACGTAAGCGAGGAAACAGAAAACCGATAACATACCGTTGAAAAGTGACATAAGGATTCTTTATACACCGGAGGGACACGATAAGAAATGAAAGAGACGCGACGCGACGAAACAGTGAGGAGGAACGTAACATTTGTAGTTCTTTGGCAGCCTAATGATAGAGCTAAATCTACTTGCGCGCACAATGAATAATATGAATAATATTTATATAACGGGTCATATATTTGGAAATATGTCGCCGCTGAGCGGCCCTTGGCTGGCAAAATTTAGTAAGTCGTCCCCTCATAGACATTTTCCCGGTAAATATTAGATGTAACGCGTGACCACTTGTCGTAAGCCTCCTTACCCTGATACCACTGATAGTGATCCGCCTTTGTTGAAGATATATCGGATACAATTCAGAGTGCCAGCCAGGTCTCCCTCCCTTCCTGTGGACATCGTTGTGTGGGCAAGTATTCTATATCATAAACTTTACAGCATTGAAACTGTGTCAGATACTTATACCTTTCAGGCAGCAGCAGAATTAGACATCAAATATTCAACATTGGTTCAACACTGTGCTTTGATCCACATGTCTGATCATCCAGCTGCGAGGACCTCACCAGTCACCCACCGGCGCCAGTGACGTACGCGTTTCGATCGTTATAAAACAGCCCACTATCAGTTTCAACAGTACCTTACTTCCCAGGAACACATACATGGCTGAGCACCACCACCACCATGGCCACGACATTGCCGAGGCCAACAAGGACTATTTTAACAAGGACTCTCATACCTATGACGAATTACACATGGTAAAGGAGCTGACAGAAAAGTATGCAACGTCTCCAATGTCCAGCTCTATTCATTGATCTTTCGTTCCTTAGGACAGCCAAATATATTATCTCGGAGGGATGGTCCTTCAATCCAGAGTCAACGACTGTACTGAATTTCGCGTGTGGTACGGGTACGTCTATCCTTTCACCTAGTTTCGTAATTCATCTCCATTGAAATCGTCTCCTAGGTTTAATTGAAACGGCCCTCATTTCCCACTGCAAATCCATTCAAGGCGTCGACATCAGCCAAGGCATGGTCGACCAGTACAACAAGAGAGCCGAAACTCTCGGAGTCACTTCTAAGATGAACGCAATCACTTACGAACTCAAGGGTATGCCAGAGGAACTGGAAGGGCGCAAATTCGACGTTGTACTGGTACGTCTTCTTTGTTGAACGTAGTATTTTTCACTAACATGTAGCCGACCCCAGTGTACCATGGCTTACCACCACTTTGAATCCACCGACGAGATCACCCGCGTCCTAGCCTACTTCCTCAAACCCGGAGGTGCCCTCTTGGTCACCGACCGAGTGAGCTCGGATCCCGTGTTGAAAATCGAGGACATCCCGGAGAAGTACGGGGCCATCGTTCCCCACAGGGCGGGCTTCTCGGAGGAGGATATGAGGAAGTTGTTTGAGGGCGCTGGATTAGGATCGTTCTCGTTGAATGTCATTCCTGGCGCCACCTTGGACGCTGCTTTTACGGGCTTGACAAATCAGAAGCTATTCTTGGCTAAAGGAGTTAAGCCACTTTAGGCAAAGAGTCAGGGGTGCCAATGTATTTGTACATTTGTATTATGGGTATAGCGATAAAGCATGGATTTTTTCTCAGTCTTGCAGAAAGAGTGGTGTAAGAAGGGGTTGAATTTTTTTTAGTGATATCATCAACGCGAGAACTCAGTCTCAAAATGTAATGTTGAGATTTTGGACTGTATCCAGAGTACATGCTTGTAAGACCTTTAGTCTTTGGGTTACAAACTCCTGAGGAGTTCCCCCATTGACTTCTCATATTTATACTAGACTACTCCTTTTCTAGTAGTTTCTACCTAATTCCTTCAATTTCCCTGGGATTCCTTCCTTACTCAGCATGCCGGAATGCCGGATTGCTCGAATTCTCTCGCAGATTCCAACATGTAAAATAAAGTCTTGTTATTAAACACAATTTCAAGAAAAGATACTCTCAAACTGGCGGATAAGTTGATCATTGAGTACTTGAGTATTCAAAGCTAACCTGATGCTTTATAAATACTTGCGGAACTCGGTCCTGTGTATAATTCTGAGCGACGGTCCGGCTTCCGCTACGTGATCCCGTTCGAGACTTACCGGGGTGTTGAAGACGTCATAGCCTTTCCCCCCCGAAGTTGATCATACCTCACCAGCCTTGGCCATCCAGCTGATGAACATGAAACGGGACCTCCCCACAGTCCCAATTTCGATCACTGAAACGCGTCTTGACCATTATAAAATCATCTACTATTTACTTCGCTTCCCAGGGACACAGACATGGTTGAGCACGACCGTGACAGCGACTTCGTCACAGCCAACGTGGACTATTTCAACAAGGCGGCTAGCAACTATGACAAATCTCCCTTACTGACAGAGTTGATTGAAAAGTTTGTACATAATAGTTTTATCTCAGTGGTGAACATCCAGCGACTGATCTTCATGCTCAGGCAAGCTGCATTCATCCTCTCAGATGGATGGTCCTTCGATCCAGAGTCGACGACCGTACTGAACTTCGCGTGTGGCTCAGGTACGCGTCTTTCATCTACGTGCATAATTTGGACGCTTCATGGATATTCCTCATAGGTTTAATGGAAAGGAACCTCGTCGCCCACTGCAAGTATATCCAAGGCGTTGACATTAGTCAAGGCATGGTCGACCAATACAACAAGACGGCCGAAACTCTTGGAGTCTCTTCCAAGATGAGCGCAATTGCTTACCAACTCAAAGGTCTACCAGAGGAGTTGGAAGGACGCAAATTTGATATCGTACTAGTTCGTCACCTCTTGAGCATCAAACCTTGCTTGTCATACTAACAAGTATCACCTCCAGTGTACCATGGCTTACCACCATTTTGAATCCACCGAAGAGATTACCCGCATCCTGACCTATTTCCTCAAACCCGGGGGGACCCTCTTGGTCACCGGTCGATTGATCCCGGATGCCGTGTCGCAGGTTGCGGACATCCCGGAGCAGTACAAAGCCATCGTTCCCCACAGAGCAGGATTCTCAGAGGAAGATATGAGGAAGCTATTTGAAGGAGCTGGGCTTGGGTCGTTCTCAATGAATGTCATTCCTGGCGCCACTATGGACGGCTTCTTCCCGGGAACGACCCACCCGAAGTTGTTCTTGGCAAGAGGTATTAAGTCGTTTTAGGTTGAGCACCACGTCGCCCGAGGCCTCATGTTTGTATGACTATGGCATTGGATGGAGACATTTTCCCGAGGTGCTGCAAAATAGCAATCGGTTGAGTCGTAGCGAGAGTTCCGTTTCTTACCCATGACGGTTTATCTTGTTATCTAGCTGTCAAAGTTTGGTAGATGTCTCCCTGTTCAAATTGATAGTTCCTGTGAAGCTCGGAGTATAGAGGGCTGAGAAGGCGACAGGATCCTGGAGCAGGTCCTGAAGATAATGTGACCAGAGATCTTGATACAACATAATTACAGAAGGTTCCTTTACGTCTTGTGTCTGATGGTTTAATTAACGGACATCAATACCACCAATGTGGGTTTGGGGTATGTTGGCAGTGAGTGATTTCCGGGTTCCGTTGGCATTGGCCTATATATACTCCCAAAGCAGTTTGGCAGTACGTGAGATGTTTGATGCACCGCAGATGAAAGGCGTTGAGAACAAGTCCAGAGTCTCCGGTGTCGGACACAATTGATATTGACTCAGAGAAGAGTCCAACAAATGTCATGCAGAAGCAGACCGACTCGGGAACATAAGGAATCATAGAAATAGTGACACGAGAATGTCGTAGTGATGCCGTCAGTGTGAGCGCACAATCATCAATCACCCTAATTCCATATTCGCAGCTTCTGGATGAGTCAAGTGTAAAAATCACCCAAAAAAATTCTCATATATCGCATAGCGACCAATTAATTCCTTCTAATCAAACAGGAATGTATATCACATATATTCTTGGACCAGTGAACGGTCTGAACAACAGGAACTACGCGTCCTAGATCCATTTCGGCTTCCTTCCACGTGATCCTGTTCTTACCTTACCAAGGGTTGACTAATCAATCACGCCATTCACGTGTGCATCAAAACCGAGCCCTAAGGCATAGAAAACGACCGTATGCAATATGCTCGCTCATTTCTTTGCCGATCCCTCACCATGTCCCTTCCTTACCTGACTGAGCGCCAGCTAGCCATATCAGCTATCCGACGAGCCTGTGTGTTAACTAACTCCGTGTTCAACAAACTGGTGAAAAATGAAACTTTGACCAAGGACGACAAGTCGCCAGTAACCGGTGAGTACCTTTTCTTGTTGCCGTGGTGGTTTTTTTTTGCTGAAAAGAAAGACCGTAGTGGGCGACTATGCTGCGCAGGGAGTGATAAGCACTATGATTCACAATGCGTTCCCGGACGACCTTATTGTGGGCGAGGAAGATGCGACCGACCTCCGTATGGACTCTGGTGCCGAGCTCAGGCGGCGAATCGTTGAGCTTGCCAACGTAGCTATCGTTGGACCGCTAGGTGTTGGCGATGTGAAGGAATGGGGAATTGGGCCAGGCCAGGCGCTGAGCCCGGACGCACTGATGGATGCTATCGACAGAGGAAACTTCAAAGGCGGACGGACGGGAAGTGCGTATCCTTTGCCCTTTATCCGATGCGTTATCTTACCACAACTTACAGGAATGTGGACCATTGATCCCATTGACGGAACCAAGGGCTTCCTCCGAGGAGAGCAGTACGCTGTTTGTCTTTCGCTCATCGTCGACGCCCAAGTCCAAGTCGGTGTCATTGGATGCCCCAACCTCCCACTCAACGCTGACACCAAGGGCTGCATATTCGTCGCTGTCAGGGGACAGGGCGCTGAGCAACTCACCATCTCAGGATCCAATCCCACGCCCATCTCAATGCCCACCCTGGCACCCTCTGAACTCAACTTCCTTGAATCCGTCGAGGCAGCACATGCATCTCATTCCACCAACGATAAGATCTCTTCGATCTTGGGTATCACGCGTCCGCCAATTCGAATGGACAGTCAGGCGAAATATGGCTGTCTGGCTCGAGGCGATGGCGGGGCTTACATGCGTATGCCCACCGGTGCTGGTTACAAAGAAAAGATCTGGGTATGTCTCCTCAGTCGTTTGCATGAATAGAGTTGTCTTGATTTTATCGTAGGATCATGCCCCTGGGGCCCTCCTTGTGGAAGAAGCTGGCGGAGTCGTAACGGATTCGCGGGGCCACGCACTGGACTTTGGACTGGGACGCACTCTGGGAGAAAATTTTGGTGTCATTGCTGCCAGCAAGGCTTCCCATTCGAAAGTGCTAGAGGCGGTTCAGAAGGCGATTGCGCCGGAAGAGAAGTTGTGAGGAGCGTGCAGGAAACAGTGTCTGTAAAGGAATCATGTACGATATAGAACTCAATATTTTCCGCGTGAGATTGTAGATTGTGAAGCAGCCTGGTTCAAGGAATTGGCCACTTGAACTCTAAGGACTATTTCGAAATCAAAAAGCCTTCTGCCGACTACTAGGGTTTTGCATACACATAGCTATTTACTGGGCACAACACTACGTGACAGAAGATTTGACGTGGTCATTACCCTACAATGACGAATGCTGTCCTCAGCTCAAGAAAACACTCTACTTCCTAACAACACAACTGAGATAACGATGTTTAAAGTTACACAGAATAATACAGGTCAGTATGAGGGGGAATAAGTAATGTGAGTTATATGTAATGTATGCAATCCAGGACAGAGTAAACACGATAGCAATAGTTAACATGAGGAAATCAATCTGCAAGCTCGTAGTATGTCCTAAACATAGACTCTGTCCGCAGCTCAGTCTCACCTACAACACGATGCACATGGAGAATCAACTGAGGATACCTTCGCGTGAAATACGACAGATAGCCCTCCGGCATGGAACCCAAATGTCGTTTCACGTTCTCCGGCAAATCCTGATAATGATGTTTCTGTAAGAGACTCTTATCAGCATCGTGTTGCCCACAAACAATGACTAAACACACACCTTGTTCCTAAGTGCACGTAACAGGTCCTGCACAGACTTGCCATCGTACTTCCTAAATTTGCCCAGATTTTCAATAAATATTTTATCCAGCTGCGACTGCCAGTCGTTCCCAACGACACTGAACGCTTCTTTTTCTAGCGATACGAGATTTGGATCCTTGGGATCCCGACACATGACTTCGAATCGATCTGATGCATCTTGCAGAAAATTGAGCCGGCGACCTGGATCCCAGAAGAACGGATGCACGAGACACGTCGTCGTATCCGGTCTGGTACCATATGAGCTATCACATCAAAAATAGACGGTAAAGACCATACCGCTTGTGCGAGTCCGGGTTGAGCATCTGCTCAATCAGATGAACAGCCTCGGAACCCTCTTCCCCAAACCTCTCCAAACCCTCCAAGCTCTTCTCGTTTTTGAGAATATTTATCTCCCTCTCAAATCGGTCCCCAAATGGATGACCACCACTCGTTAGCGTATAATAGAATAAGCATCCCAAAGCGAAGATGTCCACCGATTTTGTCAGCCTCGTCGGTGAGGATCCCGTCGGCGCGCCAGTCGCTGTTCCGGTACTTCCCCTCGAGCTGCTACCTCTTGATGAGATTGAATTATCATCCCCGATCTCATCTAGTTTTACCTCCCCACGCAGAATCTCAGGCGCTCTCCACCCAACCGTCCCTGCAGCCATCGCCCCGTGCGCTGTCGGCAAGAAACTCGTCTGATCTATATCCAGCTTTTTACACAGCCCAAAGTCTGATATCAACATCTTCCCATGACTAGATATCAGGATGTTGTGCGGTTTGATGTCGCGGTGTACAAGTTTGAGAGCATGAAGATGCCGAAGACCGCTTGTTATTTGCCTAAGAGCTTTCTTGGGTTCGAAGGCTTGAACGATGGGTCTTAGCTGATCACGATCTGGGTACTCGATAATGTCCGCTAGAGAACAAGGACAGAGCTCAAGGGCGATGAACAGGAAGTTGGCATGAGCCTCTTGGTAGTAGTATCTGATAACATGCGGATGGTCGTCACTCTCTTGCAGAATGCTGACTTCCCGAGATGCGAGAGTGACGAAATCCTGCAAGAGACGTTTGACTGCAACAGCACGCCCTTGCAGTGATCCTTGGAACACGACTGTCCCATGAGAGCCAAATCCTAGCTATGCTGTAAGTAATACGTAAAAGAGAATGAAAGAAACCTCGACACACCTAGTACAGTCTCCGAAACGACCAATGAAGGCTTCGGGTCGACCGGTTTGGACTCAATCACAAGTGTCTGCGGGGGAGGTATTTCGACAATGACATCTGGCTTCTTCCCCTCTTCAACTTCAACAAGTGCTGCAGTATTAGGTCGCTTTTTCTTGCCTCGTCCTCCCCGTCTTCCCTTTCGCTTATTGGGAATGGGGGTGACATCACATTCACCCTCGAGCTCTTTATCGCTGTCGTCTCCTCCAGTATCTCCAGCATCTTCAGCACGCTTGTCATTTGATTGAATTGGAGGTGGTGGAGAGCTTGGCAGAGGCTGAACCACCTCAGGAATGTCAATTGAGGGCATCGGGTCCGTTTCCGTTACGATTACAGGCTCCGATACCGTAACGTCCTCGATGGAATCCTCCAGGACTGCTGGCATGGGGGGCAGCCCTGCCTTCCCATCACCTTTGAACTTCGCTATTCCGAACCAAACGGAGAGCATCCCAAGTAGCACAGCAATAAGTACCGTGTCCCACAATCTATTAGTTGAAGATGCAGAGCTTGATGGAGGAAGCTCCTTCTTATACTCCGACGGTTTATCGTGGCTGCGCGTGTCATTGTCCTCTTCACCTGCGGTCAACTGCGGATACGGCGACGTGGGTGAGCCATCCAAAAGTCTCTTCAAGCGACTCTCCGCACCCTCGCCATCGCCACCCTCTAATTTCCGTACACCGATCAAACATCTGCGGTCGAAAATCGTGTCTGGATTCTCCATGTCACAGCCATCCTTGTTGAGTAATCGCTCTCGCTCTCGCTCCTTCTCCATCAGCTTCCTCATCCGAGTTATCTCATCAACTTCGCTTGACATTGGCGCAGAATCAATGTACTTCCCCGGACGTTCTGGCATGGAAGCTCCTCGGATTCCACCGAAAGCCACGAGCGGATAACTCAAGGGGCTCATGGCAAATAAACTTCCTGTTTCTTCAACGATACCGACGTAGGCATTCGGGTGATTTGGGAGATGGTCTCTGGCAGTGTCCAAGGAGAGGGATGGTAGGACGTCTTGAAGACCTGGACGGGGCTGAAGAAGCACGAAGGTATAGGATCCACGGGAGTAAGGCTGAGGTTTGCGTAGTACATCGAATACCGCAACACTGTGATAAACAATCAATAAGCGCCAAATCACGAGATGCTCATAACTGACATGGGGCTTGTAAATCGCCGGCCCCACAGTGGAGAAGATGAACGGATGCCAGTGTCTTCGCCTCTACCCTTAAAGGACATAATATCGCCGTTGGGGAATCCTTGAATGTATGCGTCGTCCTTGGGCCGTTTGTATGATGCTTGCAACAGAGTGTCCTGGTTATTCGGGCCATATGTGGAAAATGATAGATTTTGGATGGGTGCCGGGGTCGACCCAGAATTCTTGAGAGGTCGAGAATAAATGGATATGTGGTAATCTGTATGACAGTTGGCGCCAAAGTAGTGATGAGTATTGATGCAACGCACCTGTGCGCCCAATGAACACCTCTGTAGGTGGCGGCGGCTTGGGCTTGCTCCCTTCAAGCTCATCCAAATCCAATTCATCATCATCCTGAAAGCCCTCGAACGGATCCCAAGGACACTCTGAATTCAACGTTGCTTTGATTCTTCCCGTCTCCAATTCAACAAGGAGTAATGATGTTTCCTTCTTGCCTACGAACACCCTGCGGTCGTCCGAATCGGCGAAACTAAATGGCGACATGTCCACTAGTTCGGACATGGAAAACGGGAACCTCTGAAGGGGACTCGACGGGGTAACCATAACGTAAATATCTCCTGACTGGGGCTCGATAATGTAGGTCTCCTGGTCAGTATTGTCGTCAACAAGGTCAGGATCATGGTCATGGTGAATCGTTCGAATTAGCGGGGCGAGAGCCGTCGGGGCTGCTGCGGCCGTCGAGGAAGCGAACGAAGACATCGACCACAGCGTTTGGCCCGATGTCCTGTTAAGCGCATGAAACTTCCCATCCACTGACGCTAGCAAAACTATATCCAACAATTCTACATCTTGCTCCGTTGCTTCTCCTGCCAGCGGCGGTACAACCCTGTACGTATTCGGTCGGGCAAGATCCTGCGCTCCAGGACTAGGCGAAGTTCGAAAAGAGATGACCTCTGCGAGAGCAGCACCAACAAAGGATGCAATGAAGATACGGAGGTAGAATGTAGGCACCATTGCCGGTCATTCCGAGCCAGGAGCGCCTCTGAGCTCGTCAAATGGTCGTGGTGGAAAGTGATCAAGGCGTGCTGTGCACTTGTGGCCGAAATTCGATTACCAAAAGGGGAACAGAAAATGTCAACGCTACGGTGACATTCATCATTAATTCCTTTCAACTATACAGGTACTGGGAAAAATAGTCATGGTAATAAATGTACTGCGGAAAACCGGTCTACTAATGGACATCTGGCTCGATAGTCGGAATCCTTCGATACTGCCCTCCATCTTTTGGAAGCCGTCTGGTATCAAAATCTGTTTCTTTCCATCTCTATTGACAAATTATAGTGAGCGCCAGAGACGACGAGACCGCAGAGATGCCCGCGAAGACAAGAAAGCCCGATAACACTTGATTAATCTATAAAGACGATCAGGGAATGCGATGAGAACCGCCTATTCAAGACAACGGTTCCGTGAGAATAAAGCATATCAAATGTACCTGTACAGAGAGGCCCGACGAGCTCTCTTGTGAGAAAAAAACATCAGTATATGAGAGCCGCATCCACAGAAATAGCCCGAGCATCGGTGACCTCCACACGGACCTTGGGAAGGTACGGATGATCAGCCTTATCCTAGAACCGCCCGAAAGGAACCAAATATTCGTTATGAATCACCCATGACATTGGTTGCATGCACGTGGAGCCCATGGGGTATCCAACCAGATCCATGGGCTCGAGGCAAGCGTTGGTTGGCTCTCGCGAGTCGTTCAAGTTAGCCGCAAACAGGCCGGGCAAGGGGAATACGGGATGCAGAACCCGATATCAAGACATACCGGTCGCTTGCACCGGCGAAAATCCTATTGGCAAGGACACTGTCAAGTGATTCCGACAATTATCCAGAGGATATTCAGTTGTAAACTTAGTGCAGAACTTAAGTGATCGTGCCCCGAAAAGGTCGGCAGCGGTGAACGGATCGTACGCATGAGATAGCCCTCATCTTTCAGTACAGAGAATGGATGGAGTAGCCATGGCCTTATATAGAATATACACTGAATCGCCACGTTTCCGAGACTAGGATGTAGACATGTAGCGTTTGTGATTCAGCAAGAACAGCCCGAGTAAACATAGAGGGTCCTGGAATTGTCTATCATGGTGCACAGGTATGTACTTGGTCAAGAATCAAGCAGGTACTTATCAGTCCTGGGCCTGAGTACTAGTATTGGGTGCCGCTAAGACTGTCAAGGGTGGGTAATAGACTCGGAGATCAAATCAGTCTCGTAAATGAGACTCAACAATCCATACGAAGATAACTCTTCAACGAATGTAGAAGGAGAAATAGATAGCGATGACATAACGCGGAGTGCTCCGCCTGATAAATTAAATGGCTTCGAGCGGGTACCTTGCGGCTATATATGCAATCAAATCTCGTAGAGGAGCAAGGACAGGACTGGACAAGATGGAGGTACTTTTATAAGTCTAGCTTCAGCATGGGATCACGATTGCCGCCGATAATCAGAAAAAAAACATTTTAGGGTACATTCCACATCTACTACCAATCTATTATAGTCTGTGATCAAGGGAAAGCCTTTGCAACAGTGCTGTAGAAGGTCTTGCCCTGAATAGTAGCAACGTCGAGCTCCAGGGCAGAGGGCTGGCGGGAGCCGTCGCCTGCAGCGACCGTTCCTGCACCCCAAGGAGATCCTAAATGATGCGTGAACCATAAGGTCATAATTCTGCGACGAAAGACATACCACCGTGAACCTCCGAGAGATCGGTCAACTGAGCAAAGGTGCTGGCATATCCCAGAGGGACGTAAATTATGCCGTGGTGGGCCAGGGTGGACAACGAAGCGATGGCGGTGGCTTCCTGTCCTCCTCCCAAACCAGCGGTAGAGACGAACAGACCGGCGTACTTGCCAGAGAGCGCACCTTTGGCCCAAAGGCCGCCGGTGGAGTCCCAGAACGCCTAGACGCGACGTTAACGCGGATTCCGAACAGATTACTGTACGTTGTACGCACCTTCCACTGGCCAGGGAAGTTTCCGAAACGTGTAGGGATACCAAAGATGAATGCATCGTATGAAGCGAGGATATTAGGGGTAATGATAGGGTAGTCGGGCTTCGCTGGTGCATGCAACGCGGTAAGGATCTCTGCAGAGAGCGTTTCAGGAACTCTATTGAGCGAAGTGAGTACAGTATAACAGAATGCGTGAAGACATGACGGACTGGTAGATGGTGGCGTCCCCTCCGGCGCTCAAGACACCTGCCTTGACAGCCTCGGCCACTAGAGCATAACATTACAGTCAGGAGGCAAAAACAACGACAAGAGAGGAGGTACGCACGCTTGGCGATATGGCCGTACATGGTGTAGATAACGATAGCGACCTTGGGAGCCATTGCAGGAGGAGTGGATTTGGTGGTGGATGTGGAAGGAGGTTGTGATGGAGGTGAAACGGCTTCCGACTCAGCTTTTATAGCGTCGTCAAAATTGTCCTTTTGACGTTTGCCCGGAAAGCACATAGATATAATCACGTAGTGATCATCCGGAATTGGTCGTTATATACTTCAAATGTCACCAAATTAATCATCCGACTCCGGTGGTTCGTGGGTCGTCGTGGGCGAAAATTGATAAATATAGACAGATCGGAGGGAGAAGATCGCGCCAGACAGTACCCAAAAAGCTGAGGATGAAGTCAGAAATTGCGACATTTACCATTTGAGATAATGTCTGCTGTTGACAAAGCTGACAAAGACCGCGTAAAAATGCTGACGAGTGGTGGGTCCTTGCATATCGAGCCTTTTTTTCTCAAGGTGATCAATTGATTAGGCGCCAGAAAGGACATCCGGTGATGATGGTTAAATTCTTGTGATAGGAGCCTGTGCCGTGGCTGCCCGTTCGATTCCGGTTATGTTAATAAAATGCCTCCTGAGAGTCTCATCAGATCCTTCAGTTAGATAGACCAGGTATTGAAGAATACAGACACAGATTTCTTTGTATTTTCTCAACTCATCCCAGGCTCACCGCCTTCGCGTGGACACCGATGGCCCTTAACAGGTCAAGGAGCTGTGGTGCGATAACTCAGATCTCAGCAAAGGTGGGTTACTAAAGGTTACCAATCATTTCGTCAGATGAATTGTAAATCAGAACTGGTATCAGTCGAGTCTTTGTAATCTGGGTGCATGGAGCAGACTGGAACAGGCCAGCGTTGATCGCCATCGGAGTAGGGTGATGGTTATTCGCTACGACATATTCCCTTTCTCAAATTATACCTGCGACGATGACAAGGAGTAACAAGGGCTGTCAGAGCACGAGTGTTGATCGGAACTCCTTCAGCTAAGAGCTAACTAATATCGTACAATGAGTACTCACGGTTCTCATTGCTAGAACATGCATGCATACCATGAAGTTGTGACCAATTCGACGATTGCGGACCTCAAGTTACCAAGGCCGCCTTCGCTGCACCGGTATTTGAATACAGACAGTTTCATGTGTGCACGTTGTGCCTCCTGCTATGGCTCCCGTTCGTTTTAGGTACAATAAAGGCTCGCCAAAGAGAGGTAATAGGTTCCCATATATGTCTGAGAGGTTGAGAAAATGTCCATTGTTGCATTGCGGACGGACACGCTGGTGAATATTCAGACACTGCCCAAATTTGGAATTTCCAGAGGTAGCTCCCATGACATTCTTCGAAGGTTACAGAATGAATGGCATACGTTGAAACACTTGCGGATCGTGAATGTCTAGTATGCCACATCCTGTCATGTTCGGACTTTACGCGCCCAGTGACGACGCCAAAGTGCTGGCGCTGAAAAGCGTCCAGACAAAGAAAGGAAAGGGATACCGAGCTTTGACCAGAAGGTCGTAACCGAGCTCAATAATCTAGAAGGCCCAGCGAGAGAAAGCCGGAGAGGGAAGAAAGCGTGTGCAGATTACAGGACAGAAAATGGAATGAAAGGTCAGCGTTGACTGTGGCATGGAAAAATCAGAGATACAGAAAAGGTAGCCAGAACCCCATCGAGAATTGGTAGCCATGATTCACAACGCAAGTCTAGATCGGCAGACAGTGTGAGAGGTTCCGGGAGGTTGTCACCATACATCAGCCCTGAGCTCGATGAGTATTTATGCCTGCATTGGAATTAGTGAAGACACGGATGACCTTGGCATATCAATGAGCATACCATACAACACGAAGGAGGTCCTGCGAATGAATCAGACCGCAGCAGAAGTTCGTTTGCCTGTGAGAGCTACAAGTTCGTTCGGTTAGCCGACCGTCCAGCTCTGGTAGCTTTTGTGATACTTGTGTACACCTGAAGGACAAGGAAATGGGTCGAGATTGATGCGGTCCACCACTAGCAAAAGTAGGATAGTGCTAGTCTATAGATATAAGGTCTAGAGAGGTCTGAGCTACGAAAGATGGCTTATATCATAACAGATGCCCACCGATCAGTTTCCATCAACACCGACGTCGTCTACGCCGGAGTTCCTTCTTGTTCCTAGTGCGGCATAACCTTTGTAAGATGTAGGTTTAGTAGCGAGACAATCACTTTATGGTGCCAATTAGATCGGACTGCAAACAAGAAGAGAATCACATCCACTGTCTAGTAAATTGAGATGAATCCAGAAGTGCACGCCAAAAGGGCGATACCAAATGCCGACCAATTGAATAGAGTTGAGACATCAAGAATGTTTACCAATAGTTCTCCAAATGGAATTATCGGAACTCTCCTGTGTATATGTGCGAGGTACGAGTTGTGACAGCGAAAATCGCGAGAGAAAACACCCCAGGCAGATCAATCCTGACCTCCAGGTTGGTTCCGAAATAATGGGACATGGGAAGAAACTACTAATAGTGTTCGAATATGAAAAGTGTTGAAGGGATAATCACCGTCCGAACTTGAATTCATTGATCATCTAGAAAAATGTCTTGCTCATCAAGGGAAAAAAAAGAGAAAATATATACTCACGCCTAGCACCTCTCGGGGTATGCTCTGAGCGACAGCTAGTCACCTGTAAGGATCACGATAATTCACCAAGCTCTGAGCACTCTCTGTTTATCAGGATCTGCCGCCGATGGCTCGTCCCAGCGAATCATGTGGTAGTGCCAGTCTTGCACCAGGATGCGGAGATTGGGGCGGCGAACGCTGCGGAAGAAGTAATTGGTTCTCGGATGCTCCATGCATAGTTAATCCGCTGGCTGGATCACATTCAGAAGAGTGTTTCCGACTACGATTGCGTGAGTTTACCGAGCTCAACCATAATTACCGCTACTACAATTCTGAATGGTTGACTGAGTGGATGTGAGGGAAGATAATATCCATGCCAAAGACTGCGGAGAAGATGTGCCCCCGACATTCTAATCGAAATACGCAAGAGAGCAACAATAGAAGACTAATACAGAATCCTGCGCATGGCACCATGAGGAATCCGATACATCTCCCTCTTTGAAGAAAAAATCTCTCACCTTGCCATGACCTAGGCTGCATCGCCATTCAGTTAGGTATCACGATGGTAATAAGGAGCAAAAGATGAATAGAACAAGGAACGTTTGCAAGCTCAAAGTCAGATCTCGTAACTTTCCCACGATTACGGCCCGTGTCAGGCGAGCTGCCCCCCCTTCTTTTAATTAAAACTATGGTAAAGGCATACATAGTCGACACGAAATGATAGGATTTCTGGTAGTGTCTAGTTCACGTTTTGCTAGCATATGAATGCGTGTCCATGGCCCTTCAACGCATGTGTAGCCTTACGTAGCTCTCAGACTCAGAAGATCTCGGACTAGAAGAATTTATTCCCAGACCTACAAAACAGTTGATTAGTGAATTACGGCAAATGGAAAGTACAGCTACAGTGATCAATCAGGACATCTTATAAGGGTGGGGAGATATTCATCAGAAAGCGTTAGCGAGGTAGTAAGTACTCATGTATGCTGAAAGCGAGAGGAAATCATTAAGAAAGCTGGTATAATATGGACGATTGAGATGAAACGAGAAAGGACAGTAGCAAAAACAAGACCTCTGTAGCAATAGTAGTGCCAAAGGTAGGCTCGTGATAATATAAGGTATGGTGGTCGTTCATTCGTTCAATTGCCGGCTTCTTAATCTTCTTGCCTCGGCCGTGACATTAAAGGCCAAGCGTATGACCTCGACGACCCGGTTATTCGTGACCCCCAGTCCAAGGACGTTTTTCCAGAGGCCAATATTAAACTGGAACCTCCGTTCAAACTCCTCCTCGCTTAGAGATACCATAACCTGGGCCATTGCTGCCGCGTTGGGGAACTCCTCTACTACGGACACAGGTAGTATGCGAAAAGCGAGATCGTTGATATTCGTTTCGAGCCCAAGTGCGAAGAGAAGGAGAAGAGACATTGACGGCGGGTGCGGGACCGTCGTGAGTGGGAGCACGAGGGGTATAGAAACGTAGAGTCCTTGCGGTGTGGAGTGGGGAACGGGTCGAGTCGAACCCGGTGGCGGCGGAGGAATAAGGTCGACCCTGAAGCCTTGATTATACAAGTCAGCGTCGACGGGCGCAATTAACGGTCGGGCGATGGAAGACTGGTTGTGAGAAGGAGGAAACAAGGCTAAGACGTGTGTAGGCATGCGAGAGTCATGTAAGACAGGGAAGTCGAGCGTCTCTGACATGTCGGCGGGAGAGAAGTATCCAGGTATAATCTTTTGCACGTTGAAATGAAGACATAAGACACTGAAAAGCGTTATCAGCAACACAGCGGTCGCTTCAATGGACGGACATACTGAAGAGGATCTTCCCCGCTTGCAAGGAGGGATTGTAACATCATTCAAGTTCGTGGGGGAATTAATGTAGCGTGGCGTGAAGTTACAATGAGGGTCGCGTGAATGATAGTAGTCGAGGACGACCTTTAGTTCGTCCTTCAGTAGGAGAGGGTATACTGAACAATGAATGGTTGGCTATTAACAGATTCATATATCAGTCGAAGAAACGAACAGCAACGGAACCAAAAAGCGGCAAACATTAATGAAGATAGGAAACTTGGAGGACACGAGGAATTGAACAGAACCTACAAGTCGTTACAACTGGTATACCAGTATAGGACAGACTTTCAACAAAGTCACAAACGCGCCAGACACGCAGCTATGCAGCGTCAGCGGGAAGAGGAAGGGGACGGAAAGGAAGAAAAAATAGACGGTAAAATTTTAAGTTATTTAAATGCAATTTAAATTGGACGCGACCTGTCACTTTGCCATCAACCTCCGAACCAAGCAAAGGGCGCCTGCTCCTGGTTTTCTTTCATAGCTACTCTTTCTCTGCCGTTCCCCTTCGTCCCCTTCGTTGGTCACGACATAAGCCGCATGGTTTGGATCAATTCATTATGCTGTCCTACTTACGTGTCTCCGTTTAATCCTCCCTTCGAATACGATGGTTATCGTCGGGCCGGCCCGACCATGTGTTGGCGCAGTAACCCAGCGCTATGGCTCTTATCTTGGCTTTCCTTAGATTCTGCGGTGGCAACCCCGGCATGGGACCTTTGGCTAGCGAATTATTCTACGTGCATTCATCCTTCCTCACTGATACCCGGTTCCAGCCATCTACGATGCACATGACTAGCCACTGTTTAGGGCTGAATTGACACAAGAAAATTCTTTGACGGCAGCATGAACGGTAGTTGTTTTTTCCTTGTGCGACGGTGGTAATTCCCCTCCCCTCAAAACCTCCACCAACGGCGAGTTAAAATTGAAGATCAGTGATGCCACTTTGCCTCGTGTGAACATGCCTTGAACAATGGCGATGGCATCGAGGTGGTAGAGGCGCTGGGGCGTAGCTAAGTTATTTTTTTACAGACCACACAAGTGGCAATACATTCGTTGTCTTGGTTACCAAGACAAGACAAAGCATCGCGTTTTTTTTTCAATGGCCTCTGCTTGGACCTAGGTGGCTTGATGCATATCTTTGTTCAGGATGAAGCCCTTTGTCCATCATTTATAGCTGGCTCATGCCCTATAAAACCGACGTCTCTGTGGTCCCTTCTCTCCAATTCATCTTCTACGGTGCTACAGCTTGCTCTTAGAAGTCGCCTGCTGTTTCCTACATCAAAATGAACCCTTGTATGACTTTTGGTTCTTCGCTTCCTAGTATAAACTCGTTTTTGACAGTTTACACAGCGAACAACTACGAGCCCTACTCCGCACCCAACACCCAGCCTCTCTTGCCCCACATCCCGCAGGGCGCGTACGCGGGGTATCCACAGTGGTACAACGCAGTCCCCCCACCCATGTATATTCCCACCAGCACGTGCTTTGACGTCACGCTAGCTCCCGTCCCACTGCCACAAGCTCCCCCTGGAAAGCAGTATTATATCCCTGAGTTCTATCATTACCCTGGGATGCTGTGTCTGTCTGCCAGCTCGTTCGAGCGCAACGGAACTACGTATTATGTTCATGGGGACCGCACGGCCGATGGTGCGTTTGAGCTGAAGGGAACCACCTTTTTCCCTCAGTCTGCCCGCGCTACGGAAGAGGCCCGATCCCGTGCGTCCAACACTCCCGCTGAACATCGACCTTTCCCAGGTTCGCGTGTCGTCAATGGGACCACGTACTTCCCGCGAGTAGCGTCAGATCAGATCCTTTCCACGTTTTCTTCTCCTGCCACCTCCCAGCCTTCCACGCAGACTTCGACTGCGAACCACTCTCCTGCCACAGAGGCTGCCGATTCAATCAACCAAGATAATGATCTGCCACCTTTGGTTTTCCCAACTCTCAACTAAAGACCTTGCGAATCCAACAATCACCAATCAAGTTGTATGCCTAACCTTAACCATTCCCATCTCTTATACCATGTTAATGCAAGAGTGTTTGCCTCGGCTTGTAGCCATTGTAGGAATCTATCACCCTCATCGATATAGCATGGGATCGGGAGCCTGCCTAGCCTTTTTCCTTTTTTTGGGGGGGGGGGCTTGCGTCGTACTAGCATCAATCAATTGATCTTGTTTTCTTTTGATAGTAAGTTGATCACAATGGTCGATAATTGGATCGATTACAATACAGCATCCTTCAGCAACTCTGAGCCCCAGCAGCCACAAACGCGCCAAGTGCAGCACCTTGTGAGGGTGCCGTCCACACCGCACCATTGGCATCGGGATCGTACCAAAGATTGCTGTACCAGCCCGCCGACCCAACAGCATACTGCAACACCTTATCAGCCTGCAGCTTAATGAAATCCGAGTACTTGGTGCCATTGTCGCGACCGGTGAGGCTGAGGAACCATGCCATATACTCGACCAAAATCCCCTTGAAAGAGACCTGGTCGTTGTCGCAAGTGCTTGAGGTGGTGCTGTCGCAGGATTCACGCAGGGCACCGTTGTCAACAAGGTCCGCAAGGACCGCGTCCATGATGGACCATGCCATGGTAATGGCACTTTCGTCCTGGGTATCTGGAAGAGAGGTTAGTCAGGAATGAGGAGAATTTGAATAGAAGGACATACATTTGTAAAGGAAACCTAAACCGGCGAGGACGACGCCTTGGTTGTAGGTCCACTGGGTCTGACCGTTATTGGCGCATAGCCCGTCTTTGGTGAGACCGTCGTTATACAGTCCGTTACTGCCTCGCATGGCCGAAGCGTTGAACCATTCCCATACTGCACGCTTTTGAGTAAGCTTAGTGTTGAGAGGAAAGCAAGCGTACATACTGTTCTTGAGATTCGTCAAGTATTGGGTATCTTGGGTCACATCATAGAGGTAACCGGAAGTGGCCAGGTAAAGCTCGTTGGTCTGTAGCGATTCGTCAGGTATCTCCTACGCAATAGATGTTTGGGTACTAACGATGGCATTTTTGTAGTCCCTTGCCGAGCTCCAAAACACTTCGATACGCGTCAGGTGAGCCACAAAACACTCAAGAAATAACGCACATCCACCGCCACAATAGGAACTATCAACTGCCGTACTGGCAATATCATAATACGTCTTCGCCATGTCTACGTTTCCGGCTAGAAGATAGGCGATAGAGACCCATTGAACGTCGTCATAAGAGCCTCCAGTTTGAAGTTGGGTCTCGTAATCGGTGAAGACAGTATCGATAATGCCGGAGTAAGTGGATGCTCCCGCCAAACTATCGACTGGACCATATGCACTTGAAACTCGATCAAAAAAAGAAGCGAAAGTAAAAACCCACGTCGCTGAAGATGCCATGTGTCTACTGCACTAATCCAGACGGGTTGAGAGGGATATGTTCCACCCGAGAAGTACGCAGACTGAAGATTTTCAGCAGCGGTGGTGGCGGCGTCGACATATTTCTGGCATAGGCCATGGACTAAAACAGGCCCTGAGAGAAGGAGCGTCGTGGAAAGAATCACTTTCATCGAAGATGCAGTGGGACGGAAAGGATATAGAAAAACGGGAAGCTTTTTGTGAGCGTCTTTTATAAGCATGAGGCGGATTCACGAGCCGACTTCATATGTGTAAGTCTCTCGGAAAAATGGAGGTGTTTCGCGTTCAACGTGATTGATGTGGAAATAGCAGTTGGAGATGCGTACGTATGGTACGATCTCCCATCATTGATTGATTTCGAAAAACTCAATGCTGCACAGTCCTTCCCGTAAGAAAGCGTGGACCAGAACTCGTCCATGAGAGACCTGAATTTTGGAATTTGTAGCGTGTTTGGTCGTCAAGCAATGGCAGGCCTGCAATGGTGTGACCTGGATCAGAAGGTTGTCAAATAATTCTCTACGGCAGAGAGTGCGGAGGCACTACTTTGTCTGGTCCTGAGAGAAGGGGGAAATGATAGGATGCTTGAAAGGCTATCGGGCGCGGGGAAATGCGATCATCATCAGCAGAAACGTTCCTACGAATTTAAGGAGGCGGATTTTAATTGCAGGATCTTCGTCGCCAAGGTTTCCAAAACATTTTGATGACAATCGCGAGGTTTTTCCAGCGTAGATGAAACCATTATTTCGGTACACCTATCAGTGCTTTGAGCATTCCTGTACAGCCATTTCCGTATAAGTCGACGAGGCTGTATCCGACGTTGAAGTCGCTCAGAGCCTCTATTTCTTCAATTGCACCTGAAAACTTTGGAAATGGCTGATGTTTCCTGGGCTTTCTTTTAGGACTTCAATGGGAAGGCAGAAATTTGGGTCACCAGTGTTGCGAAAACAAATAGAAATCAGCATTTATACAGTGACTACATGCAGTCCGAACCAGTTATCAGTGTGAACAAAATTTAGTGCATAGACCCAAGGGAGACCGAAACATCAGTAAGTAATGCGTAGAGCAACGAAAATAGGAACGTTCATTCAGAACGAGAGCGCCAGGGATAAAACCACAATCCATGAAATCCTCTTTTCAACTGATATTTTTCTTGCTGGGCTTCCAACGCCTTCAGCCGAGCCTCGAGACCGTCAATTTTACGCTGTAGACCCTCCTTCTCTTGCACGGACTCTTTTCGCCCTTTTGAAAGACCCTCCACATAAGCGGCTCTGTATTCCTTTTGTCTTTGAGCCTGAAGCGAACACAAGGTGAGATAGCAAGTCAACCGCAAAGACAATGAGTGAACTTAACCTTCTGTAGTTCCTTAATCTCTGCCTCCCGTTTCGTCCACGCTCCTTCAAACTTCGTAAACATCTCCCGAGCTCGACCTTTTGCGGACACTACCCCACCAGTGGCCTGTTCCCATTCGGGCCAAACTTTTCGAAGATGTAATATGACAACATCCCAAATGGATGATGCATACCAGTAGCACTGCCCAGATATCACATTGTATTCGGGCTTGGTTTCCGCCACACTTGTCGCCACGACGAGGAGCTTTATGAAGGGCCAGGGGTGTGCATTAAACTCAATGTATTGTCTAACTTTGTATTGGCATGAGATGGAGAACAAACGCTTATCTCGGGAAATTTTGACCGCATCGCGGGCTTTGTTGGAGGAGAAGGATGATGACGAAGAGAAAAATGGTTTTCGGGCAGGACGCTGGCCGATGTCGCGATCGATGAGAGCATAAGTTTTCCGAGGCTCAGCAACGTCAGGATCCACTTCCTGGAGCTCAACAAGGATGGCCTCGTGGAGAAACCCGCTGGTGTACTTGATGTGCTCCAAGCGGATAACGTTCACCCTGTCAGTCTCACGCGCTGCCATCAATGCGGAGATGCAGGCAGACAAGGTCGTTGTGTGTTCTTCGTATTCTTCTTTGAAGAAGATAGAGCTGGGAGCATCGGTTTTCCACATAATGATCGTGGGGCAGACGGGGAAAGCGGTACAGGACCAGATATGAGGTGGTTATAATTAAGGACATGCACGAGGTGCTGGAGGCGTCTATTTGGTCCGGAAAGGCAGCTTATCGCCGATGGCCTCTTCACGGCACCGGTGATAGAGTGCTGCTCATCCGGAATTTGCGCCTCGTGGACATCATTTGGAAACATTCAATGTACTTCCAAGGTGCAGTAGACTCATCGACAGACCTTGAACGAACCCAAGTTAGGCGTTTAAATTGAAGAATCTTCCCATTGAAAGTTGTAAAGGTCTCATCTCCGAAATGTTGAGCAAAACGGAGCCGATTTAAGATTTCTTTCGTGACGCTTACAGGTTGTCTTGTGAACGTTCCGTACCATGACCCCGAGTTGTTCCGCAAGCTACGATTTGGATCCAGATGCAGAACGAGTGAGAAGCTTAAGCCTGTAAAGCTGTCTATGTAACGACCATATGACGTGTCTGTGGGAGAGCTTCGACAACTCAATGAATGTGAAAGGTTTAGGCTAGACAGAAAGGAGCTTTGAGAGAGGTGTGAACTGCGATCCCAGGTGTATTTTAATGGTACCCCCGATTCCAGCCTCCGTATGGTACCGAGTAATCATCGTAATCGATAGGCGCCGACGTCCTTCTGTAACCGACGAACTCGCGCCCAATCACATTCTCATGCTAAGGAGTTCCGAGATAAGAACTGACCCATAGAAAGAGACCAGCCGCATTCAGTCCTTTCGGTGAGAACCAATCATTAAGAGATCAGGTCGCCTTCGGTTCGTCACAACAGTTGCCCATGAAAAGTTTGACACGTTGCGAAAGGAATCAATGGGAGGTATATAGCACCACTCTGACACAGGAAATTTCTGGGGATAGGCTGAGATAAATGGACCTTTGAGGACACTTTTGTAACGTGAAAACAAGCAAACATACCTTCAGGGCACGAGCAGTGTGCCTAAAGGCAGTGTTTCACAGTAAAGCATCGCGTTAAGAGATCGGAATATTTTCGATCGTGACCGCGACCGTTGCGAGTCCTTCAGATTTCCGCGCAGCTGGAGATAACCGCTCACTTTGCGTTGGACTTTTGTTGACATGCTTCCTGCGGGCTACTTTGGGTGAAAAGTGTTCACTCGAAATTCGCGGAAACCTCCCCATTCCATAATGGAGAGTCGTAAGCTCCAATCAAGTAAATTTGGAGACATTTTACACGAGGTAGCGGATCCGTCACTGCCCTTTATCATTTCCGTAATACTCTACAGATGATCAAAAATGAGCCGCCAATAATTGCAACATACTTTGCAAGCGACCACCTAACGTGTACGCCCCAGCTGATGGATCCGGTTCATAACCAACTGGGGTGTTCAGTATGTCAAGGTTACGTCTTCATGGATCAATGAGGCATATTGCGATGTACACAAGAGAAAATATGAGAAAACGATCAAGGTTACTTTGTTGAGACGATTCTGTCCGTATTTGTGATGAATTTGTGAGGAGTTGGTGGTGGTTAGTCGGAGAGTGGGACATAAATTCAAATTGCAATTGTCAATTCGAAGATAAACAGTCCACTTGCCCGACGACAACAATATAATCCAGGCTATCAATATCTTCTCTAATTATTATGTCTGGCTCGGACAGTAGCGGTTGGGCATAAGACTTCTTGCAGTTCGTCAAAATGTCTATATAATGTGGTGGTGGACAATGGTCACTGACTCGTCTTCAAGCCTAATCAATGACCATGACATCAAGGACAGTAGATCATGACTCATTGTTAACGAATCGACCGACGACGAATCCCACGAAGTCAAGAACTAGTTCAAAAAGTCAGAAGTATTATAGCAGCAACTTGTTTCGATCAAGTGACCTCGGGGTTATGGGCCCCGCGCGCTACCACTGCGCCATGCTGCTATCGGGTATTTGTTGTATTAGAAAGATTGAGTTGTGCCAATAAGAATTGGCCGGAAATGGAAAACAGTCTTTGTTTGTTCCTATTGAAGTCAAGCGCCGAAGCCAATGATGAAGAGGCTTTTCCCAACGTTGAACACGACGACGACAACAATCACTACGGCCAGCGAGACTGACGCGTTGTAGCTCACTTACACCGTCGCTCGTTGTGGTCTGCATTCTTTCACGACGAGCACCCCTTCTCAAAATGTCTGGCAAAGCGCCACCGAAGGGCCCAAGAGCATTGCGAGGAGGTCCACCCCCGCCGCCTTCTAGCATCGCGGGACCGAGCTCCACTGCTTCTGGACCTTCTCTGGCGGCTCACCCAACGAAGAAGATACCTACAGGACCACGCAGTCTTGTAAATGGAAATGCAGCTCACGCGGGTCGCATATCGAAACCTCTCTACAGGAATGGGACGCCAGAGGGCAGAGGAACGGGTATTAATGGTGGAATAAATGGAGTGGGCACGAAGAGCGTGTATTCCTTGACATCGTCGATGCATGCTGATACATGGGTCCCTAATGGCGCCGTGAATGGTGTAAAGACAGTGAATAGTCCGCCGGTACCAGGTATTTTGGGTTCTAATCGGGCTGCAATCTCTTTCTCAATGCCGCGGAGGCCATCTGGTAGTGGTCCCCCACCGCCCACTCATCCGCCACCACCGCCACCCCAGCCGACGAAATCACCACCGCCGCCTCCTCCACCTAGTTCAACTCCGCCGCCTCCCCCTCCCCCAGCAACTCCGCCGCCGCCTCCACCGAGTATGGATCCTCCTCCGCCGCCCCCGCCGCCGAACGAGTCGGTACCTCCGCCACCACCTCCCGAAGTTCTGCCGCCCCCTTCGGCAGCGCCACCGCCTATATCAACTCCTCCGAAACCCATTTCACCCTCAGAAAATATTGCATCGTCAACCTCACGTGTGCCAGCGTCTCCTTCGCCAGTTACACGACCCTCTTCTCCCCAAAGGACTGTCCGGCCCGTTTCACCACCGTCATCTCCAGCACATGGCGTTCCTCATTTTACACCAATAACACTTCCTCAGCGCGTAACAAGTCCGTCACCCCAGCCCCCCTCTGACATTTTATCACCCTTCTCGCCACGTGAAGCAACCCCACCTCCACCTCCACCTCCACCTCCACCTCCACCCTCACCTCCCAGGCGCCCACGTACTCCAGTATTATACACCTTGCCTCCATTACCCGATTGGCCACCTCATAAGTCAGAATATCCGTCAGTCCGTTCATACAAGGTCCTACACGATCCATCCATACACAAACTTCCCTTTCCCTCCAATGTTAATGATCTAGTGGGATATTCAAGTGATGGCCCTCCAGCTGCACCAGGAACTAGTTCAAGCACTGCACTCACACCCCCGTATTTTCAGCACCTCATCTCGTGCATGCCGGATTATGTATCACCTTCCGTGTTCCAGGACCGCGTTAAAGGGAAGGGAAAGGGAAAGGAGATCGTGTATCGGTACGAGGGAGAGATATTGAGTCATGGGGAATGGATACCTGTTCCCGGACATGGAGATCTGTGGATACGTGAGCCAGAAATTCCCGCGAAGCCTCCAGATCCGCGTCTTAACTCTAATGTTAAGCGACGGCCGCTGCGTGAAGAGCTAGGTCATGTTTCATATGAGGTAGGGTTTTGGACTATCGACATGGTTCTCGCTAAATAGTCTGTAGTACGAACACGGGATATCAACAACTCCTCCGCCTCCCACCGCTTTATTACTGACGAACCTGTCCCCTCTAACGTCAAATACTCAGCTACGGGCACATCTTGGCGGGTATGGACCGATTAAGGTTTTCGAACCCAAGATTGACAAAGAGAATGGGATGGCCCTAGGTGTAGTGTGGATTGACTTTCGTACGCACGAAGACGCGAAACGGTGTTTTGACGGTATTTGTGGGCCGGGCTTAGATATTCGAGGCATTGGAGGCAGCTTGAAGATACTTCTTGGCGCTAGTGCTGAAGATGTAAAAGTCATGTTCGATGGGCAAGGCAAGAGAGTTGCAGCGGTCATCAAAGAATTGGAGGACAGGAAGCGAAAGCGGAAAGAAGCAGTGAAGAAGAGTGCAGGAACCAAAGATACGCCTCCCTTACCCGCAGTTCCGACGCCGAAACACAATGGAACACCACGACCGAATGCGTCAACACCTGGTGGTAACAGTAAATCGATTCACCATTCTTTACCGGCTAACCCACGACAGTCGCATGCTCTTCCTGCGAATCCAACAAAACAGCACGGACCAGCAGTGAGCTCGAGCTCCCTTGCGTTGCATAATCCACTTAAAGCATCTCCTATGAGGCCGGCCATGGCGAACGGAGCCTCAGGACCATTGATTCCTCAGCTTCAGAAGGCCAGAGAGGCGGCAGCGGCGGAGATAAAGCAAGAAAAAGAGAAGCCAGCAGAGAAAGAGGAAGGCATGGACAAGAGACGGATGATGGACTCCTTCAAAGCGAAGCCACGAGAACGATGGAAGAAGGAGGAGAGGGACGGAGAGGGACGGGGCTCGGATGGTCGTCGAAGTGGCCGGGATAGATATAACGATCGGTACCGGGAACATCGACCGCGTTCGCCCTCGCCTAATCCACTACAATACCTGCACAAGGGGTACACGGAGGACGAGGTGGAGAAGGCGCTGTTGACGAACGGGAAGGAGTACATCATTGTGGAGTTTGAAGACGGAAAACGCAGTGGTGGTGGTGTTTCGGAGGGAGAGGTCAGGGACTTTTTCAAAGAATTCCCGGCGGAGAAGGTGATGTCCGCGCCGAAGCATGGGTTAGTGTTTGTGACATTTCTGGATCCTGAATCAGCAAGGCGCGCTTTAATTTTTTTCGCCGGAACCAATCAGCGGTTAGCGTATAGGAATGTGAAGCTACGTCCTGGTGAGAAAGGGGTATTCCATGGTGTGTCAGTTGATTCTTTTATTGTCCTGCTGTCTTGACGTTTCTTAGGCTTTGATGGGCGGCGTCGGACGACATGGGAGGACTCAGAGATGGTGGACGAGGCCTCGCGGTTACTTGTTGCAGAGCTCAAGCAGATGCTGACGAAGGATGTCAAGGACCGGGTGGTTGGGAACGAGGTCAAACGGCTGATGCGCGCGGGGTTTAAAGAGAAAGAGGACGATGGAGAAAAGGAGGGGGAGAAAGGAGTGAAGACTCTTGATCTGAAGGGACTGAGTTTTCGGAAGCGGCGGCGAGAAGGCGAGGATGGAGGAAGAGAGAGCAAGCGTGCCAAGGTTGTCGATGAAAACATGGATGTCTGTATCTATGATGATACGGTCAAGGTCAAGCGAGTCCGAGAAGTCGACATGACTGAGGAGGGAGAGGAGCGGCCGAGGAAAAAGGGCAAAATTGAGAAGAAGGTGCAGAAGAAGGTCAAGGGCAAGAAGAGCAGAGTTGTTGTCGAAGTTGAGGAGGAAGACGCTGTCGTTGTCGTCAACGGCCGTAAGATGCCTAGCTTCCGTTCAGAATCGACGCTCTCGCCCTCGACATCAAGATCGTCTTCGCCTTGTTCTGTGCCACCAACGCCAGCGCTCGTGGTGGAGTCCGAGTCGGAATCCGAAGAAGAGGTGGTGGAGGAAGAGGACTTGGGCGTCTTTCAGGACGACGAGGACCTCTTCTTTGCCAAGATCGCGTTATCCCACCCTGAGAATGACTTTGAGAGTCTGGACGACAATCTTAAAGCGGAGCTGGGTATTCTACCGCCACCTGTCATAACGTCTCGGCTACAGATACATACCACGGGGTCCGCACGGACGGAGGGATTCTACGAGATCAGTCACGCGCAGAAGGCCGAATATGTGTCGCAGTATCAAGCCCGTTCATCTGCTGCATCGTCCAAGGTTGTTGTTGATCCTGCACCAAACGACAGCCCTTCGAAAGCTGGTGTCACATCTTCGCGGGAGAATCGAGCGAATGCCCGTCGACGTGCTCAAGGTCTCGAGGAAATGAACCAGCTCAACCGTGCTGTAGCGTTATCCAAATCTACTGCACAGATGAACTCGAAGGATAATCCGGCTCAGGAGATGCTGCTCAAGTTCAACCAGCTGCAGTCGAGGAAGAAGCACCTGCGGTTCGCGCGGAGTCCGATCCATGACTGGGGATTGTATGCCATGGAAAGGATCAGCCGTGGAGAAATGGTCATTGAGTATGTGGGCGAGATCGTCCGGGCACAGGTGGCGGAGAAGCGTGAGAAGGCGTACGAGCGGCAGGGTATTGGAAGCAGCTATCTATTTAGGATCGATGAAGACCTGGTGGTGGATGCCACGAAGAAGGGGAATCTAGGGTGAGTGTGACCACTTTTATTGTCTGGATTTACGAGCTGATTGTGCGCTCCGTAGTCGGCTGATTAACCATTCTTGTGATCCCAACTGCACTGCCAAGATCATTACTATCAGTGGGGAGAAGAAGATCGTGATCTATGCGAAGCAGGATATCGAACTTGGGGATGAGATAACATATGGTGAGCCACTTTGCTTGTTGATCATTTCATCGTAAGCTCATGGATCATCTTTAAATAGATTATCACTTTCCCTTTGAACAAGACAAGATTCCCTGTCTTTGCGGGTCCGCAAAGTGTCGTGGCTTTCTCAACTGATCCGTCATCCGGGGTTCTGGTGTCCGGAACTCTTTGTTTTGTCGTCGAATGTTGTCGTATTTTACCGTTTGCTTTTATTGGTTTTTTATATCGTTCATCTGTGTGTGTTTGTCCGCCTGCATATGTATATAATTATACCTCACATCATTGTCATTTATACTACAATGCAATTCCGCTGTCTTCATGATACGCCACGAACGCGTGATACCAGTTACGCCCCACTCCCTTCCCCCCCCCATGAGCCACCAGATGTTTGTCTTCGGTTGTTTCCTGGAACTGCCAGTGAGTGATACTGTTTAAACCAGTTGAAGCAAATTCGTGCACAAATAATCATTGAATAAGTATCGTTCGTTGGTCCCTCCCAAGTTCATTAACATGGATTGATGCATTGAAACACGCCAGCGCGATGTGGCGGTTGAAGTCGCGATTCCCTCCCCAGATTGTCAATTTTTTGACTCCGGGAAAGGCCCGTGGGGGAATAACGTCCAACATTGCCTTCTCCAGAATCTCCTGTGTGACCACCGTGCTATGTGTATACACGATATCCAACTCGGTTATTTGTTCCGGTAACTGGAGCCACGCGAGTTGAGCGTCGTTGTACCACCAGTTGTGGTAGTTCACCGATGTCCGCGAGACGTTGGGGAGTAAATGTTGAAGCACTGACATGAACTCGTGGATATCTCCCCATGCTGGGTGCGCTATGGGATGGAGGTAGAAGAAATCGATATTGAGGATGAAGGAGATGGACCGGCAGGACTTCGACGGCGAAAATGAAGAGTCGACGGACCGGAAGGCTACGGTGTCTCGGTATAGGATACGGCTGATGACGTGGTTAAGGTGGGAACGAGTGAAGATGTGCATGTCGGTGCAGTACACACGAGTGAATTCCCAAGCGAACGATTTGCTGACGAGAAGGGATGATGTCACCATTCGGAGACGTTCGAAGGGTGTAAGAGGAGAGGCCCATGCTTCCTCGATGATCTGGGCAAGTATTTTGACAGGCAGTACATTTGCCATTGTTCAACAGCACTTGTAGAGATGATTTTTTCAGCTGAGTTGTTTGGTGATTTGTGTGATTAAAGGTGTCGTTGTCCCTGCATTTTATACCTGATGCACATTTTCATGATCCATCTTGGCCTTGCGGTGAGAATTCTGTCTCATCGATTGTCTTCGGTAGGGGTTCCCCACTGGATGAAATTCTAAGCTTCTGCAGACTTTGGAGCTGTAACTTCTTGCTGAAAAGAAGCCTAATATATATCCTACTGTTATCGAACTAACCATTTCTAAGGATGTCTTCAGCAAGAAGTTACAGCTCCAAAGTTTGCCGACTGACTGGCAATGCACTGTATGAAACTTGATGTCTAAGAAAACAGTTCTGCAACAAAGTGACACAAATGAAAAGAAAGACTGACTCAGACGGCTTCCGGAACATTAGAAAAGAGGATGGAGGTAAAGGCTGACGTTAGACTGTAATTTGTGGTTGTGGGACTCCAACAGCCGGCCCGGACTCCGACTTGAACAAATTTCTGCAGCTCGTGGTCCGACGACCCATCAGTATTGGGTCAGTACGTAGTTGTCACTCGGTCAGCAACGCTTTTTTTTCACTTACGGCGTCCTGTAAGATCATTCTACTACAATCCCAGGAATATTGCGGTTTAGGTATCACCTCAATATTCAATCATATCGTCGACACAATCGTTATGAGGAGAGGTCTGTTGATTGAAAGCTAAAGATGTCTATGTTTTTCGTTGACAAACCTATTTTTTTCCAATACTTCACACTGAAAGATGGCGCCGCAATCGTGTTCAAGTCTTTGCTTAGTGATCGCCATACGGCCTTCTGACCTTTCCAGTCCAAAACAGTGAGTGGTGATGGAATTAGGATAAGGCACTTTCGATATTGTCATATCCTACTTTAAATTATTCCCACATGCGAACCCTCCCGTTTCCCATCTTCACTGTTGCTATTAAGTTAAACCCTCCATATGTATGACTAACTTTCCACCGTCCTGTTCAAAAATGCTCTGGCCGCCTATCCTACATCAAAGCAAATATTCTTTGTACGGCCAGGCTGCGTTGCAATCATTTTTTTCTATATCCCTTTCAGCAACGATTGGTGGGTCGCCTTCCGGCTTCAAGTTTGTGCACATTGCCAGCTTGTCGTAAATTTGAAGATAATGTCGTTCGGTCATGACACCAACGTACAAGCCTGCGAAGAAAGGTATATACTTCCGAGATTTTATCGCAGATACAGCGGTTGCGATTCAACGTTTCTCATGTCATGGTACTAGTCGCGCAACAGGTTCGCACCCAATACGCACCGGATTATCAATCACTGGACCGAGTCAGGGAATCCCTTCACTTGTCCTTCACCCCGCTATTAACTGAACATCGCACATAATATAAAACATGACGAAATTAGTAGTATATATTAGAGTCAGAAACTTGGAGTGAGAACCTGCTTGGCTTGATCCTTTCTATCTGTCTCGAACATGCGAGTGACCGGAACGTGATCGACGGTGGATCAGTTGCTGTGCAATAAGGTCTGACGTCATGTGGTAAGCATGAGAAAAAGGCACAGCGAGACGCCCGCTCACCTTAATTACCTACACTCATGTCCTCTCCTCTATCCGGCCTCTTCGTCCTTGCTGGACTGGCATATAGCACTAATGCGCAATTTGTAAACGGCAACAATGATCATACTTCAACAACACAGAGAATAATAGCGGGTGTCGTCGTAGGTACGTGTATTCATATCCTTTCCATCGGAGTATCCATCTCACAATAAGTTTCTCAGCTGGGCTCGCACTATTAGCCTGCATCTTTTTCTCTATCGCACTCTCTAGACGTCGGCAGCGCCGTCGCCTTCTCGTGGTACCCCAGGGGCAGTATCCTCCTCAGACTGCAGGAGGATACAAGCCGCCATTCTTTCGCAGCGGCGGGGGGTGGCATCAACAATACCCACCTAATCAAAATCAAGGCCCGTACATGTCTCCTCAAGGGCCTCCACATCAGTCAACTCCGTATTACGGAGGCGGTTATAGTCCCGGTGCAGAGCAGCGGCAAGAATATCCCCCAAATCCTCCTCCGTATAAACGGGATGATTCCAACTACCAGCCGGTGCGTACAACGGCGCCTGATGTCCCGCTGCTTCTAATACTGACTATCTTTAGCCCCCCGGACCACCTCCGGGTCATCCAGAAAGTAGTACTCAGGCTCAGTATAGTCCGGTTAGTTTTCATAACCGTTGTGATGACTTTTTAACTTATTTCCCTATTTTCAGCCCCCTGGACCACCGCCGCAAGCTCATTTGGCCCCCAATGTTTAAGGTTCCATAATCACCGCATATAGAAGGCTAATACTTCTTCGCAGGGCCAAGATTTTGTCGGAGGTTTCAGATCATAATCAGCGAGCATTTCCGTCTTCGGTTCTATTAATCTTCTGGTCGCACATTTGCATTCACAAACATTGTACAATTTAGCGTTACTAACCTTCGTGCTCCATTAGTTGTACCTATACACCCAGCTGGGATTCTAGTGTATAAACAGGATTTCTTTTATTCAGTGCAAATCACCGGTGAAGTGGATGCGTGTGATATTGCGTCGATGGTATCGTTCGTTTCCATGAACGATGGTGCAGAATCCAAGTTTGTTCGTGCCACTCGTACACGGACAGCGGTCGGTGCAGGCTGAGGCTGAATCGTTGACAAGTTTGGCGCCTGGTGATTGTAGAACGATGCTTGAACTGATATAGGATGCTTGAATTCGCAGCCTGGCAGACAAGAGGGCCATGCGGGACAAGGAGTGTACTTTTTAACTACCATTACAGTATGAATCAGCGAACCGCCCACGGAAATGGTCTAACGTAACTTACAAGGCTGCGTATCGGCGGGGTGAGAGAACGAGCAAGATCCGAGGGTACATTTTCGGCCTTGAACGTACGCCCAACAGTGACGAGCCGAATTTTCAGCGCGAGGGTTGAGCTCTTTGAATTTCATCACAGTCGGATCGTGTATGCTAACATCACAGAGCCCGGGCAGAATAAGTGGCATTCAGGCTTAGTGGAGGCGACTCACAAGCGACAGCCCTGACCCAGCGGGCACCGTCGTTTTTCCTTGAAGTGCTTGCATATGGCCGTATACCAGTTCACAGGCTCTATGGGCATGAAGGGCTGGGGGCACAGGAACGTATTTGCTAATTGCGCTGGAAAAATCGGGAACGGAGGGTGGAAGTGCTGACAAGTGATTCCGTACGGGCAATAGCCATTGAGATAGTTCCAGCAGACTAAGTCTATTGGTCAATCAAGTGAGCAAAATAGAAGCTAAGTAAGGGGAAAGCACACACTTATATCCATGGCGGGAGAAGGCGCTTAGGTGCAGTCGAGTGAGGGGGAAAATGTTAGAGTGTTGGAGAAGACCGCCCATTTATATCGCCCGCAGCTGAAGCTCGAGGCTTGAAAATGAGGTGACCGGTGCCACTTTCTCTATCGGCGAACAATGAGCGATAGCTTGTACAAAGACCAGCGGTGTGGCTGTCTTGGAACTTACAAAGGGCGGCATCGAAGCCGTGACAATGGTCTTGAAAATCGTCGACTTGAACAAAGATGCGAGCTTTCAGGATCATTTACCCAACGTTGAGTCGCCTTAATGAACCTTGCAGCAGTGGCACGGCGCCGTGAGCCTTTGAGAGACGCCCTGAAAAGACGCTCAACGCTGTATCGCAGTCTGCATCAAATATCCTAGAGAAAAGTAGCAGTAATGCTGCGTAAACCTGGGCCACGTTCGTGAATGAAACTTGTGATGTGGGTGATGTGGATTTCGAACATACATAGAGAAGACAACGATCTGTTGCGAGATTCAGGGATATAATTATTGACTAGACATTCTAGATGGTGGCGGCGGTCCGTGGTTCGTCTTTTGACATCCATCCCGTCGCCGAGTTTGGGAAACCAAGCGCATGTCATCAGGAGCCTGAAACCGGCTTCCTAGGCGAGTTATGGTGATAAGTCGTTCAATTCTCTTTGATCAATGTAGAGACCCTCGCCTTCCAGGTACCCGAAGGCGTAAAGGGTAGGCAGTAGGTTTTGCCGTTAATTTCTGTTGGTACAGCGGCGTGTAATGCCGCCCCGGAGATTGTATGGATGTCGGGGTCGGGATGGACGGGGTCACTATCAGGCCCAGGATGTTTGGAGTCACAGAACCGTATGCAGGGACGCATGCACCATATAAAGCAAGGTGTTTATCTCTTTTCTCGGTCTGATGTATCAAGTCAATAGACATTGCACGCGCCACAGAGATTTTGGCTTACAAGTCTTTGATATCTCTGGGATGTAACTGACACATGAACGAGCTCTACGAACCTGAACGTATGCCCAGCAGTGAGCGTCGCTTGATTCGATTGCGAAATCATGGATACTAGGCGGTGAAAAGGGGAAGCACAGGTTAAGATGCAAGAGAAACGCATATGATTTTACGTATCGATCACACTGATTGCCCATGGGGCAGCATCTATTCTGCCGGGACAAGTTCCTGCAAGCATGGTCTTCGGCGCGAGAGATCCTTTGTCAGATATCTGTTGTACAGTAGAAAACGCGAACTGAGAGGATGAATCAGCTGATTAGAACGCAGAGAACTAGGTTGCTTTAAGAGTACAGTTAGAAGGAAAACTCGCCTGAGAAATATATTGAAAGATCGCGGAAGAGTTGCCGGGAACAATGCAACAAGAGATCTGACGGTCTCAGGAGATGTACACCCCGGTAGATAAGCTCCTGGCAAGCATCATCTATAATATGGTCTTGGAAAACTGGCCAATCAAATCAGAAGAATGCTAACATAAGGATAGAAAGATACGGACCATCATTGCCAAAACCCACGACAATATTTACAACTTAAGAAAGATCAAACATGGAGAGCCGAGATAACGGGAGTACGGTCGTTCAGTCTAGGGAAACCCAGAGATCACAGACGGTATTTACTTCTTTTGACAGAGAGATCCAGAGAACAGACTCTTGAAATTATATAGCGTCTTCTTCCGCAGGCCGAAGGCCGACGAAAAGACATATGCGCCGGATGGTGGAAACACTTGGAAGGAAGAACATAAAGAGATTCGCAGACAAGGACAAGGAGGAGCCTCTCCTAGCACGCCAAGAACATGATGATGTGGCGCGATTGGACTTGAACTTGATCATGATTAGAACAGAATGGACGAGTCAGTGAGCCAAACAAAACAAAGAAAGTTCCGACCAAATCTGGGGTGATGACCCTGTTTCTGAAGGTAAAAAATCAGGAAAATGCCTGATTGTCTTTTTTGAGATTTCTAGAATTTCCCAACATGAAATTCGATAAGCCTTGTGGACGGGCAGACGGAGGTCGGTGTTTCGGACCATGCTTGTCACGTGGTATGACGCCTTCCCGACACAAGTTCGGGCCGACGTATGCTGATGTTTGACAGTTGGAGCGAGCGAGTCGGAATGCTTCAAAAGGCAAGAATAATATCCATGTCGGATGGGCTATTTCATTTCTTGATTATTGGAGCTTTTACATAGCGCGCACTTTTCGGAACCGTCCCTTGACTGTCCCTGAGTCCCGACACCGACTCGGGATCGGGTATTTTTGGCAGGCCGACGCATAGAACGCCGCACAAGTTTGCAAGGTAAATATTCTTTCGATGTGGCGCAATGTGAGGGGTAATTACCGCTTATGTGGGTCTAGTTATCGGTCTTCGTCAGCGTTTGCTAAAAGTGAACAATAATAAATGAATTTAAGTATGGTGCCTTAAGTCACTGCATGGAATGGCGCTGGTATTTCAGATCCTGCGATACGTTATGTGCCTGTGACTTGTCAGGAAATTTTTAGTTTCCTATTCGTCGTCAAGTACGGACTTGCAGAGTTATGTCCTACCTTTGATTCGGCGGACAGTTCGGTCCTGGTAGATGACCGACGGTATCCACTAGTAGCGTCCTTTAAATATCTCATCCTGGCTGCCTAAGAAACTGATTGGATTGGGATGGGTGATTTCATATATCTTATGACGTGACTGTCGTTCTCATCTTTGATGATCAAGTGACTTGGCGTTTTGTTGCGCGCCTAGGGACGCACCGATAGCATCCCCGAGTCGGTAATATAATAATGGGCCGAGCGTCATGAAAAATTATTGACCTGAGGCTTTACAGTAAATACTTTCGCGGTTTGTCTACTAATAATACATATACTATACAGTAAAGATAGAGAGCAAATATAATAGCAGGATCGCAATAAGGAATAAATAATCATCACTGGTGGTTGTGGTCATGAGTGGTAATAAAATGCAAGGGTATCGTTCATGGTAATGTCATATTCTGTGGTTGGACCTGCATTGCTGCGCTGTTCAGCATGTCGAACCCCGTCATCATACCCGCGCTGACGTTCATTCTCTTCCGTGGAGGCATAGCGGAAATATCCTGTGCACAACGAGGGTCAGAACAACGACCAGACCACACGAAATCACGCGCAAGTACTTCGCAATTGTATTGGCCGTCTATTGGAAGTCATTGAGACCAAACCTGACGGCCGACACACAGCAAACAAACCCACCTTGTTGCAGTGGTGTATCATCCCACGTCCGTGAGTGTTTGCGGACCATCCGGTTCGAGGGATCCTAGAAGTAGCATAGGCAACATTAGGTACAAATATAGATGCAGAGCAATGTGCCAACCTCGAGTTGAGTTAATGGCTCAGTTGCGTAAACCGCTTGAGCATCAGCGGCTTCCGTCCAGTCCAATTTTGCACTAGCACGAGATACCACCTATGAATTCGAATATATTTAGTTAGCCCGAATGATGATGATGATCGATGGATAACACACCTCTGCATGGTACCTTTGACTTTCGTCGAGGGATAGGGAGGAGTGTCTCGACTGTTGGTCGACTGTTTGATCATCAGATAGAGAACAGGAAAAAACCGAAATTTCAACTCACCTGCACTCTGATTCATGGAAAGAAGAGCGGCCACTAAATATATAGATACAAACTTAATGATGATGGAAATGCACATGAGAGGTCTTTCTCACTGATATCATCTCTGCGCTTTTCTGCAGCAGCAACGGACTGACGTGCTTGACGTTCAGCATCAAGACACGCAGTATACCGAAGAAACGCATCTTGTGTATCTTTTTGTGTCTTAGAAAGAGTAGTGCGGGACAATAGGAGCGCTTGTTCTATTCATTTAATCAGATCTTGGATTCAGGGGAAGGAAAGATACATACTGGATGTACTCGCTTCCTGCGCCAACGTTTCAGGATTGCGAAGGGACGGTGACTGGGAATTTCGTGATGAAACCATAAAGCTGCCTGACCCGTCCGAGACATCTATAACAAGGTAAGGGTCGTACGATTGGTAATGGCGATCAGGTCAATTTTTTGCTCACCCATACCTGCTGTTCGCATTTTGTGGTCCCCGTATCCGTGGTCAGAGGCGTCGGGTGACCCTGAATCTATAGAGTGGTCATCGCGGATCGTGTACCCAGTCTCCCCCATAGAGTTGCGCAAACGAGGGTTGTGAGGTATACCCGAGGCCTGGCGTTCAATGAACTTGCGCAGGAACGTTAGCTCGATGTCATCGGCCATAACGTAGGGGGGTCCCTGAATGTCGCCTTTCTGCATCAAGAGTTCCAGGTGTGACATGGTTTTGTCTTTGAGCTGCTGGAGCCATTCGTGCAGCTCCATATGGTCCTGGTCCGCGCGTGCATCGTAGTCCTGCCGTCTCCTGGCCTTCCGCCAGTACGTCTTGGTCAACTTGAGAGCACGATTAACCTCGCTGTCTAGAATCCGATACCAGTCGCTGGCCTGACGGTTGAGACGCACCGCCAGTACTCCGGGTTGCACCCGTAGCTGCAAATTGCACCGGCCTTCACGGTCTGGAGGCCCAAGAACCCCTTTTTGCCCTTGATTTCCCCTCGTCGCGCCACGGGAGACATTTCCAAGCTCAGGCCAAGGCAAATCGTCAGCGGTAGCCATAATTAGAATCTCGAGTATGAGATGGATTGAGGGCGAGATGCAAAAAAAAAGGGTATTGGTGCAATCACAATGCTGCGATGCAGTTGGACCGGGCACAAGTTATCGAGTCGCAGAAGACAACTTTCGCCGACTTATAAGGTCGGGATCAGTTTAGGTGGTGATGTATTGATGGCTCGTTTTACAGCACTGCCAAAAACTTGATGCGACCCATTCAATCAGTCGGACAATTCGTCACTAAACCTTGGATACGACGGGTCAAAAGGCTCGGAGGAAAATCCAAAAAAGGGCGCAGTTGATGAAATCCGGTCATTCACACGCATGATGACGGATACCCTTATGTCGTTGATGAACAGTTCAGAATGATCCATACCACGCTACAATTTCCATTGCAACAGAGGGGCACTTCAGTGACACGGGGTAAAAAGTAAGGTGGAAGTACTGATGTCGAGCTTTCGGATCAAACGCAAGTGGAAGGAAGCGCCCGCAGAATTGCTTCGCTTCCGCATTCCAATGGCTTTCGCCCCACCTAACCACGTCTGTTCAACTTCTCACAAAATTCAAATCATAAGGTTGGACCTTAAACTAGATCCCTGGAAAATGATCTTCTTCGGCTTAAACGTCACGCAGAAAAAGTCACGCCTTGTGCTAGTGGTGCTTCATTGGAGAAATTGACTGGTAATGAATCGAGTTAGTGAATACAAAACTGCGCAAAACGGTGCTCCTCACTAGTGCACGCGCTCCAGCGCACATACTGTTTCCAGGCATCGCCACCAGATTCGCGACCCCTGTCAGGTTAGAATAGGTGTGCGGGGGTTTGATCCAGCTGATATGAAACCTCTCACCATCCAGTACTCTAAAAAGGAAAGTGGGCGCACGTTAATGGCATGTCACTTCACAATACTCAGCCGTCCTCACCTTGTTGCCGCCGAAAGCGGCCGAGATTTCAGCTCCAGAGTTCCCGACATTTATCTGTGAGAAATAGACTATCATAACAAGGTCCCCGACAGACGGGGACAATCGACGTACATTTACAATACCCGCATCTGATCCATTTGGTCCGATCCATTGGCCCGCATTACGGAGATCGCGGGTCCAGAGACTACTGGAAAGGCCCTGGACATTTGGAGAAAGATGAGATTAGACTGAATAATAAAATAGAAAGGGATGACTGAACTTGAGGCACCGCATTATTCCACTCGATAGCTTGATCAAGATGATCGAAAATCGCGACGTTAAGAATGGGGGCAAAGGTTTCGGTACACCATATCTTGTCCCTGGTATCCACTGATTTAGGTATTGCAATGGCGGGCTGTACAAAATTGCCTTTGTCGAGAGGGGCTTCATTGTATCGGATGCCGCCGGTGAGAATTTCAGCATCAATGGAACGAAGGTATTTAATGGTAGTCTCATAGACGTTGACTGCGTTGGACGTATGTAGAGGGCCAAGGAGAGTCGTGTCAACCAGGGGGTCCTCGGGCTTGACGGATCCATAGGCCTTCAAAAGCCGCTGTAAGAACTCGTCCGCGATATTACGCTGAAGATAAAGTCTTCGAGTTGACGTGCAACGTTGTCCGGCCGTACCGACGGCGCCGAAGAAGACCGAGGGGACCGCCATGTTTAAATCCGCATCATCCATGATGATAGAGGCTTGATGAACAGAAGAGGCGCTACTGTTAACAACATGCTTCATCATAATTGATATGCGTACCATTGTTACCACCTAATTCCAGTATGGATTTTCCAAACCTTGCACTGACATTCTGGCCTACAGAACGGCCGACACGTTCACTACCAGTGAAAGACACTGACCCGGGATGTGAGTCGACATGCTTACTTATTAGTAATATTCAGCATACCAAGGTCTACCCCGGAGTTTGCCACAATTCCTTCACCAATATCCTTTCCTCCCGTTACCAAGCCTGCAACCGCGCCGCTGATCCCATTGTGCTCCAAAACCTTGCTTACAATGGTGGTTACGGCAATGGCGCACAATGGTGTAGTATGAGAAGGTTTCCAAATAGTAGCGTTTCCAGCAGCCAAAGAAAGGGACAGATTCCTAACCAATCGATGTGGTCGGAAAACAGCTAGCCAGCCAGCTAGCTGCTATATATGACGAAATCAATCACGTACCAGCCGTAGACAGCCACAGGGAAATTGAATGCTGTCAAGATTCCAATAACACCCAACGGATTTGGCACTGAAACGCGAGAACATTAGACCTAGCCATAAAGAGGAGAATCAAGAAGCCAGACCTTCTAAGATAGAATGACCTACACGCTCTGATGCAACCACACGACCACTCATCATCCTGGAAAGACCCAGTGCATAGTCACACTGCGTTGATGATCGATTAGTAGGCACACAGGAGACAAAAATAGGCGCGTACAATGTCGATGAATTCCTGCACTTCGCCTACGCCCTCAGTCTTGATCTTTCCCATCTCCAGAGACACAAGAGCCCCGAGCTGTACGCGCTGAAAGTGCATAGTGCCGTCGGCATACTGGGAAGAGCTTCTATTGTTTCATGACTGGCGCACCTTTGCAGCAAGGGCTTCTCGGATTTGACGAATAATCTCTCCTCGACGCGGTGCAGGCACATCTAAAGCAGCGAGATTAGGCCTCAGAACGCGTGCAATAAAAAGAATTGGACTTGCTTCGGAACGACGTGTAAGCATCGCGGGCCTTGGCGAGGGTCTCACGAAGGTCTTCTGGTGATGCCTGAAGATCTGTCTGGCAGTTGGAACCCATCATCGCGGCATGATACTCACGGATTTAACGCGTGCCAGGATCTCACCCGTCGTCGGACACACCGACGTGAGGATCTCGCCGGAGCCCTTCCATTCCCCGTCGTAGACGCCTGGCACCTCTGTGCTCGTCGTTGAGATGTCGAGCGAAGACAGGATTCGTGATGCCCTAGTCGACAGCAAGCGGGCCGTGGGGCCTATTCGAGAGGACCGTTCCAGATGAATCTGTTTTTTGTCAAGGCGATCCCAGAAAGCGGTGAAGCACGTACACCTGGAAGTAGCAGCTTGGATAGCATAGCGGTTGACGGTGCTGGTGGTAGCTGCTCAAGCTCCGGTACGGTCATGCGCCGACTTACCTTCCCCGAATGGCCGCCAGTGGCGCAACACGACCATGTGAGCACATTTCCACCCCGAAGTCCGTATAGGCATAAGTATCAGCCCATTTCCACCAGAATTTCTTCACTTGTCTTCACTGGCAGAGGCGCATCAGCAGCGCATCAAGTTCTCAAAATATCCATGATCTTTCACACTGACTTATATGGGCCGAAGATCATCAACAGAACCTGGCTATCTTAATTTGGTTGATTAATGCATATCCACATGTACAAATCTTCGGTGTTCGCCTTCGCAAGAGAAATATCTCTCTACTCAAGACAGAAGGTCTCACAACAGCGTTGATGATCAGATTGCAGTGTCTTGAATCGAAGGGGTGGTAATCTCTGTCGTCGAAACATGCGCATATCGGTACACGTATCTCCCTTGATTCAAGGAACATTGTCTTCCGCCGACCGTCACGATTGTTTGGGTAAAAGAAAAGCAGAGCGCTGACACTGATTTGCCCAGAGTACTTGATCCAGCGTAGGCGGAACGACAACTTCCTGAAATCTTTTTCTATCCCTGTGTACGATATGTAGCCCTGTCAATGAAACATGGACCTTCCTCGATGTCAGCAGCAACGCAAGATCGCCACCATTCAAACATGCAACGCAAGTATGACACATACAACATGACGGATATCTGTTTGAATCTCGTCCCTCTCAATTGCACCCAGGCATACATATGTCTAAAATTATCCTGTTAGCAAAACGCGGTGTGATCTCGAAACAACAAAATCCACCTCAGCCTCACAGGTCATCGAAAAACCGGCCCTCGACTTCAACCTCGTTCCTCCCTTTCTTACGCTTCGTTACCATCAGCGGGTTTTCCTCCTTTTTCCGTTTTCTTTTCGTCGGTGGAGCTGGAGAATCCGAATCTGAATCGTCATCATCATCCGCGGAGCCAGAGTGATGGGCCTTATTATCTGCGCCACTATCTGCTTCCTCCTCCTCATCATCTTCAGCAGACTCAGCGTCATTGCCCCCAAACGCTCCCTCTCCTTTTTCCTTTCCTTTATCATCTTCTCCATCGCCTTCTCCATCATCTCCATTGAAAAAACCCCGCAAACTGGTCAGCTTCAGTGTCTCGTCATGGCCAGCACTTCCAATCCACCACCGAGCATCGGGTAAAATTTCATCATGGTCTGATTTTTTTGCCACCGGCGCTATCTGCTCATCCTCACCCTCGAGATCCAAGAAATTTTGTCCGTCGCCAATAGCGACCTTCTCAACGGGCCATTCACCGTGATCTGCCACGACACCCAGCAATTTCGTCGGAAATATCTGGACTGCGCGCACGAAACCATCGGATGACCCTGTTAGGATCGTGCTGGTGGCATCAATGTCCGTGAATGATTCAGGTAAAGCACATAATGTGTCAACAGAATGAGGGTGCCTGCTAAACGCGTTAAAAGGGACAGGCAATCACGAGAAAGAAGCCCCATTACCCCGGAATACGGTCAACACAATCGCCCCAACCACTGCTTCGGTTGAAAATAGACAAAACCCCAATTTGAGTGCCTACAACGAATTTGGTAGACCTTATGGAGCAATTCAGCTTGAGATTACCCTCAAAAACATTGACATACCCTTTGATTGCGACAATGGACAGAAGTTCATCTTCTTGATCCTCCGACTGCGCTATGGGTTTAGTATTTTTCGACCGGACATCTATAACTGACAGCGTTCCATCGCCACTAGACACAACGTCAGCACGTCACATATACGTATATCCCACACTGTCGCGCACCTCGTAGCAACTAGCTGTTTCTTATCATCCAACCACAGAAAATCCGTGATATAATCAAAATGATGTGTGTACTTTCGAATAGATTCTTTCTGTCTTGGATCCCATAGCTGCCAGTTACCAGTGAGATTACACCTGCCGAGATAGGTCGCGATGTGCCCCGACCTTGATAACTCCGTCGTCATCTCCTGTGGACAGTAGCCACGATGTCAAATGTCGCACGCGGTTGATGGGAGCCCTTCATATATAGACAGGTCATGGTCTGGATGAAATGTGCAAAAGAGAAAAACGCTTGCTCGTGTGCTTTGGCTCGCGACTGGGCGTGTCTCCCGGTGGTAGTATCGATTGTACTAGGCTCCTGTCAGTATCAGAAAAGGAACCGATAGCAGTTGGGTAACGAACTGGAGAGCCTTCCCCTTCCCTACGACGTATATATTGGTCCCGTCTCCGTTTATGCTTAGTCCGCGACAAGACCGGTGTGAAACCGATACGGAGAACGACTCCTTGTTTCGTCCTTGATGGTCATATGTGATAGCCTTGACCTGGCCAGATAAAAGCGCAGCATAGGCAGTGCAATGCGCAGGGTGAAATACAATGTCGAATATCTGTGAACCAACAGAAACGTCGGGCATGGCGACCTTCGAGCTATTTGTGTTTAAATTCTGGAATTGCTTCAACCAGACACATTAAATTAGATAGGACCTGGATACGTACAGATTTGAGAGGCTTTCAATGTCGCATAACTTGCTCGCCGGAGGACGATTATGGAGCACAGTGTGTGAACTTGTAGGCGCTTGTGTACTATTTTTCCCTTGTTGATGAGGTAATTATTACCGGCTTGACGGCAAGAGCACTGCCACGTCCTCTCCTCAAAAGTCGCGAGGAATTTCACGATTCGCGACGTAAGATCATTTTGGTATTTCAATATTCAATCGTCAAGGATATTTTACTACCATCTTCTCGAAAAGGTCTCGCTAGAAAGATCGAGATATTCCTTCGGGACTTTAATCATCTCCCCGAGCCAGAGCTGTCATACAGTCCACATAACTGCTTATGCCAGAACCATTAGATGAATCCCGCGGGCCACGCGATACCGCCCTGTTCGTGGCTGGAGATACTTTACATAATTACCAGTAGTTCATGTGCTTAAGTCGGTATCCTTTCCATGGTATATGAACTGAGGCCAGGAGATGGTTTTCTGTCCCAGGTGGACAGCCTCATGGTACTGCTTAGTACAAGATCTAGTTGGGCCGGATGTATGTTTTTCGGAGACAAAATGACGATTAATGTTGGAGGTTATTCCATGGTTACGGTGCGGCCGTCCGTGGACCTGAAATCGTGAGACCACTGGGGGTCGCTGGGAACAATGAGGTACAATGTCTGCCTTTCAACATCAGTCGGCCCGTAGAGTTGGAAAATCCGCTGCCGTGGGTGCATTTCCTTACCTTTTCCCTCCGGGATTTTTGCAGTTAGGTGTAATATATATACAGTATCATATGTACAAAATTTTTAAGGGATACGACGGGAGAAAATTTCCATTCAATTGCCGGGACAGCTCAAAGCAATTGAAACGGAAAATGGTCCTTCCCGAGCTTCCTGAAACTTTAAACCTATTTTATTCTATATAGAGTAACGGAAATATTCCGGAGGTATCCGGCATTGACTTTTCCTGGATACCGATCACAATAATTTAGTCTGAAAGGCTGAAAGCACATCAGAAATAGTATCATTCACGCAGAAAGCGACTTGTGCCGGTGCCGTCAAAATTGTCGAAAATCTAGTACACCAGCACTGGGTTATGCGTGTCATGCGGATCGAGACCTTATGAGGGAAAAGATTAAGGTCGTCTGCACGCAGCAGTGGCGCAGGGTTGTAGGCGCTTAGTGCTGGGGGGGAGGTAAATCATGTCACCATCCGTTTCTACCGCTAAGCTGACTCGAATTGTCGAAGACTTTTGGGAATCCTTCTAGGGAAGTGGCCCGCGAGGTCCTGCTGGGAAGACGCGGTAGAAATAGCAAATTTCAGGGTGTTTCTGACGAGGTCACGAAATCAGTATCCCGGCAGAGAAGATTCAAAAGAATTAATCGAGCGAACTCCATGAAGCATTTTATTGACACGGAGAGTGTTTCCATGTAAGTTCCGTAGCATTAGGATGGATTCCGCCAAAAATTGCAGTTTTCTCTCATAATGTAATCGGGCCGCAGGTATAGCTGTGCCTTGACCACACAATAGGCTTCAGATTGCCTAGAAATAGTTGGAAGAAGGGTGGTTACGTAATTTCATAGGTGGATGCCTGTCGACGCTTGCAAAAAATTGATCGCAGCAGGGCCCGCAGCATGGATGAGTAACCGTGTCCCACAGAGTCGCACGCCATACGCGGACGCTCCATTAGAAAATGACTGTGTGCAATCGGAGTTAGGACTTTCCTTTTATGGGATGATAAGATAACTTTCTTCTTGACTTCTCTCCGTAAACCTGCATGAAATCCACACACTCTCCTGGTCGCCCATCACGCTTGTATTTTCTCTGGCACATTTAACGCTATCCCACCCTTCTCTGCCATTTCTTGAGCAGCGATGTCTGGTTACCATCCCTACAAACAGGGAGAATCGACCAAATCCCCCGGACAGGCCAATAGCTACACGTCTGGGGACGACGCAGTCGCAATATCCCAAGGAAGACCCCACAGCAAGGCCAACAAGCGTATAAGGTACCTCTGAATCGTTTCTCCAAAGCCGACGAGTGTATGTTCACATGTACGATCTCTAACAGGGGTGAAATTGCCTGTGCAGGTGGGTCGCTCGTTCATATGGATACGTCGCTGGAAACCAACGTCGGTGATACAGAATGTCGTCGCCTGAAAATTCGATGCGATAGGATGGTGCCGTGTTCAACATGCGTCAAGCGAGGCTGCGCGTCCTTATGCCCGAATGGTAAGTTGGGACCATTGTCGGTCAATACGCATGACAGTGACGAACTGCAGGGACGGTACCTCCGGGGCAGGGCAGCAGGTGCGCACTGCTGCTACTTTCTAGTTATTCTTGGTTCATGTCTGTATAGATTTGTCTTGGCTGCGACCGAACATCTCCAAAACACACTGAAGAAATTGGAAGACCGTATGCACTCGCTGGAAGATGCTATAGCTATCGTCTATAGTGCCACTTCGGACAGCCCTCACCCACTTCTGGTGAAATGCAAGGACGAGGAAGTCGAAGAAGAACCATCAAACTTGAATAGTGTGAAAGAGGAGGCGGAAGAAATGGACGAAGATTCCCCGGTGCCGTTGGATGCTCTTGGAACGCTCTACATTGACCAGGATGGCTGGAACCGTTTCTTTGGGCCATCTGGAGGGTCAGAGGTTAGCATATATCTGCTTTTCTCTATCAAGTTCTCTGACCTGGTAACCCCTATCGACGTCAGAGCCTACTTAATGTGAGCGGCACTTCATTTTTGGCCTCCAACGCTCAACATAAAACGCCTACTATAGAAGCAAAATCCTCAAGCCTCTTCTCTTCCCGAACTCGACGCGTCCTATCTGTCTCCGCAGATAAATATGTCTTGTCGATCATTCCCCTTCACTCCACAAATGCTCCCTATAGCCAGCACACAGGCTTCTATAGAATCGTTCTTACCGCCCATCGAGCGCGCCCTGGAGCTTGCCGATATCTTTCTGGAACACTTGTCATGGATGTTCCAGATCGTCTCCGCTCAGCAAATAAAAGAGTTGATCTACATCGTATATAAACACAAGGATATCGAGTATGTGCCGCACGATTTAGCATTGATGCTGAGCGTCCTTGGTATTGGGGCCCTGGTGGATTTAAAACTACCTCCTTATAATCTTGAAGCTCAACATTACGATAAGCTAGCACAGGCAGCGCTGGCGTTGCAACCTGTGTTGCCAGAACAATCTATCGTTACTATCAAGGTATATTCCATCATCCATAATATCAGCAACGATATTCACATTGTGACCTAGGTATTGCATTTAATGAGTATATATAATGGCATGAGCGGTAAAGAGAGCAACCTGGAGCGATCATATGCGTTGCTCTGTCTTGCATCTCAGGTTGCGTTGAGGGTGGGTCATTTCATTCTCCGCACATTCATTCATGTGGTGTAATTTAATGAACATTGCTTTTGGTATAGATCGGATGTCGTATGTCTGTCTCTTTAGAATCAAGAATCAAGTTGGTAACATAGCTTACCCTTGATCAGATATCGATCCTTCTATGTGGGGTTTTGAAGGCAAAGAGGCCTACGACCGGCGTGTGTATTTCTGGAACCTCGTCGCTGGTAGTCTTTGGCAGGTATGACATTCCATTTAGAGGTATATGGAGTTGAACAAGTACCGGAACAGTGCTTGGTGACGGGACGTCCGCCCGTCATTTTGTCTGGATTCATAGATTGTAAGATTCCTACTGCCGAGGAAGAGAGTAACTTTCAACAAGGGGAGGTTCCTTTGGGTTGTAAGTCGCCTAATCGTTCTCGGACATGCCAGCATATAATGAAGCTTCCTTGTAGTCGGCATTTGGGGCTTCAAAGCGAGTCGCGAATGCCTTGTCCATGTCGTAAAGGCCAGTCTGGCTGTAAAACCCCCGTCGTATGAGAGCATACTCGAGCTAGACCAAAGAATACGGGAATTTGCTTCACCCCGTTCGTCCGATAACATGTCGGAAGACTCCACGCCCTTGTCAATGAAAATGTTTGTACGTTCTCATTATAAGGAGCTAAGTGAGTTCATACCGACAACGTATCTTTGTGATCGTTTCATGTTGACATATATCTAAATGTAGTGCTTCTCTTCCTCCATCGAGCCTTTTTCACGCAAGCAATGACCGAAAATCCCACGAATCCTTTGTTAAGCCCTCATGCGAAATCGGTAATTGCCGCTTATCAGAGTGCTTGTGTCGTTCTGCAGGACACGCGCATACAGTTTATGAAAAAGCCATTACTATGCGCTAGAGTGTGGAGAATATGGTCTTTTGCGTTTACAGCAGCGGCAAGCTTTCTTCGTCCTATATGTCCTATCGTAACCTTACTGTGCCCATAGGTGGTGGTTGGAACTGTTGCGATCCGAGGCGCTCATATGAACCTCGAGCCTACTGCCCTGGAAGAATTCGAGGCATCATGCACGATGTTCAGGAGCGCTGCTGACACGAGCCCTCGTGCTGCACGTGCACTGGTTAGTCCCGCCCCTCATCTGAACATAGACTCCATCTGACGACGACTTGGTTCCAACAGCCTGTCCTGGAGCCAATGCTGCAGAAAGCCCGCCAGACTCGACGTGACTCCGGCGTGCTTCGTTTCTCTGATTCAAGTGCTGAAGATGATATCTCGATATTTGCTGGGCGACCGACGGTGATACAACCCACCGAGACGGATCCTCAGGGTCTCTCAGTCCCACCCAAACGATCCCACTCGGATCCACCATACCTACCTTCTCACACCCAAAGACCCCTCCATACTACCGTCAACCTACCACCACTGATTACACCCATGTCCGAATCAGGACACCTCCCACCGTCTCTGCAGACACTGCTGCATCACCCGGAACACCCGACGACGTTTGCTGACTTGTCAGCTGGATGGGACGGTTTGTTCCACGAAATGCCCGGTCCTCAGGCCTTGTTGTATAACACGTCAACTTCAACTTCACAGACGGATTATCCAACTCTCAATATGAATGAACCGGCAATGCTCGATGACCGATGGTCGTATTTCATGCATAATTATGGGATTTTGGATGACCCTCGGTAAGGGTAGGGTGGATTTTGGATTTGAATTATTTGTTTTCTTTGACAGCTTTGTTTCTTGTGTATTATACATGGCGTCTAGGGCCATCGACACATGTTGTATCGTTTTTCTTCCTTTGTCCCTGAACTCACCTTTTTAGCCTACGGTATTGTAGCAGTTCCTCATTAATAGAACTGACGTATGAAATGCGATTTTTGGGTATAATATGCTACGTCGTATAGCAAGGAATAACGCGCGACCAGGGTCCAGCTTGGCTTCTGTCAGATGAGGCTAAACTTCCAGTATGAAAATCTCACCGAAGACATTCAGCTATGCTTCTGTGTCTTTATTAGCACCAGGTATTGAAGCTGGCGGCTCAGAAGCACTAGCATCCGGGACATACATTTGCTGTGCAGGCTGCATTTGTTGGTTGGTAGAGTCCTTCTTGGTCTGCTCGTCGAAGTCGTCCTCATTGAAACACTTGTCGCAGCATGATCCGCAGCATCCAGCTTGTCCGTTACCGGTGCAGCAGCAACAACAGCCATTAGCCCCCCAGGTCTCTGTGAAGGTGCTGAGATGAGAAGCACCGAGACTTCAGCAGACACGCACTTTGTATAGACCAAGAGCTCAGAGCCGTGCCTCCTGCGGTACCTGTGAAGATTTTAGTTCATGTTACGCTGCAAGATAGGAAGAAAAGGAAAGACATACAGCAGAGACCGCAACATAACAGAGCACAAATATCACCTCCATTATCGCCCATAGTTGAGGATAGAGATGAAGGACAGACGGATGGAAGGAAAGAGCTGCGTTTTATAGTACCAGCCCCCCCCTTTTGCTGGTTGGGTAAGATCCGTTGACGTGCGATGCGCAGGCGCAGAAGCAGGAGCCCGCGGCTTGCTCACTGGTTTGTTCACCCAAACCTCAGTGACGTCGGTGTCTCCGTTAGCATTTCCGCCCAGTGGCTATGCTTCCTCGAGCTTTCCTCTTTCTCTCCTCGACAAGAATGTTTGAACTCATTCTCAGTGTCAGATAGAACGAGCTCCATCCTACTGCCAATCTTGGAGCTGTTAGCGATTACGAGTTGATTACTCACTGATACTCACATGGGTATAAGCTTCACTCCAACCTACGACTCATTGTTTACTCATAACTAGCCAGTTCCGAGACCGGCAGTGGGGCGAAGTAATGAATCTACGAGACCTGAAATCATGACTTTTGGCTTCCTCTATGACCGGGAAAAAAAAAAAAGAAACAGGATGCTATGGTGATACTGGAAAGTGTTCAAGTTACGCGCTGCTCGTGGTCCAACTCCGAATTGCTATTCAGGTTTTCGGCCGAAAAACCTGAATCCCTTCATCGATTTTACGTAGTTCCATTGTTTTTTTTTATTCTCTGGACCATGGGAGTCTCGGCGTGTCCATGCAATGTTAATTCACCCTGCACCTTTCCTCCAACTGACTACCCAACTCTCCTTACAACCAATATTCTCTAGCGCGGTGTCCCTGACGGACTAAACCGGGTTCGCAAGGCACTATGTTTACTTGAGGAGGCGAGGCTCGGTTCCAAGACCAAGACATGGTACATAAGCTTCTCCATAGCAACTGGCTGGGTATTGGCATTATTTAGGACAGAAGTCTATTCGGAAAAACACACTATTCAAGTTCTTTGCCAGTGTACAAACATAAACCCAAATCTCAATCTGACCTTCCAGGAAGAGTTTCGTACATCAAATCGACTTCCCCGCCTTCCCTGAAGGCTCAATTCTTGAAGCGGTTTAGTCCGTTGCAGGGGCACTACCCACAGGAGATCAAACTAGCTACTTCCGCTAGTCAAATCTAGAGCATTATCAAAGGGTAAGTTACTACAGGTGATAATTGATTACCTTGAAATAGTTTCAAAGTGGGTCGTCAGAGCAGGATGTAATACAAAATACAACATAGGTATGAGTGAATGAATAATGCCCAGAATATACAGCTTGCTGATCCAAAACAAAAAAAAAATGCAACAACGATTGAAAGGCTACAGAGACCTCAGACGACTGAGAATATCCGTATAGTCAGTATCCTCCCACCGCTTCCCGCCTTTCTCTAGATACCACCGCCGGCTATACCGTCGCGGCTGTACAGCCCTGAAAGCAGCCCCTTGGAACCACTCATCTTCGTCTACATCTCCAGCTACCACCACATCGATGTCCTCATCCTCATCATCCTCCAGAGTGTCCAACCCCTCACTGTCCTCACTCGTACTCACACTACTCGAATCCGTCGAACCCAGCGACTTTATCGATTGTGCGAAGCACAACTCAGAGTGGGACACGCTGATTTTTTCGATGTCGAGCTCAGATGAACGTAACATCGGGGGAAGGAGGTTATTTCCGGACACGAGCTCTTCTGGGATCGTCTCACCAAGGTGACGCCGGAGTTTCGACAGCCGTTTCCGTCGGGCTGTTGTGGGTGTCGGAGCTTGGGGAATGGAGGGTGTGAGGGGTGTTATGCATTGTGAATCTCGGTGGGACGGCTTTAGGGCATCAGGAGATGTTAGCACGACCAACTTGGGCGGTCGAGATACAGGGGAAGCGGGAGTTAGAAGAAGAGGTGTTTCGGCTGTTTTGTTATTCGTTTTGGGCGTAAAAATAGGGCTAGACGAGGGAGTAGCCGGGACGACGGTTATGGAGGGCACAGGAGGAAAGGGAGGTAAAGGCCGGGATGGAAGGCGTCGGATCCCGGGGGTGGGCTTTGGTATTGGGGGTAATGGACGTATCGATTTCGTACGAGTGTGGCGCGGGCAACAGACATCCTCGTCATCCCGCCTCTTGGGTATGGGAGAGAGGGTGGAGCCGACTACACGCCCCTAGAGCGCCAATCGATTAGATACCAATGAAAAAGAGAGGGCAACACTCACCTTGTCTGCCACACCGATGACAATAGTGGGCCTCGCATAAGGCTTCACTCCTGTATATGCATATCCAGATGCGTTGCCGACCATGAACAACAACAGCGGAGGCGAACCACAGATCGTGGCCCGAAAGACAAGGGAGAGGGAGGAAACAAAATGCCGTGACGACAATAGTGACTTATAAGGGTACTATAGTGTGAAAATGGGTCACGACCTGTTGAAGTCCTCTTACGCGAGATCTTTTCTCCAGATTCCGATCGTTACTAAAGTTTCCAAATCCTGCGCACTGAAGGCAAACAAATTTCAGAGACCTCGGAAGCCCCTTATATAACTTGACGCTGCTACACCGCTTGCTTCAGCCGAGGCAAGTGTGATGTGTTCACCCGAAACCTGGCTTGAAGGTGCCAAAGTATCATCGATACACTTCCGGGGAAAACAAACACGAGGCATTCATCTCCATTCGGTCATGCCGCCCACGTCATCTAAATATATGCGCCAGGCAAGTACGAAAACGAGGTCGAACAAGAATCTAGGACTTACAGGATTGCTCGGAAGACCCTTGACAGGTCCAAGGACCCGGCACAGTCCTCACGGCCGCAAGCAAGAGTAACAAGATCGGCTAGGACCTGGCATGTCGAATTGCAGATAAGTATTCGCAGGCGTAACCCGTAGCGATCATACGCGAGGACCCCGACTCTCAAAGTTGAAACTCCTCTGTCTCTCTGTTACCGGCGTTGATGATGATTGTCTCCAAGGAGAAACGTGTACGCAATAAATGCAAGACACGGTGTGAACTGCTATCAACCCCAATCAACATAAGGCTGGATGTTGTGATCGTGCGATATGACTTTGAAAGAACAGTAATACTGAATAGTGGCATTAGTGTTCATACGCGTGTGGGACAACGGAAATAGTTAATGTCTCCGTATCGAAGTCCGATACCAAGTAGGATATTGTGGCCCTTTGGGGCGAGGAATCTATTTGACAAAAATTTACATCTCAGCCACCGAAGACAAAGCAACAAATGGACCTACATACGCAACTTGTCCCTGGATTCCGTGATCCGTGGAACCAGCACTAACACGGACGACCTTGGGAGATATCATCCGCTTGCGTTGTTTGGGAGGCATACTGATATGTGATATTACAAAGAAACACATCAGAATGCATGAATTGCAGTTGTCTATGTCGGCCAACAAGCTGAGCTGTAAAGCACATATACTTTAGAAGAGACTCGTAATTTGGGATTGTCGGCGCACCGCTAACATTGTTTACCGTGATCCCAACAACACCTCCGATTCTATACATGTGCTCAAACGGCCGACACACTGGACCTGTCGGGTATTGGGGTACGCGATCGCCTATAGATTCTAACAGTGACGGGTCAGTCCGAGGATTTTGCCAAGCGGGTTAAAGACCGGTGGAATAAGGATATAGGCTAGTGTATCCATCGCTGAACAAGGAAAGATCTGCGACAACAGCGATATGGCGAGCCACCCTTACCATCAGTTGTTTCTGTCACAGCTCCAGGTTTGGATCTGCATGGGAGTGTCGGAAGGTTCGAGCAATTGAAACGCGGTTGAGCTGTTCTCGCCATTCATTCACACAAAATATGAATATAACCAGACACGTACTCAGCTGGCCCGCGCGATTATCTTTTCAATGGTCCCGAGCCTTATCATGGCTCGGCGGATTTTCACGAGGGAGGTGAGCGTTTCATGCCCAGATCTGAGTGCGCAGTGCTCGGGGCCGCCCCGAGTAGGTCAATAGGACATTCTACGCTCGTCGACCGCCGAACTTTTTTTCGGACAGCACTAAATGTCAACATGAAACGGAATGCTTTTTCATGGGAAAACCGTGCCGCACCACATAAATGCTCGCGGTCGACCGCAGGTACTAATTCGTCATTCTGACGACAGACAGGACTGATGAAAGCCTTTAGGCATAAATGCAGCAAGGGCGACACTTGACTTGATGATGGTGGTGTATGGCCAAGATCTGATGCAACCATGTGGCTGCACTTTGTCTTCCACCATGATGGTCAACAACATCTTACCCGCCGCCAAGGGCACCAACGGGGCTCAAGAAAGCTATCTAGGAACTCAGCACCTGCTCAGTATCAAGCAGACAGAAAACTCCGAAGTTTTCCATTGGTCCGAGAGGCGGCAACGACCTTACTGCCTATTTATGCTTCAATTTCCGGTCGGCCACTATTCCGTCTACGACCGTTCCAAGGATTAGCCTATAGTGTCCTTCAAACATTCAGCAATACTTGGTAGCATGAGGCTGGAAAGCTTGCTCATTCCGTAAACATTGAAATACCCGTCGGTGATCTCGCAGCGTCGTCGTTTCCTTAGGTACTGTCCACCAGCAGACCTACGGAGGTCATCATTTCGAGGCGATTCAGTCACACGGCTGTGAGATGACTTCTGTTTCTCTCGAGATACTTGCGACGCATACATAACCATGTTGCGCTGCGGTTGGTTCGAAATTCGGTCCCTTTTTCCAGGCGTCTCCACTGTCCATGTACTCCGACAAGAGAGTAATACCACGCCTCATACGTACAGTGAACCAAACGCGTTTGCACTCGGACATACTTAGTTTCTCGAAGCGCATACGGTTATGTAGACTTGCCGCGACTCTGTTCGCCTATAATTAAACGCGGCAGTACGTGATCTTTCTCTCAAAGTCCAACAGCACGTCTGACATTTTCATTTAGGTACCGTTCCATGGATCTAATTATTTCTGTCTCGACTGAACAGATGTCGATTCATTTTGTCCGAGAAATTAAAACAGATTCTGATCGCGAAACTCTTGTCAGCCACCATTTTCTCACGAATCTCTACGTTATTATTGGCGTTTGTCAAGTTAACTTACCAAAGGTTAGCTACATATTTAGCTGTGGCACTGGGAAGTCATATTCCCCGGACGCGTCTGTTTAGCATTATGTGTTGGAAGCATTCCTGTGCCAGCGACACGGAGGTACGAAGCAGAAACTCGTACCACATCCAGGTTTTTATACATCACCACATGGCCATTCATTGCAGATGTACACATGGGCAATTCTTTCAGTGGCCATTCGAGATCGACTACGCCGGCCTAACTGGTCATCTCACGGGAGCCTCGGCATTCATTCAGATAAAGGACGCACTTGGCTTGTCCCTCTCAATGTTCCTTTCCTTTGATTGTTCTCGGACGACATGCGAATAATCAGCATCATCAGTCTTCTCCTGACCTATGTTCGTTTCGCAACGGCCGACCCTTGCGCCGACATTGCCGGGAAAGCCTTCGTCCCGCCTGCCGCCGCGTTAGCTTGTCTAAAGTCTTTCCCCTTCAACGAGACCTTGCGAGTCAATATGATGAACAACGCCGCTCGCGTACTTGACTTCTACACCTTCGAAGAGTACTACTTGAAATCTCCCCCACCCTTTCAAGAGTCGACAGTTAATATCAGGGCAACACTTGCACGATTGAATGCCACAGCGTACGAGGTGAGCATACATGGTGTCTAGCGGGGCCTTCCCTCACCACCCTTCTCAGACCGATTATGATGCCAGCTGGGATCTTTACATGTTCACCACCCAAATGAACGATGGCCACACGCGTAAGTTCGTTATATTCTATCTTCAAATAGGTTTAGTCACGCGACCCTCACATAGGCTGGTTCCCAAATTGTTACAACTCGTATCAAAATGTCCTACCGGCACCGGTAATCACGGCCTCAGTGAACGGCGAAGAGGGCGTGTACATCGCCCCAGACGCCGTCGAGTTTATATCCCTGCTAGGCGAAGAGTACACCTCCTTCTTCGATTCTATTCATTTTAACTGGACACGATTAGCTGGTGCTAAGGTCCTCGCGATCGAAGACCAAGATCCTTATGCCTATGTCGATACGATTGCATCGACAGTATCTGGAAACTACCTCGACCATGGCGTCCGCGTAAACTCGGTTTTCTCGAGCTACAGGATCTCCGGCACCGACTTTTCGCAGCGCGTAGGCGATCTAGCAGGTCCCATCGGTGTAGTCCAGACAGCAGTCAAATTCCAATTGATACCTGTCGGTTCCACTAGTGCGGAGACAGTGACCGTACCGTTTTTGGCTAATTTTATAGGTGTTCCTTTTACTGATGCAGAGTCGTTGTAAGTCGCGTTAAATTATGGAAAGCTGTTCTTAAATATTTTGCAGTTGGGCGAATAATTGTGCGGCAAATGAGGCTACAAATGGTGTTGACAATAAGGACGTGGTTTCTGCGGCAACCGTATCGGCAAAGAGCCGTCTTGCCAAGGCTGAGATCATCGACCTTTCGAATTCTAGCGCTGTTGGCTTGCCGCAACAGTTTATACCCACCCTTCCTCCTGTCAGCGGAAGTACTGGGGTCATCAAGTCATATATCCTTCCCGGAAATCATACTGGGGTCGTACGTACAACATTACAGTTCCCTTTAATTTTATTCAATCTTTCAAAACAGATGTTCGTCGGTTCGTTCGGCGGCGACTTTGACGCGTTCATGTCCGATGTCGTTCAAACCATCACCGCGTTCCAGGAGGCCGGCGTTACCCGTTTAATCCTAGACCTGACCAACAACGGTGGCGGGTTTGTCTGCTTGGGCCAATTCCTCTTTCAGTATCTTGCTGGTTCTAGCTTTGGATATCCGTGCGTGTCTCTGGTTGGTTCTGGTACAGATGCTGACGTGGGTTCTACTTGAATAGTGGCTTTCAATCCACCACCCGGGGGAATATACTCGCACAGAAGATTGTTGCTTCGGATATTGCCCTGGGAAACGACGATACCATAACCTTCTACAGCGCTGACAATTGTATGTTACTCCGTCATCGACGGATATGCTCTAATGGACATTCGACATCGCAGGGGCGTTTTTGAACGGCACTCAAATGCCAGCCTCGTACGACTATCTGGATCCCTTGGTACCATTCGTCGTCAATAATGTATCAGATCCTACTTCTCAGCGTTTCCACGTAAAACCCACGCCGTTCCATACATTTGGTGCTTCGCTGACAAGGAAATCATGCAGGATACATGTACATTGTCATTTACCCAGCCCATTCCGGAGAATCCTCCCTTTGATCTTGAGTGAGTGGGAATTTCCCTTTCTTGTCCATCATAGGTAGGCTGACTAGCTCTGGTAAAGCAATATCGCCATCGGTAAGCGCAGGCTATCTTCGGCTCGCAAGTGTTCTAAGCAGTCAATAGTCGGTAACGGAAATTGCGCCTCTACGTGCGCAATGTTCAGTACGCTCATGAATGAACACTTCCTCACCAAGAACGCGGTGTTTGGAGGGAAGCCGGGAGAGAATGTGGAGTTCAAAGGTGCGGTGAACACTTACCGTGTGTGTACATCAATCTGACACGAATGCGTAATAGGAATGGCTGGTAATCAGGTGCTGGAATGGACTGATTTGGATTCGGAGATCAAGACCGCTGATTTGGACGACGTATGTCTTTTTTATACTGCTTGGGAGTAACGGACGCTTATAGATGCTGCTTCAGGACCCATTGGCTCCCCCGGATCTGTGAGTCGACCTTTTCTGGGTGACGAGCCTGTTCTCACTATGTTTCGATTACGCTAGGCTGATTTCTGGTAACTTCCGGTGAGCTGCACTCTTTCTGAAAAGAAAGTCTCTTGATTTTCGTATGCTCGTCAATGCTAGTGTAAACTGGCGAACAGGTGCGATTGGCGCACAGATCTGATCAACTCCCAAGGCTGATATAGATCTGTATCTAGCATGGAGCTTCTTTGATGAACAGAAACCTATTGGTGGGTTTTCTCCTGGATGCTTACGTTCCCGCATCACGCATTCTTTTTCTAGCCTATGTATCTGAACTTCCGAGATGTACGTATAACCCGAAATACTGCGAATGTCCTCGACGCACTAAACGTTACCAGTCCGCTTTCCCTACACCTTCGACACGTACAACAATCCTCAGAACCTATGGCTCTTCGCGTATGTGTAGATTCGAGCTGTGGCGTTCTTAATCAATTGAAACAATTTACAGGGACAAGCAGCTCTTCCCTCCCCCCCCGCCTTCGCATCATCATCATCATCACCATTTGATTTAGGATGTCGAAGATCGCTATATCTATTTATCGAAGAGTAAATTTCGAAATCATCGTGTCGGTGCGGGGAAGAATAATAAAGGTTACAAATTTATGATCCCTCGCCGGTTCATCGTAAGAATTTTGCAAGACTACACATGGGTTTGATCGCAGCGTCGTGATTCCGTTGTCTTCATGAGGAGTGTGGTCTCGTTGCTGGATGTTGAGGTATCCTCTACTTTCGAGATATCTAGTCTCGTCGCTATCTGGCACATCTCCCTTGAGCGGTTCAAGGCCGTCTGAACCTTTCCGAAGCCAAATTGGGCCGCGCAGCAGGAGCATCACCATGAGATAGAATGAGCCCGAACTTCGGAATGACGAAGGTGATGTAGACTGGGAGCAACTGCTCCAATCGAGCACTGCCTTCACGCATCCGCTTCTACCGTGTCGGACTAAAGTTGAAGCCCTAGCCTCTAAATATTCAGTTTCTCTTTGGACTCGCGTCCATAGACCCCGGACGTTTATTAGAGGATAATGAAAGAATAACCCATGATGTTTTAGACTTTGTGGGACCAAGCCCGAAAAAGGTGGCCGTTGTTATTGCTGACACAATTGAAATGCCAATCGCCCCGGCACTGCTATATGTAACTTCCGCTGGGGGCCGTATAATAAGCGTCACCGTCACATTCTACGGCCTCCCAGGGAACTCGAACTTGTTACCTCTTTGATTTCCCACCATTACAAGGTTGTTCTCGAGCCCGAACCGAATCACCTGTACTTCTGTACTTCCTGGCAGAACAAGTCGAGAGGCCAAATAAGGCAAGCATCGGCATCGAACCCCCCCTGGACCTGACCTTGGACAGGTACAGCCATTTTCTTTTTCTTCCAGGGCTTTATGGTTTCTTGTCATGATCCTTCACGATTTTCTCTTCACTCCGTAATATCTCTATCATCCAAAATGATTTTCTTTGTCGTGACATGTTGTCTATCCGCGGTTGGCGCTCTCCCACTAAGCGATGGCAGCGGGCAGGCGATAGCGAGGAGGGGAGACAATGGCAATAATACAGGCAGTTCTGTCGAGATTTGGGTGCGTCGCTTTCTATGTTCTACTCGAATTCTGTTCTGACATTGCAGCCCAGATGCCAATCGTGGTCGTGGTCGTGCTCCTCACTGGAGGCGTAGGCGTCTGCTGGTGGCGGAAATCCGCTACAAGAGGACCCAGCGGTGTTCCAGGTGTCACATCTGGCTCGTCGACCACCACCCTGCCGACAGCCAACGGAGGCGTTCGCGAGCTAACCGCAGAGCAGCTCGCTGGGACTGTTGAAGGTGCTGCTTCTAATCCTCCATCCGCGACTCGGACCAGACGTGGTAGGCGGCCACGTAGGACCCCGTCCCAGATATCTACGATATCGTTGCCTGCTTACAACAAGGAACCTGGAGAGCAGGAGCTCGTCATTTTTCGGCAAGTTGGTACACGATCGTAGTAAGACTACCATTAATCTGTTTCATAGCGGTCCTGCCGACATGGAAGACGTTCCATTACCCGTCACGACTACGGTTGAGATGCCTCCGGTAGACGAGGACGGAGAGACGTCAATGCACTCAAGGAACCAATCTGATGGATATTCACCGATGCCAGATTCACCTAACGACATGCCTCTCCTCCATGAAGATACTACTTCTACACCTGATCTTCAGCCTCCAGGTGAGGGCATGCCAATCCGGCGGAGTGTAGATTCTGGTTCTGTCGAATCTTCCTTGATGCGTTCAACTTCCCGAGACCAGGAACCTGATCCACGCGGCGCAGCACCGGCGTATTTCGAGGTCGCGGTGGTAGACCTAAGCCAGGATGCCTTGCCTAGACCGTCCTCGTCTGTCGAGGTTACCCCACCATCGCCGGGAGCGCCCGCCTCACCCCCCCCAAGGCGCACGTTCCGCTCTATTCTCGGTGCCTTAGGATCAGGTAATGCTCGCTCTGTGGGGGCCGCCGTCAGTCATTCTCGCCCAGGGTCGAATGGCTCGAATCCGTACAGCCGCTCGTCGTCGTCGATGTCGTATAGAGGCCACCGTCCCTCACAATCAAGCACGGGCTCCCTTCTGTCGATGCACAATCCTCTGGTCAGGAAAAAATCCACCGCGACGCTCAATTCGCAGCATCTGACGTCGCCTTCCTTGATCTCCCTCAACTCGATCTCTTCTCCTCTCTCGCATACGCTTGTTCGCACAGAGTTCACCTACCCCAAGTCTGGTCCTACACCGGAGCAGCTGAAATTCATCTCCTCGAGAGAGTCGGTCGCGCGGTTTGGTGTCCCATACGGTGAAGAGGCGGTGAGATGGGCCAGCACTTCCAGACTGGCCCTCTCGTCACCCACGCCAGAAGATGACGTGCCACCGCCAGAGTTTGACTTTGCACCATCTGGTTCACGACCGAGAGCAGATACTGCAGAGAGTAGTAATTCTCCGGCTGTTCCCTCACCCCTTGCACATAGCTTTGAGAGCCCAGATGAGGAAGTACCATCAGAGACGTTAACCTCTGTCTCTCCGTTTGCAGATCGCTCCAGCTCAGGCCCTTCCACTGCACACCCTTCTCCTAATTCACCCGTGGCGGCCGAGGATACTCCAAATACATCATCGGATGCAACCGATCATTTCAATGAAGGACCTTCAAGCTCACCTCTACCTGCTGACGTCGCCTCTAAATCCGTAGAGGCCGATCCTACCTCACATCCTTCGAATGAATCCGGTCCCAGTTCACCCGTCGCTTCTCCCTCGATGAAACCAACACTAACGAGCAGCCCACGTCCCGCCCCTGTTCCCGTTGCCGCATCCGTACGATCCGCCTCGCGCGCAAGTTCCATCAGGACGTTTGCTACCGCCTTGGAATCCATGGGAACTGCGTCTTCAGATGATGACTATGACGAAGCTGAGGAACCAGGGACGCCGAGACTGGCTCCTCAACATATATTGGAAAACATCGATGCGACGGTTCGAGCGTAGCTTTTTGCATATCTTCCGGGAGCCGGTTCTCTTATCTTATCACGCATTTCCATAACCATCTAAAGCTAACATTCCCCCATGATCATGCCTTACTCCAAGAGGTTCTTTACCATTGTACATTATTTACTAGAAAGAAAATTCTATTAGGACTCGCTTTTCTAACCATACTTGTACGCGCTGGACATTTCTATTAATCACCCGACGAGTATAAAATGGCGTCCTCCTTCAGCGCGTCATCTTTCCTTCTTCTCTCGTCTTCTCTGGATAAGAGTACCTCGTATATATTATTGAATCTCTTCCTAGGGTTTACCGCCAAACACGGCAATCTCATGCTCGTACATGAGCGTACTGAAACAACGGCATGTCGACGCGCGAAAGCCGTCGGATACTAAATCACGAATCACGACAAGGGGAAAAAAAATGAGGTCTACCGATCGCAATGTATTGTTCAAGGATGGAAAATCAGTGGAAGAGAAGCCTGATCGAGACGACGCGATCGAGGAAGGTAAATGACCTTGGAGCAACGATTGTCTAGTTCAGCACAAAGAATGATACATTCGAAAAGAGTGAATGGCCCGCCAAGCTGTAGAAAAAAAAAGAACGTCGTCACCGCCGTCTCGCCCTCCAATGAGTATCTTCTAGTTCCAAAGTCGCGCCGAGACGCGTAAATGTTGTTTGGATGACACTGATCCTCTGATCTTGAAAAGTCGGTTTTCTGTCAATGCTTTTTGACTGTCCTAAAGGCCACATTGCTTCTCTTATTGAGGCCATTGTAATGCGACAACGGAAGATCTGCTCACTGCACACAGATCCTGCCCACTTCTATTTGTTCATTCATTCCAATACGTCCCACTAACTATCAGACCTCATACCCTCAGCCAAGCTCCGCGGATCCACAATCCAAATAGCCGCATCAACACTCTCCACCGACTCTTCCTCAACAACCCCACCCTCAGCCGCTGCCGCTGCCGCCTTCCTCCGCCCTTCCGTCTCCTTCAAAATAGCCCTCACGCTCGTCCTATTAGCCGTCAACGTCGTCCATCCCAGCCGAGCACCCCATAGCAAGCTCTGCACCGTATGCGCCGTCAGACGCGGGTTGGCCTTCGTGATCACGGCTCGCGAACTCGTCCGGGCGGAGGCATTCTCAAGGGAGAGGATATCTACGCAGGTGTTTTGGAGGGAATGGAAGAAGGATGGGACGGGCGTCGTTGGCTTGTGCGACGCTCCGTACAGGCGTATAGGGAGTATGGGGATCATCGCCTTGGGGTGACGAGAAGACTGCCAGTACAGGTCCTCTGCACCTGTCGTAGCAGGATCGAGGAACAGGGCCCGCGCGCGCCGTTTCTCGTTCGGACCCCCGATTTTGGTTACTATACGAAGGCAGCGCTCCTTCGCCTCATCCGTGGTCCAAAACTCCACAGACTCTTCTTCTTCTTCTGGCAGTCGATCCTTCAGCTCTTGTATCATACCCTTGACCATCTCCTGCAATACCTGATTCGTCAAAGCCCTGGAATGCTTAGCGAGGTCACTAGACGATTGCATAGGCAGTTCATCTAATCCATTTTCGACAGCCGAAACGTCTTTTTTCTTTTTCCATTCCCTAGCGCGCGACGGAGGAATGAAACGCGTGTTGGCTTCATCTACGGATTGGGGGAGGCTGGCGTGTGTGAGATCCGAGACTAGGGCGATGAGGACGGAGAGATCGAGATTGATGCGTCGCGTCGGTTTCAGAGTCAGAGATGCGGGCGCGAGTGGGGGCGGTTTGGCCACTACGGGGATCTCATCATCTTGCCTCTCTCCTAGGGCGACGTCTATTCCCATATCTTGAAGGCATTGTATTGTTTGGGCTATCCGGGGATCTGTGGGTTCGCCATCCTCGGACGGGTCGAGCCGCGTAAGTCGCAATGTTACTCGTGGAGTAATTCGCTTGGTCCCATCGACAGACGCTACTTCGTACGTGTTGGCTTTGGCAGCTTCCACTAGAGCGCGACCCATGCGCAATATGGAGTTGTCAAATTCAGTTTGGGCGAGCGTTCGAGACGGGCGGTGGATCCCATTCGTAATCGGTTCTTCGTCAGATAACTCTTCCTCATCGGATGAGTCAGTCAAGTATGAGTCTATTTCCCGAAATTCAGCTAGGATGCGAGAGTTCTTGATTCTAAGGACCACATTTAATGTTGGTTGATTGGGATGCAGGGGAGAAAACTGACGTGTTTACTCGAATCCAGCGACGTCCGTGGTCTGCTACGACGTCAACTTTGATTCCAGAAGGCTTTTGACCACCTGCTTTCTTAGTCTCGCGTGATACTGGTGTAGAAGGCGGCGGCGTTGAGGAAAACGACTTGAAAACGGATACTACTCTACCAGGCGCACAGAGCACTTCGTTCCAAACCGCTATGAGGTACGGCGCATTCGTCGACAAAGGCGGTAAGTCGGCGGACTTGGGATCCTCAAGGAACTACTGAAGTGAAACAGCAAGGGTGAGGAACGGAAACCGATCCGGGCACACGACCGATCGCCTACCTTATCCAACACATCTAAATCGACTTTAATGGTATCCTTGAGCTTTCTGAGGCCTGGGATGTGATCTTGCTGCAACCACTGTGTATCATCGGGAGCATCGTTGAGATGCAGAGATGAGTCGAGTATCAGAGGCCTCCTGGTTGGCGGCTGGAAATAAGATATCGAATCGTGGATCGTTTGAAGTCTGGGTCGGAGGACACGTAGAGCTGGGTGGCTGTTTCCGTTCTCCATAACGATGACGACATCGTCGGAAAGAAAAAAAGTCCAAGGCGGCTGTTATGTACGTTTGTTTGATTGTACACAGCCACTACCGAGCTTTGGAATGGAAGACGGGCCGGTTTCAATAATCCCGGTTGAAGCTGTTGAAGCTGTCCTACGCTTCATTCAACATTCAACATTCCAAGTTGAGGATCAGATCCGCGTCTAGCCTTGGTGCCTCGCTGGAGCTTACTTACCTATGCTCGCCAGTCGCAAGAACCGGTCGACCGACTTGCGTTCGGGAAGTAGTAAAAGTAAATGTCTTTGCTTAGATGAGGTGAATTATGCCCTGATCGAGGATCTGTGGCAACTCCGTTATAAAGTCATAACCCCTACATCCTCCTCCTCATCCACTATCCATGATACTCCCACTCGAAATACTCGGCCTGGTCATCGCAGAGGCATGGGCACTTCCCCTTACCCCCTTCCAGCGCCTCCAAATGGCAACTTCATCTCTCCTCGTCAGCAAAGCCTTCGCCTGGGAATTCAATCGTGTCTTCTGCACCGACATCCACATCCTCACCCCCTCCCACCTTACCCATGTCCTCCGTTTCGTCCTTCCGCGGTTTTCAGTGGCTTTCCGGTCTACTGATTCACCCTTCTCACCGTCAGAAATTTGCCGGTCCATCTCCTTTCTCCTCCAAGTCAATCCTCACCGTGGCAACGAGTTATCTCACCCCTTGTGGAATAGCATTCTCTGCATCATGCCACACTTATCACGGTCCCTCCCCAACGTCCAGCGGGTATCGGTGAACTATCACAACTGGTGGTTCAGTGACCCCTACCTTGCGTACCTCCAGCTACCAAAGCACGTAACAGAGCTGGACGTCGCCTTCACCCACAGCAATTCGTTCTGCAAAGAGCGGCTTAAAAAGAACGTTTCCCTCTTCGCAGATCCGTCCTTCGCCTTTCCTGGGGTTAAGAAGCTGACAGTTGTGGGCGGGAACCGGTCCTTCGTGAGCCAGCTGGTCAGGGCGTGCCATAATGCAAAGTCCGTTACGAGCGATACGTACAAGGAGCCTGTTATGCAGATGATCACTCAGGAGACGGTAGCGCCGAGGCCTAAAAAACAGTTCAAGATGAACGCTGTGTTGCGTACTACTTGATATCGTCATCATCCTTCTCATACAGAATAGAACAAGTTTTCCGCTTTATATTGACCGTCAACTGATGATAACGCACAATAAAGTCAACTAATGTTAAGCTCCATAGATTCTAGGAGGTGTCATACACACCAAGGTATAAGACAACTGGTCTACGTCACTAAAGATGGCAGGTCGGATTGTTTGATCCATACGCATAATTTATCATAACTTCAATAAACGTCACTACAAACGACATATTGCAACAGCTCACCGATAGGCTTTTCTTCATCTGACCACTCCATGCAAGAAATCGGAAGAAGAGCATTTCACCCGTCCACCAGCAATGGCAAACGATTGATACAGGCGAATCTGAGTTCTGAAGTCTCCGTCAACAACCTCCACAGTATCCACCCTTCAGTCTGTGATCGAGTACCAGAACTTACAGATCTGGTCTGAAGCGTCTAGTACATGTTACTAAGAGTCTACAAGACGTTCCATGATGCTATTTGCCATACTGCGCTGGGCTCTACGTCTTGTCATACCACGTTCAATTCTAACGAGAAAGCCATGTTTCACTGAGTGAAGTGAACACGAGAGAAAAGTACACGAAAGGCTTGGCACAGAGCAATGTGATTGTGATTTGCGACATGACGACAGCATGGGACGTATATCGCTGAACAGCGCCGTATTAAATATGGCCGTGGGATGAAGGAGCTAGCTTACAATCATGGCTCTTCGGTTTCCGAGATCCATGCCTTCAAAGGGTCTATCACGACTGCTTCCAGTGTCTCTATACATAATTCGTCGGTAAAATGGCCCGAGGGTGTCTCATCTAAAGGGGAATTTTCAGTATATGTGTCGCATTCCAAAACAATAAATAAATTGAAGCCCACAACGACGTCAAGACCCAGTCCAACTGTATCTCGGATCTTACAGACACGCATAAATAAATGCGCCGGGGGCGTACAGATGCGGAGCGTCTCATACAGCATCCATCTCGGTCCATGTGCAGGTAGTGAATCTTGCCCAGTAACGGGCATCGTTCAACATCTGATCCCGCATCTGATCCGCCAGATACTCCAAGCGCAGGATACATCAACAACAGCGGCAGCGGTCCTGATACCCAGACAGAAACGAAGGGAAGATACACAACCTGCAAGAGTATACGAAAGGTGTCCCAATACAGCAGGCAAAAGCAGGATCTCCAAGGTGGGGACCGTGATTGACAGACTACCACGCCGTATGTAGCAGGCGTAGCGGCCGTCGGTGGGGTGTTGTGGTTAGCTGGGAACTGTAAGTCTGTCTGCATATCCCCCATTCTCTTCTTGCATTGACAATTTTTATCCAGATGTTATGTGGCGAAACGTGTGCATCCTATTACTAGGTAATCCAGCTAGCGGTGTAATCTTGCTGTGTCGGATGATCCTACTGGGCCTACTACTGGGGATGTAAAAAAGTGGGCTTGAAGGATAGTGTAGGATTGTATTTGACAAATTAACAGGGTTGATGTGATCATCTGAGAGGAACAGCATTGCAAGTGTACTCACTGGCATTTTCTTCCTTATGTATGTGTTGAAGAATGGTAGGATCACCACCGTATATGTGCCTTTGACTTTAGATACATTAGTTCATAGGTCAATTGAGGGAAGATATAAAAGCTTATGAGTGGGTGGATATTTGTCTGAGTGTCTTATTGTCAATTGCTGCAGGTATGCAGATAAAACTATGAGATATAAATATTATGCATACACAGTATGCATGTAACTAGACAGAAGAAATGGAAGAATTAAATAATATGAAATGTAAATACTAAACTGCTCCAACTATACTTGTATCTCCAACACCTCAAGCCCATTATAGTCTCTATGGATGATGCCCTCTGAACTGTTGATACCAATATCTTCCTGGGAGTCCACTGCAGTGTGATGGCCATATTCATCATCTATCATCTGCTGAGCTTCAAGGTCACCATTCATTATGGAGTCCTGCTGGGAGTCATGATCTCCAGAATGTGTCCCAAAGTGAAGTGAGCTTGATATGGTGCTTCCCTGCCAAGAATCATCTGGATGAGCATGACCTGCTGCAACCTGTCCAACAAGAAGAGTAGGAGCGATGCCCTATATAATATCTGTCAGATATAAAGTCAACAATAGAATGTAAACATACCCTTGCAATTGCTGCTAGAATATCAAAGTATTCTGTTATAGAACTGTCACAAGCATTAAAGACTATATATAAAATCAAGGATATAGAATAAAGTGCTGATGACTCCACCAAGATTTTAATAATAGGATAATAAACTCTGATTCCACCTCCCACTTCATTTCCTGCTTGTGCAACAGTAATAATGTAGTAGATGATGAGTAAGGTGCACCACAAGATGGAAGCAAGAGCAAAAGATGAATAGAGGATACTGTCAAGAGCAGAGGTATTGATCATAGTATAGTTATTATAAGTCATAATGATTTTGAAAACTATATTAACTTTTGAGTAAAGTAATGAAATGAAAGATGAAAGAGATCTTACTAATTGCAGAAACCAGAAAAAATACAGGAGGCAAAACAATGAGCCATTGCTGGCCCCAGACTATCCAACAATGCCAAATCTATAATGAGATGACAATGAGCTATATTATAAATTAGAATTATCATTCATACCATTGTGGAGTCAGCAAGAATAGTACTAACAGCACTTGTAATATTAGCTCCTAATATTATTTGACTAAAATTATATATAAATAGATATCTAGTCCAAAGACTCTGACCATTATTGATAAATTCAGAGTTTATCATTGACCAGTTGAAGGCAAAGTTAATAGTACTAGTAATATAAAGAAGAATTATAATAGCAATCATAGTCTGTCTAATAGACTGTGATTTGTATATAACTGTGTTTATCTCAGCTTAAATAGTATAGCAGATATATTTCACTCACAGATATTCCAAAGTGCAACAGCAACAATTCCAGTATATATTCCTATATAAAGTTGTAATAAATACAAATATCACAAGTTTAAATAAGTCTGCATACCATTTAATAGAGAGTACAGTATCATTGAATTCAAGTCAGCATCAAGGCCTTTAGACATGAGAGCTTTGTTTGCATCAGTAGGATCTGATGGTATATTAATCTGAGTGACCATTGGAGAAGTCTGAGTGAAGGTAGAAAGTAAGCAAGAAACTTGGAGAGAGTAGTTAGTAGATATAATACACATTAAATCCCTTCTTATATAGTCTGCAGTGACACAGCAAAAACTAATAATAAAGTATCAACAAAGTATCAACACTACATATTAAAAAGATGATCATTTTAAAATATCATCATGAAAAACAAGATTCAGATTTATTTGATTATAACATGGTAAAGAACTGATATTGATATATCAACTACTGTATATAATTCTTCATCAGAAAAAAGATGCACTTTGAAAATCAACAGATGATAAAAATATATAATCATCTTACTCTTATTATATATTTTGCAATGAGTAAAGATTTCTAGCTGAAATATATAGTAATAGAATCAATGATTCATTAGCTTTGAAGAGAAGATTTAAAATCTGTTTGGCTGCAAGAGTGATTTTTGATATGCCAATATAAATTTCTACATGTAGTAGAGACTTATTTTATTAGACATTAATACTTTAAAAATTTATATATTATCTAGAAGTGCTTGGTTGCCATCAGCATTATGTTTTGAGCAGGTAGCCAACTCAGCAGATACCATCAAATGAATAGACAGGTTGCTCAAGTAGTCAGCCTAGCAAATGCCATTAATGGATAGAATAATTTCTATAATCAGCTAAATTAGATAGATCAGAAAATACTATGATCACCAAATAGATTGTCCCATAGGTTCTTAAAAACAGCATAGTAACCAAGTATTCTATATATATAAGACTTAGAATAGTCATCAGTTTAAGTCATTATCACTCAAAATAATTGTGTCAGATTCTGTAACAAAAGTTATAGCTACTAATTCACTATGCTATTAGTCTGTCTGCTTTACTTGAACCTCTGGAGTCATTGCAAGTGCTACCTGCACATGACACATGAAGAAGACTAGAGTATCATTACTCCACTAGTATATTGCACCTGATAAAATGACCTGTGCAGTTGAATCAGATGGACATTCTGAAACCCCATAAGCATTAGCATGCAGCCCAGACCACAGGCTTTCCAAAGGAAAAGATGTCGTTGCACAATCAGGGGTGGTGAGGCAGTTTCATAATGTCATTCTCAACTCACACCCACCTCCAATGGCTGCTGTGGCAATGAATGAAAGAGAGCAGTTGTAATGTCCATTTCCTAATTAAAAATGGTCCCCATGCTACCTGGCCAATATCCAAGATCTAAAGCAAAGGCACTAAGATCTGGCATCTGAGGCAACAAAACCTCTTCATATGGTATGATGCTGTGAATACAGAGTTTAGGAAGTGATGGTTGACCAATCCAAGACAATTTGTGTACAAGTGAGGAATATTGTGGCTTTGGTTCTTAGCACTTAGGCCTGAGACACTGGAAAAATTTGTTGGTTATCTCTGCAAAATTCCTCCGCTTTATGAGTCACAAGTCCCTCCCACCAGTTGTCCCATATCCGGTCCAGAAGGTGATACAGCAAAGGCAGTAATCGAAGCCCGTTGTTTCGTGAAGCTGTTCAATGACAGCTGCGGAGTTGCAGAAAGAGAGGTCGGCCTAGATCATGCATTGGCTGAGGAAATAAACCTTGTGAAGATGTACCTCTGTAGCTAAGAATTAATACAGGTTCCGATGGCAATACCTTTCATGAGTTCACACTTGTAAGCTAGGAGTTGATCATAAGATGCTCAAGGCACGTTTCGTCCTTCCATTTCAGGAGACACTGCTGAATGGTTCTTGCAGCAGGAACGAGTAAAAGCAAACTCCTAGGATGACTTTCGTAACTCTCATTTGGATATTCGTAATATTACTGTACAGTTCCTAATACGTATATCAAGATACCTTTTGTACGTATGTCAGTCGGCCTTTTTTCATCATCGCTCATATCCCGAGTACGACGATTTGTGCTAAAGTGAATTACCACTTACATTCTGTGATGATGCCGCAGCCGCGTCGTTCAACTGAGTCCGAGTAACAAGGCAAGAGGTTAATTCAAAGCAGAGCTTTGAGGGTAACATCAAGCATGGTAATGACGGCGTAGCATTTTGGTTCCGAGTAGTGACAATGGCAGGATCTACCCTGATAGCATCGATATAAATACCATTTTTCGACTCATTTTGAACCGGTATGTACTGTACTGGTATAGACGGGTTAGCTGGGCTTTGAGGGGCTGAGGAAATGGTCGCAGAAAATGGTCATCATGGTTTGTCGTCATTGGCACCCCTTCCCAGACAAACGGGATGGCGCATTCAGCCACTGAAGATATCCCATAAAAGGTCGGGGCGGGTTGGAAGGACTACGGAAGCAATCGTAGATGAGGCATCCGAATTGTGATCGAGTAGGGAGGCCAAGTGATCGAAGGATCCGGACGGCTGAAGGGAAGAGGGAAGAGACCTAGGCCGTCGGAAGATTGAAGGATAAGCCGCTCGCGTACGTCAAGTGGGGGATAGGCGAGTAGGGCCAGGAGTAGAAAGTGACGGTATCGAGAGGGCTCCCGGCCTAGTATGCATACCAGAGGGGTTCCAAGCCGCTGCATTAGGACATGTTGTCAGTCAAAAATAGATTTAAAAGACTAGGGAGAACATCTTACACCGCTAGCTGGATTACCTAGTAATAGGATGCGCACGTTCCGCCGAATAAGCACTTGAAAAATCGTCAATACAAGAAGAGAATGGGGGATATGCAGACAGACTTACAGCTCCCAGCTAACCACGACACCCCACCGACGGCCGCTACGCCTGCTACATACGGCGCGGTAGTCAATATCTTCTGTCCAGACCGAAGTAGCTGCCAAGGAAGTATCTTGCTTCCTGTAGTCTGGTATACGAACTTGCATTTAAGATACGCAGGTGGGTTTGTGGGAAGACGGTCGATAAGCAACGCGGGTGCGCTACGAGTTCATTGGGTCCTGATGGTGGTGAGCAAAGATGGTCATTTTTTGTCAAGCCTTACCTTTTGCTCGACGACAGAGGTAACATTAGTAGGACTAGAACATAATAGAACCAGTCAGATATTATAGCATGAAGAAGAGGAAAACATACTGACTTTGAATTTGCCTGCAGGAGTCATTACAAAACTCGTGTCCATTCTTGTAGCGGTGTTCGAAGCATGAAAAAGCCTCTCCTGATTTTTTATATAGTTCATCCTTCTACTCTAGAGCCTCAATCCTTTCCTGCTCGGACCGAGTCATGAGCAGACGCGCAGTGGACTGGCACCAAGTTTCTGTACGTGTTGACAACGGTAATTATCTTCACATACCGAAGTTCGATTTGCTCGGAATATACATCTGTACATACCATTAATACTACCAGACAGGTGGTCTCGCCGCCAACTTCTCCTTGCTCAAAAGATGTGTGATATTAGCCCCGATTTTCTTTCGTTGTTCCATTGTTAGCGGAGGGACATTCGAAGAATATCCCATCCCTGAAAAGAGGCCCGAATCAGGACGGATCAAATAGAGAGAACAGGATCAACGAACTGAGGCTCGGGTATTGCAAGGGTACTGAACTTGCTTTCTCAGGGAGCGCAGACAGATCCAACGGGAACGGCGGGCCAATCCATGCATTACGATGTTCGTGATCCCTAAGAAATATTAGTCATAACTGCCATGCAATTACGCAGGTATGACGAACGCTCGCTGTCAAATCAGTCAGAATTTGGTTATGCATATATATTCGAGGACAGAATCCGAACCTCATCCAAAGTCAAGGGGTGCACAAGAACGCTAATAGCAGCCTTGAGCATGATGGATCACGAGAATCAGCTATAAAAGATACCTTAATTGTCCGTGATTCAGCGCGATGAACGAGAATACGGATGAGAAGCTCTCTCCGGGGACCCAAATTTCGTAGGAGCCTTGGATCAGAAGTGTCAACCGAATACGCGCCAAGAAATAGAATACGAAAAGGTGGCTTACCCACTGGATGGGGTCCCATGGGTTCCGTATTGACACGGAACAATGGCACGGCGACGAAAGCCCCATCACGACAGAGTCTCAAGACGGCATCACGCAGCTCCAGCGCAGCGTGATGCTCACCGGGATTCTTCTGGCGAAAGTAGATGTCTGTGGAAGGGGGGCTTTGTGCTTGAGTGTTTCCGTACAAGTGTTTGTTCAGACCCACGAAAATGCCACTCCCTATCATGGTTCAATTATGGGTAATAGAAAGACAGAACGTTAGACAAGAGTTCTACCTCACTTCATTTGCAACTACTATAGAGACGTCGGTTTCGGGCTTGGTCGTCATTGTCATCGTCGTGTCGATCTAAGAGATGGTCGTAGATAAAAGAGGCAATTTCCTTTTCTGTAGCCTTGTGATTATGCCTAAAATACTTCCGTACTAAATTGACTGGAATCGATGAATCAGTGAATAGGAGCTACGTAGGAAGAAAACCCACATTCAAACGGTCTTCTTCGCCGTTATTGGGAGCTTCGTGCACACTTCATGAGATGTTCTGTAACTACCAGTAAAGTCGCATAAAATTGCGTGTTATTGAGTAGGCACTATGGCAGTCATCTTACGCTCAGGCCCAGCTGAAATATTCTCTAGATCCCGAAATGGTACGAAGATATGGACTGAGGGTCCCACTGAAACGCGTCGACGGTGGACAACAATGAAGATTGGATCGGCTGATCGGCCCGAAGAGAGTCCTACCACGCAGCCACTTCCGAGTCGACTGCGCTCCTCTCGTCTGTTTCGCAGTTGCCATGTTTTGCTAAATCATCTTCCTTAAATGTCAGCCTTGCGATATGAACTTGGAATTGAAGAAGGGGTCTAGCCGCTGTCGTCGAGTTCTCCAAGGCGTGACAAAACCTAGAGGTTATTTCCACTGCCGTCAGAAACTGGTCTTATACTCTTGGTGGAAACTTGAGGCTCATATTCTTAGAGGGTCGATTACTGAGCAGAGGAAGGTCGAGGTGAATCAGGTTTAACCTGATTTTTCAGGGATATGATTCAGCGTCAAACTACTCAGCTCCACCAATTGACTTTACTACTGCTGTCAAGCAATGCAGCGCGCCCTTCCTGCTGTAAACCTTTGCATCCGCAGCCTTTCCTCCTGATTCTTCTGCCGCGTTTTCGAGGTATTTTTCGGTCATTTTCCATGGTAGTTATGGTGAACGGGAAGGGTGGGTAATGCGACAGCAGCTAATGCTATATGGACGGGATAAACTACTCACTCATATGCGCCTTTGGGGCTGGCTATGTTGAGCGGGTTGACTCTGAGGTCATCTTATCGAAGGCGGTAGGTAGGTAGGTAGGTAGGTAGGTAGGTAGGTAGGTAGGTAGGTAGAATTACACTGCACGGTCCACCGATATCAGGTGGGTATGAGAACCGATCTGATTTATTGGTATTCTTCAAGTACTTTTGAGTGTTTACGACCGTGTAATGCACCGTGGTTTCTAACCTTGACAAATGAACGACTTTGGCACAGTTTCTAGATTTCCATCGGTCTGACCACTACAACATTTCAATGGTATCATCCATCTTGACTCGGAGAACTGTGCCGTCATGGCGTCCTCCATCTGTCCCATGGTTGAACATGTCGACGTGCCTATCTGTTGTCAGGACATCTGAGCACTGTGCAACTTCTGCGGCTTCGGAGGCTTTTCTCAATTATATTATAAGACAATATAGGGTAATATAGGTCTGTGCCTTCTTTGGCATCAAGAAGGTTCTCAATAGAAGTGTGTAGATGTCTAATTGCTGCACCATATGCTGGTTTTCTAAACTCTAATAAACTCTATATCGCAGCAGGCACTGATCCAAAAATAGCGGCTTCTAGCTGCGCTGTACTTGGCGATTTCTGCGTGGATAGCATAATGTAGTTCGTTAATGATGAACAATCCAGCAACAATCAATGCCAGTAAATACTCTGATCCTACACAATGGCTCAGGCCGGTGCGACGGTACGCTCTCAGCTCTAGCCAAACGGCCATTCATTGAAAAAAAAAATCGTTCCAGTCGAAGCATCTGATCGCAACTACGAGCAAAGGAAAGTAGCTCAGCGATACTCGCGAGAATTGATATTCAGCCTCGCTACGATTTAGCGACAAACGGGGGTTCGAAACAAATGAATCCACGTCAGGGTTGTCATTTTGAGTTTCCGTGACCCTGTCCTCGTAAAGTACGGTCATGCAAGACGAGTGAACGGTAGAATATCTTATTGTGCTTGGTAAATCTGTGGTGTGCCGTAGCCCTTTCCAGATAGAGAGTTTGGACACATGCGTTTTTTCCGGATAGACAGCCCTTGACCGGAGGATGCAACATGGTTTTCCTCGAACGCTCGACGGGCCTCTGCGAAGTCCAACTTTTATCTTTACCTTTAAGCCACCTTCTTCCGGCAGCCCACTCATTGAATAGAATTGGCGATCGTCTCCTCTTCTGGGTCATCTCCGTCCTCGATCTTCGACTGCACCAGCAGCTGCTCTAGAAGCGCGGCGGATCCCCCATCATATACAAGCACCGTGGTAAACTCCCTTTCCCTCATCACCTTGCGTGAGGCGCGTGCGCATGGTGCATGAATAGCAAGATAACGAGGAGAAGGAACTGGGTAGTTGGCAGGATCTGTGGTAGTAAATGTGATTGTCGGTGGGCAGTGAATGATATATAGAGCACGGAGAGCGCACACCCTGTACTCGTTGGCCCGTTGGCCCTAGAAGTGAAATCGATTCTATATATTTCCCCTACAGCAGATGCGATAAATACTCACCGTCGCTTCAAACTAAATCATCAAATCATCAAACGCCGCGCGTTCCTTACCGCATATTGTCAAAACGTTACTGAGGTCATGGATATTCAACCTATTCGATTATCGCGTCACATCAATGCCTGCGAAATGGTTTAGGACCGTCCAAACAGACGTGGCCCGCTTAGGCTGGGAATATCTCAGCCTCTAGCACATGAAAGGCAAAATTGGATTAATATGATTAATATGTTTTTAGGGTGCTGAAAATTTTCGTTCGAGCCCTCTGGGATTATATGTACGAACTCCGTCACTGCAATACGAACGTCATTCGCATTCACGCGCTGAGCAACGCTGGGGTCATTTTCAAAGCTCGCTGCATCACTGGTGCCGGTAAGAACGCATCCATACCGGTCACGGACAAGAGCCTATACAAGACGTGTAGTGCGGCGCAGTTTCTGCTTAGCCGTTCCACGACCGGGAGGCCATTGGAACGGGTTATTGAGCAGATCTTGACTACCATCAAAGAATGGTCGTGACAGATGGTGAGAAGAAGGGGGTATATGACCCTCTCCGACTTTAACTGAAGGGGATTAGTTGCAGACTCCACTTGCGTATAATAAAAATAAGTTATAATAGCGGATGAATCGATCCATCCTAAATTTAGCTAGCTCTGCAAGCTTATTATATGCGCCTTCGGGGACGGATAGGATCTCGGAAGCGACTGCTGATCGTCCAGTGTCAGAAGGAGCGTTCAGGGTTAGATATCCTAGTACTCGGGTCCGGATGATTCTGTCCGTGTCAACAGGGTGTCGTTCGAAGGAAAGGTAATGATTATAGGCTCGGTGCCACAAAGAGCTAGGTTCCACATGTATGATATCGATTGGGAAGTAGTGGCACTGTCATTTTGAGTGGAAGGAAAAGAAGGAAGTAGTTTTTGTGAGTCGTTGGAAACTCCCACGCGTAGACGCATTCCAAGGAGTCTCAAATATTTTCCATCTGAGACCGCTTCGTGAAAGATAATTGTCAGAAGATGACAATGCTACACTGCGAGGGAATACGATGGAAGGAATACGTTTGTAGAGCCTGGAATAGTCATTATTGATTAATGAGGGTCTGGAATATAGTCAGCTTTCAACATCACCTCTAGAAATTAACATAGACAACCGTCAGTCAACTTGGAAGTGATGCACCACAATCCATGGTACTAAGTGAGCTGGACACTGTCAGGCGCTTGACAGCTTGTGCTTGAATCGTGACTTTTGCTTTATGGTTTCTAGTTAGAGAGCCTTTTCGTTATGTGAATACGCATGAAGGCCGCCAAACCTGTTACATCTGATCGTCAAAGAAGAAAAGCGTCAGCGTGCATTGAAACTTTGATGGTCCGATTGAGCGGACATCTTCTGGCAAAATAGAGTGATTTGTAATACGGCATCCTGTCAAAACTTCGGCTTTACACCAATTTGGCAGATAGGAGCTCTTTGCACCCAAAAGTGCTATGGTAACGTTTTGATCAAAGCGACCCACCCAGAACTTGTCCATCTGGCACCGTCCTCTTTTCTTCCCATTACTCCTTCAACGACCAGCAGGCAGGTCCTTTCGTCCTTCTTTTTTCTTCTCTGCGCAGGCAGTAGTAGTTTCTACCTTTCGCAATGGCCAGTCGTTCTTCTGGTCTGGATTTCTCCGACCGCCCCTCGACGCTAGACGAGCACCCGGATTTGCCCAACCCTTATGGCAACGGGCACGAACCTTCTCACCTTCAGCGCAATAAGACTGAGCGCAAGAGGCTCCAAGGTCTTCAGAGGTCCTTAACGAATTCCTCTATCCCTAGACTGGCCTTTCAGCCGAAGGGCTGGAGAGAGAAATGGAATGTTTGGATGATCAATGACGGTGGAAAACAGCTCTTCTTCGCCTTATTTGTCTTCCTTCATCTCCTTGTTGGAGTGTTCGGATTCCTCAACTACGACTTGAGGGATAATTCGGTCAACGCTCGCGCTACGTTTGGTATCACATTTCGTGAGTGACAAACTTGGGTACCTCGAGGCTGGTCACTTATAGCCCTTTCCTCCAGCCATCGCTCGTACTGCTGCCCTGATTCTTCACGTTGACGTGATCTTCATTCTTTTGCCGGTCTGCCGCAACTTTGTCTCACTCCTTCGTCGCACACCTCTTAACGATATCATTCCGTTCGATAAGAACATTTTATTACACAAAGCCACCGCCTGGTCCATGGTTATTTGGACAACCGTCCACATTCTTGCACATATCGTCAACATTTACAAATTAGTTGACGCCATCCCCGGTGCATCTACGAGCGAAAAGGTCAAACAGTTCGCGCTTGCAAACGTCGTCACTGGACCCGGTCTTACAGGTTGGATTATGACCATAGCTCTGGGAATCATGGTGTGGTATGCCATGGAGAAGCGTCGCCGTGCCAACTTCGAACGGTTCTGGTACACCCACCATCTATTCATCGTTTTTTTCATCAACTGGCAATTGCACGGCATGTTTTGCATGATCAAGCCTGACAGGCCCCCGTACTGCTCCTTCAACAACATTGGCGTGTTTTGGGTGAGTGGAACACTAACATCCGTCTTATGGGTATCTCTAACTGTCATCGCAGCGCTACTGGCTTGTTGGTGGTGTCATCTGGGTCTGGGAGCGCATTCTTCGCGAAATCCGGTCACGTCATGTCACCTACATCTCAAAGGTTATCCAGCATCCCTCGAATGTAGTGGAACTCCAAATCAAGAAAGAGAAGACTACCACCAGGGCTGGACAGTATATCTTCCTGTCGTGTCCCGAGATATCATACTTCCAGTGGCACCCTTTCACTCTCACCAGTGCGCCTGAGGAGGATTATATCTCCCTTCACATTCGCGTTGTTGGTGACTTCACGAAGGCTTTGGCTGAGGCTGTTGGATGCGACTTTGAAACGAAGGAGAAAGGTGCACCTGCTGGAGGAGTCGTCATCGGTACCAACATAAATCCGCCCATCAATCGTACCCTCCCTCGTGTCATGATCGATGGACCTTTCGGTAGCGCCTCGGAGGATTACTTGAATTACGAGACTATCCTACTCGTTGGTGCTGGTATCGGCGTTACTCCTTTTGCATCGTATGTTCCTTCCTTCCACGCACTGATGTCTTCGTCCGTAACTAATGACCGGTCAGGATCCTCAAGTCCATCTGGTATAGGATGAACAATTTCGGGCACTCGAAGCCGACACGGTTGTCAAAGGTGTACTTCACATGGGTTATCCGCGATTATGGCAGCGCCGAGTGGTTCCACTCCCTTCTTCACGCAATTGAGGAACAAGATACCCTGAACCGAATCGAGATCAACATTTACCTCACCGCCAAGATTAAGGAGGATGATATGAACAATATCTTCGTTCAGGACGTCGGCGCTGAGAAGGACGCGATTACGTCTCTCCGCGCGCCCACACACTTTGGTCGTCCGAACTGGGACCGGGTGTTCAGTTCCCTTGTTCAGAAACACCCCTCGACCGATGTTGGTGTGGTGCGTATTTTTATTTTATGTCCTTTGTCATTTGTGGTCTTTTCTTGACAATCTTCTGTTCTAGTTCTTCTGCGGACCGTCGCCTCTCTCGAAGCAGCTTCACACTATGGCGAACAAGTACTCGGATCCCCAGGGTACTCGCTTCTTCTATGGCAAGGGTGAGTGTTAATTTTGTCGTTGCCATGAGGTTCAATGTTGACATGGAGATTTTTTAATAGAAAATTTCTGATGGCTGAGCATTGGGTGAGAAGTTTTAGTCATTGAAACGGAGGGTCAGTTATAATTGTACGTTAGCCAATTATCTTTAGATGATACCTAGGCACCTTGTCTGTTGATTTGACAAGGCATCATGGAATATATTGGATGCTTGCATCTTTACTTAGTTGCGGCAGGGATGATCTGGGGCCCAATAATGGGCCTTTGAGACCACGTGCTACGTCACGTGGGTGCTAAAAGCGCAGTTGCCGCCCTTGTGTGGTAAATTCTCTCTAAATGAATGCGACCGTTATCTGAACAATTTATGAGCGACAAAAGCTATGTCTCTCACAAAGTCCTTCACACGGTCCGTATCTCTATGTCCTCCCTCGGCCGTTGCCGTCCTCACTGCGACGTCAAGATTTGAGTTCTGCTCCATACTTCGCTCCCATTTTTTCCGGTGATATGACGATGAATAGCGATAGTCGGAGAAGAGGATCGCTCTCTGTGTTTGCGCAGTACGCTGACCATACTTTTAGATCGGCAGACGAATACCGCCTGCCTGCCTATGCCTCTAACGTGGCTGTGCCGGTCGAGTTGTCATCCCAAGCCATAGTTTTTGACACAGGCTGACTCGAATCTGTACGGTTGTAATTTCCTGTTGAGGCAGTTCATAGCCGGTGTTCCAGTAAGTAAGCTTGCGGTGAACTCCACACTGCACTGACACCACACATGTCGATTTCCCCGCACTGCGGATTCCGTTATACGCAAATCAGGTCGATCATCAGTATGACGCCTCGCAGGCTGTGCTAAATGGGAGGACACATATGGGCGATATTCCCCTCCGTAGGGTCTCGAGAAATTCTGACGATCCTCCGGTATTCGGTAGCCGGGTGCCCCGGCACAGTAAAGATGACTAAGCAACAGCAAAGCGGTGTTCACTGCTTGGTGGAACTAGAACTTGGTAGAAGCATGCAGAAGGGTTGATCCGGCCAAGTGAGTCGGGATTACCGCTATTAGTAACTTGCTTAGTGACACAGCACAGTCGGAGCCCGGCAGTGACAAATCGCCTTTTCGTGCTAAATCTCTGGGATAGTCATTTTATAATAACCTGTACTGTATACAAGCCCACAGCCACAGCGATATGGTTACATATGACTTCGTTCGACTCAACAGATCTGAGATGCGGTACTCCCAAAATTGGCGGCTGCTTGACTAACCTTTTTCATGACAAGATCGTCTTACAGTGCCTCACGTCCGCGTCGGGGAGGGATACCGGGATTCCCAAGTCGGTGGGAGCGGTCGCTGTCAAATCTCATGACGCAGCACAGCCCATCGGTAGGAGATTCAACCAGTAGCCACATCCTGGTTGACGACGTTGAAAGTATGGATTAGTAAGTTTAGCTCTGCTGACGGGGACACTCGCCAAAGCCAGGCGTTTCTAGCATGCAAGGTATGACTCGTTTCGAACTCCTTCGGCCTGATTCCAGACTCCTTCGGGATTTGCCGAGATGGACCCTATATAAACACACAGAGTGGGATCTGAAAAGCCACATCTCCACATCCAGACACCAACCCAGTGGCTCTACCTTGATCTGTGGTGTACATATATTCATGTCTCAACCATCCTCCCACACATCTAAACCCAAGCCCTCGGCTAAGCCTACACCCAAGCAGAATCCCGATCTTTATCGAATTGCTAGTGCTCTTGCTGGACAGAAAATCAAGGAATTATGCACCAAGGGTCTTATAACAGTGAATTCCGTCATTGACACACAAGTGACACGTCCTCGTCGCTCTCCTCACGAGCACATGTTTACACCAAGGTAAGCATATCATGAGTGGCGCAAAGACATTACTCATTAATGACGAATTTTTGACAGAATGGATGTCCTAGATGACCCAGCGTCGTCAAATATCATGGCGACGTTCGAAATTCCTGGCGTCCGAGCGTCCGATATGAACCTGTCAATCGTCGACGGCCATCTCATCATTCAAGGCGAGCGGCGGTCTCGCTTCACAGCCAACGGTTCCGCCGATACGGACACGCGGCCTGACGGCGGTGTGTCGTCTACCGATATCATGGACACTGACAGCAAACCGTCCATTCAATTTCCTGTCAGAGAGCTCAGATACGGACGATTCTACAGAAGTTTCAAGCTGTCTAACACCGTCCAAGTGAGTCTATTTCCTACCTCCACAACGCTACAAACAACAGCATTTTTGACGGGTTCCTTATGTCCCCGTCATATGTTTTGTTACTGTCCCCTAAGTTGAGCTGTTACTGATTGTTTTTCTTTGTTCGCCCGTTATAGCAAACTGACATAACGGCGTCGATGGTAGAAGGCATGCTCACAGTGACTTGGCCAAGGTCCAATCCAGATCTCGCTACCGAGGTGCCTGTCGGAAATGGGGAACTAGTTCAGATCAAGTAATGCACCTATTACGGATTCTCTTTCATTACAGTATCGACGCATGAGTTTAGTTAAGCGCCAGTCTTCTGAATCGTTCCCCATAGCGGTGTAATTGACATCCACAAAAATACTGCGGTTCAAATCTCGATATCACTTCCCCAACTCACCCCCACTCTTCTTGGATCATCGCGTCCTTATTTGGATCCTTCTCATTTTTCTGGGTTGCTTGAATTCCCTGTTCTACTTTTACTACTTCTCTGTAATGATCTCAACTCAGCCTTTCCTGTTCTACCTACTCACATGCTTCTGTAGCCTGTACTGTACCACCCTTTTGCTATATCCATCATCCACGACTACTGTATTGTATGTTTCACAGCACCATTGAATAGATACATCCATTGAAACTTACACTGGCAAGGCCAACTTCAGCAAGCGTAGGCATTCCCATAACCGATGGCCTACGCGGAAGAAAATATCCATTAAGACGCGGACGGACTTGGACCCCTCGTGCTCACTAAGATTACTAACAAAGAGCTGCGCAGAGTGATATGTAAGATTCGACACAGGTCATGGGCCACCAAAGCAAAGGTGTACACATCATCACGGCACTTACGAATCATTCGTCTGAGAATGCCAGAACTGTATGATCCGCTCCGTTAACCAGGGAGGCTCAATATTATGGGGCGCCTCGGGAGCGAGGCGGCCACTGAGGAGCGATAGAGTCGATGACTCCTCATTATGTCGTTTGACTAGGATCAAGGAGGCAATAGCTGTAGCACATGAATCAGATTTCACCAACGAAGAAAAAGAAGGATGAGAATTGCCACTCTACGTGCGTATCCATTAATGGGTCTCCGTGGTGTACATCTGGTAGTACACAGCAGGTCAGCCGAGAAGATCGACGTATTTCTCGAAGACGTCCGGTGATGTGATATCTGCTTCCTGGCGCTTGAAGGCTGGAGAGACTGCGGCAAAGTGTCGTTTTCCTTGATGGAACAGCAGGTATGACAATGAAGATTTCTCCTGTACAGCCGCGATTCCTGAGAAAAGATGTCGGAGTGTTTACTCAATGAATATCACACTAGCGCTCGGCCCCGGGGTTTCAGGTTCCCTTGCAGCAGCTGTGAGGGATACACGTGTTATCAGCAGGAACATTTTGAGCGCGGAGACATAATATTAAACATGAGTCATATTTTTTCCTTGCAGGCATGTAGTATTGGCCGAAGATCTTCTCTCGCGGGGCACGGCAACCAGAGATGCACCAGCAGAGGTGTGGACGCGTATGCAACATTCATGCTGCCAAGAAAGCGCAGATTACAGCCGGCAGAAACCCCAGTTTACTAGACAAGACGCCGAAAGTTTCGTGCACGATGTCAGCTCCATACTGAAGCCTAAAGAGATGCTCAAAATATAGTGCTGTTGAGTTCATGGCGCTATAGCATAACCTTGTACACTCATAGGAGTATCAAAGAACCATTCCATCACTGAACCAAGGTAGTCAACCGAGGAGGCCAAATTTGGATTCCAAAGTGAAACCTGACTCGATTCAAAGGACATGCGGATATCGCGTCGGTTCCGCGAGGCATCAAGAGCCAGATTTTGGGCGCTATCGGGCAAGGCGGTGACTATAGGAGCTATCGATATCTATGGATCCTGGTTCCCGTGCGTCGGCGATGCTGAGGGTTCCACAAGGGACTGGTACTTAACGGCCGCGCCACAGTTACAAGAGTGCGTCGCGAAAGTTAATCAACGGCAGATATCAAAGTGCAGAAGTCTTGTATTTTAAGCAAGCGAGTTACCAGTCATACTGCTGTGAGAATGTTAAAAAAAAAGAGCTATGAATGCATCAAATGTAACAAGTTACAAATCCCTCCAGTTTTACCGTGCAAAGACGCGCGTCTCTTGAGAGCCGGATGGATCAAGTCCCAATAATGTCCTACAGTCACGGTGATAACATCAGACTCAGTGGTGTTACTACAATAGACTGAAAAATGCTTACTTGAGCATTGACTAGCATTGAGCCGCGTGTAATAAACGAGTATCCTCAAGGATAGCTTGCGTGTGAAGTTTGAAGCGCTGCAAAGACAGGCTGAACGGGCCACTCTCTTTCGAGAATCCTTTCATAAAAAAAGAGGGGGAGGACTCTTCTGCTGGTTGTCTGATTGATTGAATTCAGTACCTCAGGCGATCTGAAACAGAAGAAAAACGGGCAGGATCGGTATACTTGAGCTGGAAATCAAGTACCACGGATGCAATGGTGATCATTGCTTCAAGCACATCTATTGGAAATCCTCAGTGTTGTGCAGGGTAGACTCCAGGCTGGTGAGGCCAGAAAGAATGAACTTCTTATTCTACAGCTCCTACAGAGCTTGTATTTATACTCTCCAGGCTTGTATCTAGAATTTACTACAACTTTCTCTTTCTCTCGAGCTTACTCATCAACTCTCGGCATGATGCCGGATTGCCCTTTCTAGAACTTTCCAGCAAAATCCCAACAACATTGCACCACAAAAAATAAGAAATGTTTAACAGTGAGAATGTACTGAAATTATTTGTGATAAACTGTGAAGCCTCTTATAATCAAAATCAACAGTAGTACTGCTTATAAAGATATATGACATATCTGAATTTTATCATAAATGGTTTGTATGCATGAATATAACCCCAAATAAACCTGCCCAACAACTGTATACCTTGCTAAATGTTGCCACAACAAGGCTAGGTCAATTTATGATAATAAGAGTTATAGGGGTATACAATGTGTTTATAAGAAATAGTGAAGATACTAGATAGGTCTGAATGCTTTACTCAGTTGCAGCATAATGAATTGCATGGAAAAATGACTTGCAAACAAACATACTATGAATTACATTTACAATTAGTACAACATGCATTTTCATACATGAGCATATACAGTGATAATGAATGCAAACCCATTAATATCCTTTCAGCAGTCATAATGGAATAGCAATCTAATTCTCAGTACAGTGAAGAGCTTAACACTGCACCAGTTAGCATAGAAAATCAGAAGAGACACTGACTTAGGAAAATTAAAATCTAGTTGGATCTAATCAGTCATCATGGTGCCCTCCTCCATCATGAGTTGAGCAGTGACAATGTCAGCTCTTGCTTTTGCCTGTGCCTTATGGCATGCAGCCATCTTTGTCATGGTACTCTCAGATGGATGTGCATCTTGAATTTTATTGGTATCTGTATGTCCATTAGGGTCACTGAATATTTTCCTATAGAGAATACAAGTCAAAGAAGGAGGTCAAAAATCCAAGGAACATACTCATTCCACTAAGCCAATGTGTTCAGAGACCATTCATCATCAGAGTAACTCTCAAACAGAGCAACAATGCTGTCATAGAAAGTTGCCATATTGAATGTGCCATCTTGCTCAGTCCAGCCATCCTTCAATGATAAAGTGTAGGTGATCTGGCATCCAGTTACTGAATTTAGACCATTGATCTTGGTAATATTGCCTCATTTTGGCCCATCTTGCTTTGTTGGATCACTGTTGCTGCAAAAGATATAGAGATAGACCTATGAAAACATGCCAATGAGTTGTCAAACAGAAATATGACATTTCTGTACCTAAAGAAGAAGGTATCCCTTCATTAAACCAGCCTCATCATCATTGTTCAGATTATGAAGATCCTGGTTGTAGAGGAATGATGGTCACTCTAAAGCAGTCACCTTGATTTTACTATTTACAAGATCAAAGATAAAATTCTCACTAGATAATTGAGATGAGTGAATGTCTCAGGATAAAATTGAATAGTAACTTCTTGTTGAACTTCTTGAGATAAGGTTGTAGACAGAGAAGACATCCAGTATCCACATGATTGAAGCCTTATGCTGTCTTATACACAGGCTTTGAAAGCAATATTATATTATTGATGAGGTCATTGAGCAAGAGTATCAGTATATCAGTGCAAACCTTATTAGTGTCATTTTCTTTCAATTCTTTGAAGTCTAGGCACAACTAAAGGATATACATCAACATAAGAAAAATAAAACATTATAAAAATTACACATCTCTTTGATCATAGCTTTCAAGCTGATTTGGCACTTGGAAAAACAGTCTAAGGCTTTGGCAATAGTCATATCATGCTCTAAAAACTCTATCAGTATATCAAAAGACTTTTCATTTAGCATAAGGTATGGGTGCTTGTGGCTCTTGATTCTAAGTCTATGAGTTGATTAGCATATAGTGAGAGAGAGAAAGTTGACAATGTACTTGACAGCCTCATTGGAATACTTAACACCAGCCCACATTATGTCATCCAGTGGAGTAAAGAGTGATACTACTTAGGGAACTAGTTTGCCAACTGTATGGCTTATGCTCAGTACAAAGTTCTGTCTGTGAAGCTAAAATAAGAGTATCAGTAAATGTATGCACCTTTGTGAATATCTATGGCAATACTTCTTCTTTCACTTACAGTCATTGTCATCTTCCTCTTCACATTTCTTATTCTTGCTATTGTCTCTGTTGTTATTCTCATTATCACTATACTCTTCTTCTCTCTCCACTTCACTGGGTTTGTTGTCTTTATCTGATGATTCCAGATCTCTACCATTATCTCCTGTATTGTTACACTCTGCATCAGTATCAACAAATCTGTCATCAGATAAAACTGGAGTTGGTAATCATCTTATGGAAGACTTATTTGTGTCTTTTTGAGATAAGATTTGACAAGCAGTAGCTGGTGCAATCCTCTTTTTAGAGTTCTTAGTGTTTGATTCAACTTTGATAGTAGCTGGATTTCAAAAAGGTACTGAATGAAATGAGCTGTTAGGTTTAGGATGAGATGAGCTGGCAGGTTTGAGGTGAAATGAGCTAGCAGGATTGAAATAAAACAGACTAGCAGGATTGAGATGAGATAAACTGGAAGTTGGCTTAGTGTGAGAATATTTGAGCATAGTAAAAGAGAATAATGAAGAGAATAGTGATAGGAGAGAAAGAGGCATCAATACATCTGTTACAATCATGTGATATCACAGACATTATGATGCTGAATCCAGTCTGTGTTTCATAACTACTACTACTACCACCATAGCAGATGCTGATCTGAAGGTCTGTAAATTCTCTCCTACCAAGATATAGACTAAGAGTATATTTATTTTTATTTGAAAGGATACTTATTTAGAATTTTATCTAGAGAATATAGCTCTTCAAACTCACAACATTGCTTTTTGCTACAATTATCATTATAGTGTCATACAAGTGTGACTGTGAGAAGAAAATTATAAAGGATGCATGCACTATTAGTGTCTATAAGACTCAATGTTCAACCCATACATTGTGGTCTTGGAGCATAGAAGGCTTGAATAAAAAGATAAAGAGTAGTACTAGTAGTGAAAGGTGACTTTGAGCATTGGAGTTGAGCTGAGCAAAGAGATCTGCTAGTCATATTAAGGCCAGCCCTTCAAATGTATGTTCTACTTATATTTTCTCACTCTGCTGCTTTAATTTTATTATATTTCTAGATTCAAGATACTGATATATCAAATATTGATACAATAATAATATCCTCTCTTCCACTGTCACCAGCACCTTCATCTGAATCTGAGATACTTGTGTGAGTACAATGAAATTATCTGATTTCTCAACAAAACAAAGTCTTTTTGTCTGCAAGTGGCTGTTATGATTTTTCCTATTTTCTTTTCTTTTCTTTCAGAAATGACCTCTATCTTCACTTAGTCAGAGCACTTAGGCCAGCACTTAGGACCATGGGAAGGCTTAGTCAGCAACCCAGTTGGTCATAGTCTTATTGTGCTGCTGTGTGCTGTGAAGAGAGATAATACTCCTTTTGTCTCCAAACTGCAGCACAGCAATAA